TAAGCCTCTATGTAAACAGGGCGACTGGTGCCATGGTGCTGAGTCAAGTCTCTCTGAATGACAGCACAACACCACGACGGGGAAATGCTTTCACATAATTGTTTAAGTCTGTGTGACAGATTTGGACATCATCGACCTTCATACAAACTAACCCTGCCCTGCTTTCATTTGCAGCTCTCACTGGGGCCCATAAATTGCCACAGATTAGTTTGGCTGTTGCGCTCTGACCCTGTCCCAAACCTGATTGTGTGGCATGGGGGTTTGGGGGTGACCTTCAGACTCTCACCTGCCCGCTGGCACAGGATGCCACCAACCAGACATCCGGACGATGAGAGGGACTAACCAAGCGTTACTTCCATCCATCATCACATTACACACACAGGACCGATTTAATGTCCTTTCAGAGCTGCAGAGACATGCTGGGCCACACTGAAACATGTGAAGCAGCTAATTAGTCTATGCCAACAGCAGAGGTTCAGCAGTCATTTAGTACACCAAGGGTGAAATCCCTTCTCGAGTGCTAATAAGGACTTTGTCCATCACTATGGTCTCATCCATTAGAGCGCTACAACACTCTCATAATCAAGAGCTGATGTTTAGAAAAGACACTTCTGAAGTAACTTTATCTGTGTGTCCCTAAAGCTAAAACAAAACTGAGTCAGGCTTAGGCTGAACTCTTCACCTCTCTGTTCAAAGCACTGCAGGTCAGACAGCTGTGAGATATGTGATGTGGATTGGTGTATCCAACAGAAACACAACAACACAAAAAATATGGTCTATGGAGTGTGAAGAGCGTGCTTTCATGTAATAACCAGTTTTCTCAAAAGTGCAAAGCTAGTGTCAAATATTCACTTTTCCTGAAGTGTGTAAAAAATACCAAAGCTGTAGTAGCTCAGCTGTGAAAATGTATACTGTACTAGTCACTTGAGACAGTAAAACACAACGACATGTGGGGAGAGCTGCTGAGGTTCAGAACAGAAAACAGAAGCATTTCAGACATGTGCTGTGCAGAACAGAAGTGCTTCATCTTACAAGGGTCCAGCTGGACACTGCAGATCTCAGGCTAAGATTTATAATAAAATGACGGCTCATAATCATTGATATTTCTGGATTTGGCAAAAAAAAAGCTAGCATAAATATGCCATCTTTGTTTTTTCAATAGTCACCTTTGACCTGCATGCAGAAGAGCAAACAACAGTTTTACACATGAACAGGCTCTGTTTTACAAACAAAGCATATAAGGATAAGCAACATAACAACACTCTCACTCGAGTGTTTCTGTTTTCCAATGACCTCTAAAAGGGCAATGCCTGTCACTTAGTACGAACCCAGACAACCAGCAGCTGTTAAAAGGGAAGAGTTAAGTAACAGCTCTCTTCTGAAGCCTCTGCTCTGATGCCGCAGCCTAAATCATATCTATGATGGCACAAAAAGCAACTCTATGAAACCTATAGAGGATAAAAAGAAATGTATGATGCATGACACAAACTGTGGTGTAAAATGTGGCATATTGCAATTGTATTAAATCAGCTCTATACATAACATGTACATTACAAAGGCAAAAGGTAACACAACAACAACATGATCAGGCTTATGTTGGTGATAATCTTGATGCTTTCAGTATCCCTGTAGAGAATCTCTTGCTGACTCCAATTAACAAACATCATCCATGGCCTTTCAAGGGGTTCACCACTGAATTTTGAAATCACAATATTTTATAAAATTTCCAGTTTTAATATTACTAAATCATAATGCAAAACAAAAATGCCTCAATTCTTATATTATCCTAAGCAAAGATCTTTAAGAAATCTTTGATCAATGTATCTACCCATCAAAGAAAATTCATTAAATCCAAACTACTGCTTCTGTGCACAGTTATAATATCAGTGAGGATAGATTGCAGGGGTATCATGGACACAGAAAAAGCGATAACAGTTAACATTCAAAGCATAGGATAAGATGCCCTGGTAATGGCAATGGCAATGAAGTAATGATAAGTTATCCATCAATCAACTCCATCTGAATGTATAAGTAAGTTGGATTAGCATAATCTTCTTGCATGACAGCCATTGTGACATTTCATTAATATTAAGGTCAAATTGTTTTCCCTCTCCCCTTTGCCACAGGTAAATGTGAGGTCATAAATAGAGATGGAGTATGCCATAATATTAGTAAAACTGCATTAAGGACAGGTTGATCAATCATTCAGCAATTTTACCATCTCACAACAGACCCACAGTCACTTTGTTATCACACTAATCCGGATAACTTCAGTGGTGAGACGGAGAGAATAAATTAGTTTACTCCTACAATGATTGGATTAAACTGAAGAACTGAGCGGCAACCTTTTGGCCTCAACACCACACTGCAGCAACCTAAGATCAGACTATATGGTTAAAAGATCTATTATAGTCAGCCTGAGACATAAATGATAACTATGTTGCAGAATGATTGGTGACATTTACTTAAGAATATCTTTAGATTTATTTATTTTTTTACAAAAACATCTTTGAATCTAGCTCATTTTAATTACAATTTTAGCTTTTATCATATTATATAAAGCTCCTAGCCCAGACACACCAGATACAGTACAATTCTGTCAAATAAGAGGACTAGACTGTTATAGAGATGCATTTGGGCACTTTCAATGGTTTTGTTAATGTGTTATCGCAACTATGAATTTGGGTTTATTATGCTGTCACACTATAGTAAGAAGGGCTAAACAAGCAGCACTGATTCACAGAACTCAGGTGGGGTCTCAATTTAGGATAGCCCCTGGGAGCACTAACTCATTCCACTCTGAATCCTGATTCCATTACAATGATAGGCAGTTGCCCATAGCAAATAGTTAAATGTGTACTGTGACTCAAGCTGACTCAGTAGTAAATTAGGTTAAAATGTGACCCACTAGTGCCCATTTTCTGCTATTTCTGAAACATGGGCACTTATAATAGTTCTTTATATTTGCCTAACAGTTCTATCACAACACTGTCTTCTTAAATACATACATAAAGAAGACGATCGCCATTAGTAACTTTGTAGTATCAACACTATTACTGCAGTATTCATTCTGTATTAGTGGTGCAAATTACTAGTGCAAAAACTAGTACAACAACTACTACTATTTTATTACTATGCACAATATTACAAAAGCAGAAATGGTATTCTGAATTACTTGAACAAAAAAGCTATTGCCCATAATTCATATACTTTTGCCTGACCTATAGAAAATGAAAACCATACACAGTTTAAACGTGACAGCTTTTATGAATCATTATGTCAAAATCTCTGTAGATGCTCTGACTGAGAGAGAGATCTTTATTAGAAACAACAGGAGAGATGAGAGTCCTCACTGCAGTGGAGTGGTCCAGATGAGAACAGGGGGCTAGCTGTCACACATTGACAGGAGTGGGTTTGGGGCTGCTGTAGATTCACTTCATTCATTAAGGCAAAGACAAACAGACAAACTGAAATAAAATGACTGGAATAAAATAAAGAACATATTAGGACCAACTCTGCTGAGGCAGGAAAAACTGACAAGAGAATCAACCGTGCAAAATAGACCTCCACTTATTTTAAAGGGAGGAATATTTCTTTCCCACTGGGTAACTGTGCAGTAATGTAATGGCTCACAGTGGTGGGAGTAGTGGAGGTCACTATGAGCATTGACCAAGCGTGCCTCTAACAGCTCTATATCTCACTATAGGCTGTTCTGTCCTACATGAGGTGAACCACTGCACATGGCCCCTGCGTCTTTATAGATTCACTGTCTATGCCTATATGTGTTCAGCAACAACTTAATCAAATCAGATCAAGGCGACTTTTCAGAATAGGGAAGGAAATATAATATGAATAGGATATAATATCTGTTTGTGCTACTGTAAAGACTGTGTAGCTGTGGTTGTAGTAACTGAGAAAGGCCAGTGCTGGAAGTGCCTTCACTTCCTCATTCTTTCAAAGTGAACTGCAGCCTCCTCCTCCTCAGACAGGGAGTGGGGCGTGCAGGCAGGAACAAGATGTGCAACTATATCACACAGCACTATAGTAACAGTGTGGTAATCACAAATTATATTTCTGCTATAGTAAGCACAGCCCTGTGAGTCTGTATGTAACGCAGCAGTGGATGCAAAGGTCCTGCATCAGCTCCCAGGAAAACCCAGGGTCTCCCAGCTGAACGGGAAACACCCGCAGGGAGGGGACAGGGCAGCAGTAGGCTGGAGAGTCTGACATCACTCAATGTTCCTGTGAACTCTCGTGCGTATGTGCCCAGATCACTCCACACACGCGCACTGTAGTTTCCTTCTGCTATGGGCACATTCATTATTCTGAGTTTGCTGCACCACCAGCACGCAGATGCTGCATTTTACACTTCACGGAAGAAACGAAGGGAGCATCGGCCATAGCACAGCCTCTAAACCTGCAGACAAGCTTAGGCTACAGGTTAGATCCTTAATGCTCTAAAACAAGACACTCATCCGACTGGAGCTATGCACCCAGCCCCAACATCTGCTGCAGAACCACACAAACCGCGAGATTATCCGACACCTCCAAGACACTGGCTCTGTCCGACACGCTGCGCTCGCTGCAAAGTTGAAGGACAAGGCGGGAGAGGCTGGACACTCGATATTAGGCTAAATGACAGCGACACCGTGTCCAGGCCAGTTACAGTAAACGGTGGGGCAGCGCCAGGGGGTGTTGATGGGCTTCAGCAAAGCGCTCCAAAAAACTGCATTGCCATTGCCAAAGCTAGGCGTCCCATTGTGAATTAAACAAGCACACAAGAGGCCAGGTTAGGACAGACATAATAGCTCATTTCACGCTTCACATCCCCACTAGGTGTTATTACAAGTCAAGACTGGCAAATCTTGAAGGCTAGTTAGCATTACTTCCTTAGCCAGCCCAGCCACCACGGCAGCAGCAGTAGCTCCACTGTCTTCTTGCTCTCCCCCCGGTTCTACTCTCTCTCTCCGCGCACACAGCCGTACCGTCCTGGGACTTACCGGTCTTATGTGCTGATGGTGCCGCTGTGATGAGACAACAAGTGCGGGTAGGCTGCCGGCCACCGCTCCGCTGCTCCGGGACAACAGGAGGACTGATCTGCACACTTTCGCAGCCATCTCTGGAGTGAACCTCGCCGGGAAGGAGACTGCTGCGGGCGGACCGAGACGCACCGAGGGGAAGAGGGAGGGAGGTGGGCGGGGTGCAGGGCCGGACTACGGCTGCACACATGCCCAGTGCTGCACCACTATGCAAACACACACAGCTAATACAATACTGGATTTGTGAGCTAATTCACACAGCATAATGGACTGTATTTAATTTGTCGCATTAGTGCAATGTAATGAAATATGCCAACAATAATTAGATTTCTCAGGTGTCATGAGAACCTACAATGCAGGCACTGTTTGCACAAGGTGGTAGCAGCAGAGTGGATCTATTTATTGACTGGCCTGTCAGAAGAGGCTAAACCTAAAACATGCAAATATCTTAAGTTGGGGATTTAAAGCGTTATTGTATAGATTTGTAATCAATAGAAACAAATAGGCCTTTTCCTTGTGATTGACAAAAACACACTTTTTAGAAAACATTACAGTTACAGACATTTTGATAAACAGTCGCTTCAAGTTTAAAAATGTCCCATAGCATTCTTGAGATATCTTTCTAATGGTTTTGGCACACTTTCTGTGAATGAGTCTAATATTAGCATGCCCTTCATTCACTCTTGTGTCCATGTCCCAAAAGAGCATAGCATAATAACCTTTACCATGAAGAATCAGGAATAATTTAACCTATCTCTTGACTATAAGGCAGTAGCCTATATATACTCGGTATGCTTATAGTTATTTGCATTTTAAATCCCCAGAACCCAGACTGTTTTCCTCAGCGTCAGTCAGCCAGGGTTAATATACCGAATATGAGCTGTAATGAGCTGTTTTGGTCAATGAATGTTAGGGAGACTCCCTTTAGAGGAATGTAACCTGTTCTGCTTAAACTTTGACCAAGACACAGCCATAATACTGTCAGCCACACCTGCATTGGACACTTGAAACTGGCAAGCAATGAGCAGCTACTGAATTATTGATTTTAAGGCTAAATGCATTTTGTGACTTTCCCTGCAGAGAGGTATCTTGTAGCCTTTTTGTCTTAAACATATACACACATTACATATAGCAATATATATGTCATACTTTTATGTTTGCCTATGAAATCTTAATTGTGAAGTCATCCCAGTTCTTGCTCAGGTTCTGGGCATCACTGAGTGTGGGAGATGCAATTTAAATGCAAATTGTCATCCACGGACAAGGACCTGCCCCAGGCCCCATAGGCTGCATTGATTCACCAAAGCGAGTCCTTGTTTGGTGCCAAATAGTACTAAGCATTGTCTGGCATATACCTTAACCCTGCATTTTAGCTGTATTATACATGTTTTTGCTGCAGTTTACATATTTTGTGCCTGAATAAATGAATGGCATTTTACAATCAGTGTGATAACTTATTATCAAATTCATGATGCATAAATACATATTATTCACTACACAATAAGTGTGAAGTCATCCTTATTGTTAAAAACAACACTGTGCAACAACAACATAACAAAACATAATTCTCTTTTTAAGAACTATAATTAATTCAAGTGATTGTATTATTCCGATCTAATCTTGGGTGATGTGAAGCTTTTTTACACATCTTGACTCTAAAAAAGAGAGGGATAGTCTTCTTTCAAACACTCAGTATCTTGATTGCTCACAGATGGATGGTTTGTACATTGCTCAATTGAAAGGTGTGTTTGCATGCCTTGCCTGTCCATACATGAGTCAAAAGTCACATGTCAAAAGACTATAAAAGGTTATGTTCAAAATGGGTGTGATATTTTATCAAAACAATCACATAACAAGCTTCAACTTATGTAAAAGCATATGACAAAATAGGTGTAAGCTACTTTTGTCTGCTGTGTTGTTACTTACATCCAATTCAAGCTCCTCACCATTGTGTATAAATCCCTCCATAACTCTGGTTACCTCTCTGAGCTCCTTCACCATCACACCCTCACCCGTGCTTTCTGTTCAGCTCATGGCAACCTGCCCACAAGACCTGGGGGGACAGGGCCTTCTCCACTGCTGTCCCGGCCCTCTGGAACTCTGGAACCCTCTGGAACTGGAATAGAGGGTCTACTAACTCAATGTAGATGTTATAGTTTTTCCTGAATATGTTCTACAGTATGGTATTTAATTTAACTATGTCTTTAACTAGGTCAGATTTGTGGAGAAGTGGGCTTGCTTACAGTGAGAATGCATGTCTTTGTGGTGGTTTTGAGAAATAAAAATACCTGTAATTGAATAAATACAATATGTATTTGTTGTGGAACATCTCAGGCAAAGCAGTAACATTACCATGAAGCCATGCAGATGACGGACCCTCCACCAGAAAAATCACACAGTGCTCCTTTAATAAAAGTCATGAAAATCCATCTCTTTCATTTTTCTCTCTCCTTTCATTAACTTTTTTGTTTCCTCTGTTTGTTCTTGTCCTTGTGTTCATGTCAAGTGCTATACAAGTGTTATATCTTGTTATTGATGCTACTATATTTGTCTGTAGTGGCCTGAACTGTTCTTCACCTTTATAATGACACAGCATGGGGCTCAAGTTTCATAGTCACTGTCATTTTACAAATTGGGTCAAAGGATAACATGGGACAGATACAAACTGTTGTTACGATAGAAGCATTCTTTATTTAATGTAAAATGACACTCCACTATTTTACAAAACTGTGCTAGTAACAGTGTCTTCATGCAGCGTCAACAGTTGGACCTGCCTTATCTCGTGTGCCACATTTTCACCCCCACAATTGCAGCGTGCCTAAATCAGCATGTAAGGGCCACCACAATATCCACAAGTGGTAACGGATATTTCATCTTCACCACACAATATGACACAATCTGAAAATTATTGTTAAACATGCCACAGCGCTCCCCTCTTGTAGTAAATCGAGCCAGCATTTCGGGTGGATGTAAACTGAGTTTTTTGAGAACGGGTTCCAGAGTAGAGAAATCTGAAAACTCTGGGGTCGCGTTTTCATGTGGACGAGCAAACCGCAGCTTTTGGAAAATGATGATGTCACAGTCCCGTTATCACCAGGGTCCTCTGATGAAGCGAAGCCTGCAGCCCTCGAACTAGTCTCCACAGACCGCAAGAGCGTTGCCAAAATGCCTTAAAGGATCACCAAATGTAGTCAGGTCAACAATGACATAAAAAACATTTGTCCTTCCCACTTCAGTCACAGGTAGAAAGGCCGTCCAGATTCAACCAGCAAGAAATGTGTCCATACCAATCTGTAAAATAAAATATAGAATAGAATAAATATAACATATTCAAGTAACCACCTCGCAAAACAGACTATGCAATATTTAATGAGCCATGAATAAAAATTTAAAAGTAAATATATAGTAAATATATTATGGTTTATATATCGTTATTTGTTTATTCCTATTAAGCAGGGTATTCTGTTGCATGAGCTGTATGTTTATGTATACAGGAACCATTCAAATAAATAACTTGAAGGGTAATTTGAAAAAATTTAGCCCCTTAGAAAAAAATTATTTTTAAATGCAAGACCCACAAGAACAAACACAAACAACACAAACAACAAAAACTAAACACCTAAATGCCATTAATCACGAAAATAGAATGAGATCAAGGCAAAAAATTACAACTATTTAGCACACATAAAAAATTCAATTAGTCAATTACGAAATTATTGGTGAGGTTACATTTCAGTTCTACATTTAACCATTTCATGACCTACCTGCAAATCTGATGAGATGGTTATTGGCTTGAGCCTTCATCTTTCCACTGTAACCTTTAGGAGCTGGGGATGCATGGTCAACCAGCAGCAAGACACTCACCCTAAAGAAAATACAGAGAAAAAGAAAGTATCATTACTCTTTTTGACTAAAAGTTAATAGCATGTTAAGACATTGCATTGGGTAAGACATCATACTTGAAGATATTTAATTTTTACAGAATACTACTAACCTTTTGATTTAAATAATTTTAATAACTTTCCACTTGGTACAATATCCTACCTCAACACAACACACAAAAGTGTGTACAGCGAATGAATGCGCGCCTCAAAATGTGAAAAACACGGTGAAAACTCGGAAAAGCTAAGCTAACGAATGCTAACCTGCCCTTCACTTCAGTATAGATCGAGAGTCCGTGTCGGGGCAATTAGATTTTCGTTTGAGTCGGTACCGGGTGCAGGCAGACATAAGGCCGTGTGAGGGCGTTTGAATCGGGGCTGCGTGAGATCGTGGACCAACTGTTTGCGGTCTCCTCGAAACGGAGCTGAGGCAGAGCGGGACTCACCTGGTTTAGGCGTATGTGGGTGTCGGGTTAGACCTGGTCAAATGCGGGTTCCACTCCAGGCTACGGAGCGTGTACAGCCTGAAGAAACACCGTGAATCCCGGCAGCTCCCCTCAGAGAGTCAGCTGCAGTGTAGCCGCTGAGAGCGCTCTCCAGTCCCGCTAAAGGCAGTGCGCCGCTGCGCCGTAACCCGGTCCGGAAAGTGAAGAGCCGGACACTTGTCACGGGGCTTTGAGGGCTGCTCTACGACAAAATACGGCAAAAGCAAATAGATTTTTTTTGTGTTCAAGTAGCAGAATCATTAAACATATTTTGATTTAACTTTAATTTCATTTGAGGAGAGAGGCGCTCTAAAACCATGCAAAAACCATGTAAAACCATGTAAAACCCGGACAACAGGTGACAACAATGAAATAAACGCAGGAGACATTATTTTACCACCAACATTTTTGTATTAACCCCTTGAAGTAGCTCATAAATAGCTCAAAACTGTCCTAAATCATCGTGTTACATACACTGAGTGTAGGGCAGGTGTCACAAGCATTACAATGACCTAATGCGTTATGACCTAATACATTTACTTGAGTCACTATTTACAAATATTGTACTTTCTTCCCATTATGAAAATACCAGACATGAGTACTGTTTCATTTTTCATTCTCGCAACGGCATTAACTTTAAATGACAAATCAGATGTTTCGTCCAGTTACGTTTAACTTAAGTGACTTGTTGAGTAGTTTCCCGAATAGTTTTACTCTTAGCTACTTAACACATTTTTTGGACTTCTACTTTTTACTTAGACTTGAGAAATATTTTTTGAAGTAATGTTACTCTTAATTTAGTACAATTTGTGGCGATTTTACCTAATTTTCACGGACATCAGTGACAGCAACATTGACTGTCACAGCGAAGTTAGTTAGCTTACTACTACTCAATACTACTACTAGTAATAGACCAAATATATTTAGTATTTTTATGAATTAAATTAACTGCAGAGTGTCCTAAAAAGGTAAAGTAATCTGACACGGGGCACGTGAGAGCTCAGGTGGTTGGACTTGAGGCTCGTTGAGTTCAGTTCTGCTGAAAAAAACACGCTATTAGCTGTTAGCTTTACGCTATTAGCTCTTAGCTTAGTTTAGCTTCAGACGGTGAAATGTGCTTGTCTCTCAGACTGTAGCTCTTCCCCTGGAAACCTTATAAAAGCCCAACACTGATGTAGTGTACTATTCAAAATAGACAATTTCTGAGTGATTGACGTTTACACTGTGAATCACCAACTACTCATTTTATATCAACACTGTGAACCAACAACTACTTATTTACTCTACAGCACTGTCAATAGTTGAAATAACTCTTGATCACATTGAAACATATCTGGATTTTCTTCACTTTACTCACAACAACACTAAGAGTCAAATACATGATGTGTGTTAATTTGATACTAACAGAATTGTGACTCAAATGCAGCATTAGTGTCTCTCCAGTGAAAAGTTGGTAAGTAGAAAGAATTTGGAAGTGCGACCGGGGGCACAGATTTCATATTGCAATGTGCAAATATAAGCCGCTTTTTTTTTTAGAAATAAGGTCAGACAGGACTGAAAATATAACGGTCCCCTTTTGTAAAATCCATGGTTAAAATTGAAGTACATATTGACATGAAAACCGCCTGTGATACCTTAACCCTTTGACAATGTGCCATTAGTTACTGTAATGATCCAATTGATTTTGCATTATTATACTGGTGGGTTTGAGACAGCTTCAAGTACCATGTCAAGATGCCTTTATCACTATCTAAAAGCACTTCTATTATAGCAGCAGGCTCCCCAAATGTATCTAACTATTTAATATTTCCTTTTGCAGTAGACCATATGGTGTGGCCACTGCAACAAACTGACTTAATTGCTGCATAAAATAACTGTTGATAAAACCATGATTGTTATAATCATGGTTTTGCTGTCCCATTGTTCAATGTGATTATGTGCAACCAGCAATCATCCTTTCCTCTCCAAATTTGAAATTACATTTTCGCTGAAGCAAGAAAGATTGTTTCTGTTTCATGCAGACGGTTCAAGTGCACTGAGGAGTAATATCTGGTTAAAATCTGATAAAATTTTTAGGCCAAAGTCAAAGTATCGGACAGGGAGTCATATTTGTATGTAAAAATAACTTAACTGTAACTTTTAAATGACTTACAAAAGGTTTAAACCAAATAATTTCTTTGAAATGAGTCTATGTCTATATAGGCTACTGTTTAGAATTTGTAACAATGGTTCATAAACAAGGGGCATCTTTAACTTATAAGTCTATAGCCTGCACATTTATGCCACTTATGGCCTCATTAATTTCCATAAAAAAATTTTTTTTCTATTGCTGCTGTTGTAGGCTAACTATCTCAATCTTATTGAGGCTACAACAAAGCAAGTATTGTAGACTACCATGACTACCAGTTATTCACCTAACCATTGTCATACTCTGTTAATCCACCATATCAGAATGGCTGTGCAAGAGAATAAAATAGGCCTGTGGTGCAAATGACTAGGCTACACCATGGGCTCTTTTGTGGTGAAGGGTCTGTTACTTTGCCATCCTTTTGGCATTAAATCTCCAAATCTCACTCAAAAATTGGTTGATGATGGCACCACTAAGTTAGAGGTCATCTATGAAGAATGTATTTTCAATATTTTATTTAGCAACACAGCATCTTTAGCCTAATTGATAAGCATAGATACAATAGTTAAACATTGTGTGGAGGATTCCAAGCAAGCAAATGGCTGATCTTCCTCCATAGACTTTTTTATACAGTCTGTGTCTTACACTAGAGAATTTATTTGCACCTTTAACGAAGGCTACAAAGTTCATTTAGACCCCTGTTTTAATCAGTTGTAGCCTATAGCCTAATGGACTAAAAACATGTACATTATCATTGGGCTATGTGGCACAGAGGAATGCAGAGAGTTGTGTGGTCATGTCTGGTGTCCTGTGAACCAGTCAGGACGCACAGGGGGCGGAGTGAGAGCTGTGACCCCACCCGCAGATGCACCGAGCAACACGGAACTGTTTACAGCCCATCTGCCCTGCGTACACCGCGGATCCACTCTGTACGACCGGGACAGCACTATATCGGACTAACAAGGGTTTCGAAAGTCTTTTACGTAAGTAATGGTGTTTAATGTGTGACACGAGGGTTTAAAATGAAACTGTGCGTCGCAGAGATTGAACAGCAGCGTCCATCCAGCGCAAGTCACGTCTGGTGTGAAGCGCTAGCTTGAGTTAGCATTAGCTGTCATCTACAAATAAACTGAATGCGTATGAATTAAAGAAAAAAAATGAGCATGTCATTATTAACAGAAAAAACGGAAATCAAGCGTATATTTTGTCACTGAAGAACGCATGCTTTGCGAATTGTTATAAAAGAAAGATTACTCGGGCTGTACCTGGAAATGGTATTGACTTGGCCAGTAACAATCTGCACACTAGTTTGGGCTTTGGGTCCTCTGCCAAAAGTTAACTAGTTTAAACAGAATACGTACTTCAGACAATGACAATGAAGTGGAAGATACTAGACTTTATCTGCAGGGCATGTAATAATCATGTAGAGTTAATTCAGTGATAGGAAAAGACTGTAAATTTTTACCAATTTCCCATAGTTAGTGTTCATGTCCACTGCAATGATGACTGGTGACATCACATGCAAAATGTGTATTTTTGTCATTTATTTGCATGCACAATATACATTCTCCAATCGTCAATAATATTTTCTTCAGAATGTAACCAGCTTCATTAAATTACAGTTTCAGAATGATAAAGCAAAGTTAATGTGACATTAAGAGTCAGAAAATGTACTTTACCTTACCCTTTACCTTACCTTTACCTTTACAACTAATTAGCCCTAGAAACTATACCTAATATGAGTTGGAAATGTTCCAGGTGAACAAAATTACTTCAGAAGAATGTTATTTGTCTTCATTATTTTATTCCCCAAAATGCTCCATAATGGTGTAAGCATTACCAGGTGTTAGCTCAAAACTCACTAAAATTATCCATGCAACTGCAAAACCCAAATTGGACTAAGTGCACCTTCTGCTTTCATTTCACAGAACTACTCTTTACAGTAAAGGACAAATAATCTCTTACTCAACATATCACTCCCAAACATCACTGAATTGGAAAACCCAACAGTGTGAGCACAATTTTATTCTGGGCTCATCTGCAGTGTTATTGGGCAGTGTTTCTGTATCCAGCTTTGATCATTCTGTTTTTTATTCATTGAGGTAACTGAATATTCCTGACCTTGTAAAGGCCATAATTTTATCCTTTTTAATCTGAATAATGAATTCTGAATATCAGTTAAGAATAATTAATTTTAATTACCTTTATGCTTTTCCAAATTTAGTTTTTGGCTGTAGAAATGTGAATGTGTGTTCTAATGTGTCACATTATTGATGTGTTGATGCCAGTTGTTTCATTACAGCTATTTTAGTTTGTTAGCATTAGCATAACAATAACTTTCTCTTTGAATAAAATGAGCCACAAATTCATTTCTACAAAATGAAACACAAGATTAGTTCATTATGAATGAGAAAAATTAAATTTAATCTTTCAGACTGTAAAATTTAAATATGAAATTTCAGTTCACAGTGCACATTATAAACACATCCTGAAAACACGAAGATATACAAAAACTCCTCCAACTCCAAGCTGTATAAACTTGAATTCTTATTGGATTTAAGCATATTAGGTGATGTATGTCTAATGAGGGAGGGTGTGGCCTAAAGAGATCAACACTGTATATCAAGATGTGCAGAATTATTTGGCAGCTTCTTTACCTCAGGCAAAATGGGCCAAAAACCAAATATAACTGACTCTGAAAGGTCAAAAATGATTAAAAAGTCTTTCAGAGGGATGCACCACTCTTATAACTGCAAAGATATTGGAACGTGATCACAGAGCTATCAAACGTTTTGTTGTAAATAGTCAACAGTGTAGCAAGAAACATGTTGAGAAAAAAATGCAAATTAACTTTAAGAGATTTGAAAAGAATCAAACATGAAACTACCAGGAACCCATTATCCTCCAGCGCTGTCATATTTCAGACCTGCAACCTACCTGGAGTATCCAAAAGTGCAAGGTGGTCAGTGCTCAGAGACATGACCAAGGTGAGGAAGACTGAAACCCAACCATCACTGGACAAGAAACGTCAAAACTGGGCCAAGAAATCCTGTGAAGACAGATTTTTCAAAGGTTTTATGGACTGATGAGATGAGTGTCACTCTTGACGAATCAGGATGGGTTTGTGGCTAGATCAGTAATGGGCACAGAACTCCACTTTGACTCAGATGCTAGCAAGGTGGAGGTGGGGTACTGATATGGGCTGGTATTATTAAAGATGAGCTTTTTGGGTTGAAGATGAACTCAAAATGAACTCCAAAACCTACTGCCAGTTTTTAGAAGACACTTTCTTCCAGCATTGTTACAAGGAAAAGTCCACATCTTTCAAGAGGACCATGATTTTTACACCAGGAAATGCTCCATCGCAAGAATTGAAGTACTCCACTGCGTGACCACCCAGTAAAGGCCTTAAAGATGAAAAAATAATGTTATGTCCTCTTTCTCACCTGACATAAACCCTATTGAGAACTTGTGGGCCCTTCATAAATGGGAGATTTATGGTGAAGGAAAACAGTCCACCTTTCTGAACAGTGTCTGGGAGGCTGTGGTTGCTGCTGCACAAAAAGTTGATCGCCAACAGACTCTATAATCGGAACGCCTAAGGCCAATATTGAGAAGAAGGGCGACTATATTGGTCACTAATTTTTTTTTTTATGTCAGAAATGTTTATTTGTAAATTTTGAGTTGTTTACAATTCTGACAAATGAAAATAAACAAGTGTTAAGTCATTTAGTTGCTTAATAATTCTGCACATGAATAGTTGCCCAATAATTGTGCGCACTTAGATTTTCTAATAAGAAAACCAAAACTTCACTTTTACTTTCTTAAATATTCAGGTTTGCGGTTTATTAACATTTTGGATCGACCCAGAGCACTATAGTTATAGTCTGTTTTAAAATTAATCCTCCTAAATACAACTTGCCTAATAATTCTGCACACAAGCATAATTATGTGTCTTATGATGACTGTTGTGGCTTGGCAAAGAAAAAAATCTGTCATCAGCAGGGACAGACAACAAAGTTATTTATCTATCTATCAATCTATCAGTCTATTAATCTAATCTAATTATTAACATTTGAGATAAAATTGAAAGTGAAAATTGTAATTGGTTGTAGAGGTCTAACCTGCACATGTTTTACACATAATCCAACTCCATGAAGAAAGAATTGCTGTTTGCAGAGGAAAAAATAACAGATAACTGCAGCCTTTGCGATTTTCTAATTGTGATCATGCAGATATAACATACCTTTTATACAAATAAATCAGTATTTTGACATTTTGTTCTTATTTTATGTTTTTAAATGATACTTTCACTAACAACCGCACACATGCACGCATACACAAATTAGTATTAATATTCTGATAGTTGTACATTTGCAGTCTTATTTCAGTGTACAGTCCCTGACAAAAGTCTTGTCGCTTATCCATTTTGTAGAAACAAAAGCTTATCACCTGACTTTAAATTAATCGATTGGTTTTAGAAATGTCTCATATGAAAGCTAAAACCCTCCCAAATTATGCTCAATAAACTAAAATAAATTTGCTTCACTGAAGAAAGATTGATCATTTAATGAACACAGAAAGGTCAGATTTTGGCAAGACAAAAGTCTTGTCGCCTTGTCATATGATGCACCCAATCCTAGATTACAGCCTCACCTGTGATCAGTTACTGATCTATCAATTAGTGGGTGTGTATAAAAAGAACCCCAGCACACCAGACCTTCACATCAACTGCAACTTGACCTCTGACAACATGCCTAAGATCCATCCTGAGACCAAAGCATTAATTATCAAGAGGCTGAAGACCAGATCCACTGCTGCGGTGGCTGACACCTTCAATGTGTCTCAGCGTCAAGTACAAAGAATAACAAAAAGATCTAAAATGACTGGAGATGTTTTTGACAAGCCCAGGTCCGGCAGACCCTGCAAGACAACTGCTCGGGAGGACCGTTTGTTGATTCAAAAATCCACGGCCAGCCCCTTTTCCACTGCAGCAGAGCTCCACCAGGCCTGGTCACCTCAAGTCCCTGTGTCAACCAGAACAGTTTGTAGAATTCTGTCTCGAAATGGCCTCCATGGTCGAATCAGTGCACAGAAACCAGCACTAAACAAAAGGCAATTAAAAAACCGTGTGGCATTTGCCAAGGCCCACAGCCTGCTAAAAGGATGGACACTGGAAAAGTGGCAGAAGGTGGATTTCTCAGATGAATCCTTGGTTGAATTACATCACAGCCACCACAAATATTGCAGGAGACCTACTGGAGCCCGCATGGATCCAAGATTCATCCAGAAAACAGTTAAGTTTGGTGGCGAAAAAATCATGGTCTGGGGTTACATCCAGTATGGGGGTGTGTGAGACATTTGCAGGGTGGAAGGCAATATCAATAGCCTAAAATATCAAGAAGTATTAGCTACCTCTTACATTCCCAACCATAAAAGGGGTCACATTTTGCAGCAGGATGGTGCTCCATCGCATACTTCTATCTCTACATCAAAGTTTCTCAAGGCGAAGAAGATCAAGGTGCTCCAGGACTGGCTGGCCCAGTCACCAGACATGAACATCATTGAGCATGTCTGGGGTAGAATGAAAGAGGAAGCATGGAAGGCAAAACCAAAGAATCTTGATGAACTCTGGGAGGCATGTAAGACTGCTTTCTTTGCTATTCCTGATGACTTCATCAACAAATTGTATGAATCATTGTTGAACCGCATGGATGCAGTCCTTCAAGCTCATGGAAGTCATACAAGATATTAAATGTGGATCTCACAGCACCACTACTTAATTCACTGGCGTTATGCAACATATTTTTGTATTTGAAGTAAATTATTTGTTCAATTTTCTGTAGGCGACAAAACTTTTGTCTTGCCAAAATCTGACCTTTCTGTGTTCATTAAATGATCAATCTTTCTTCAGTGAAGCAAATTTATTTTAGTTTATTGAGCATAATTTGGGAGGGTTTTAGCTTTCATATGAGACATTTCTAAAACCAATCGATTAATTTAAAGTCAGGTTATAAGCTTTTGTTTCTACAAAATGGATAAGCGACAAGACTTTTGTCAGGGACTGTAGTAATTTATGTTGGTTACAAATTCTTTCTTTCTTTTTGTTGTGCTTCATGAATCATGGTCGTATATCTTTCCTCTTTTTGTTGTAGGATGTACCGCTTGCGGGCGTTGTCAGCGGCGTCGTTTGGCCTGGCACAGCTGTCCCGGCGTTATCACAGCGGGGCAGGCCGGGGGGTGGGGAGGCGCAAGCTAATGCTGGCGGCTCTGGCAGGAGTCACTGGAGCCTCTGTCAGTGCAGGACTTATGTGGAAAAGGTATTTGAGTTTCAGTAATATTGTTCTATGACAAAGAAAACACTGTGTATACCTAACTTCATAGAGTTAGATCGATTTGTGCACATAAGCTGTCATATGTATTGAAAAATATGTTTGTATATATTGTATCTCACTGTTGTGCTTTTGGCTGTTTTTGTATGTTTATACTGAATAATTTACCACAAGCTTACTGCCTTTTACGTGTCTCACATCAACAAACTTTTTTCCTCACTGCATCTCCAAATCAAATCTTTGGTCCTCTGGCAGCTTTGACCCAGCATCCTTCTTCCAAATACTGTATAATAAAATATCACAGTGTAATATGGGGATGCAGTAATTCAGTTGATAGAGTGCTCATCCACTATTTCAAAGATTGGTGGGTCGAATCCCGCTCCCGACATAAAGGTTGTTGATAGAGCAGTCATATCCCGTGGCCCACAGGCTGGCCGTACAATTCCGGCTCCCACAGGTGAATACCTCCATTGTGTTCCTGGTCTTGTGTTGCGTGTCCTTTGTTGCTAAGGTGGCAGATATATGGCTAAGCGAAAGTGTGAAAGGGCGTTGCCATAAGCGGTCTTTGGGGAGAGAGGGTCAGACCAGTGGGACCACAAGTGATGGATGAGACCACGGAGACGAGACTGATCCGATGATGTGCTTCAGCCTTCACCTCATCTCTTTTCCTATTAAAGTGAATTACCCAGCCCACCTTGAATGCACCCAGCTAGTTATTATCATTATGCCAGTTTACAATTTAGACTGCAATTCTGGCACTTCTCCATATTGCACAACCATAAGCAGTGTCTGTATTCATTTGATACTGTTTTAAGCTTTACTGTACAATACAATCCATTAAACACCAAATACTGTGTAGATATTCTGACTATATACATACAGTATCTTTACATTTAATGAAAAAAAAACAACCAAATATTTCATTAAAGGCCAGTTCATAAAGGATGTGTGGGTGGTAAGCCTAGTGCCAAGTTCCTGTCATTTTTGTATGTAGAAGCTTGCCTGTGAGCTAAACTGGACGGCACTGCAATTGCAACTATCCCAAACATTTTCACAAAGGTGATAAAAGAATATGAGTGCAAACATCTTCTCTCAGTTTTTCAGAACAGACTTTTACAATCAGTGACATGGCAGCCTGCAACCCTCCACAGCGACAAAACCTTTTCAAAAGCCAATTATTTGGAGCAGAACTGGATTTACAGGGCTGGGCAATTAAAACATTTCAATCAAAGTGAGATCAGATCATTTCTACCTGTTACTGATCAGCTTGGGTCTTGTAATTGAGAGCAGCCAACACTCTTATTTATACATGTTCAAGAAAAAAAAGAAAATCATAGTGCAAATTTTGATTGATCGATATCACGAAAAAAAGGTTTTCATAATTTTTTTATACATAATCTGATTTGATGTTCATAGATTAAAAAAAAAAAAAAAAGCACAACTTGTGATCGATCAATATCAAGAAAATGTTTTGATCATTTTGCCATATCGCCCAACCCTTGTATACATTTCTAGTTACCTTACTTGTGGAATATCTGACCCTGATGTTGATTTTTGCTTATGTTAACACCAGGGCTTATGCAGATGCTGGGCCCTCAGTCCAACACACAGAGCCACAGAGGAAAGAGGAAGCCGACTTTGTGAATGAAGCACAGTCTGTGGCAGAGTCAGATCAGTCTGTGGAGGCCAGCTCTGGAGATGAGGAGTCAAAGGAGGAGGGCGAAGGAGGGAGAAAGAAAAAACAGCGCTCAGGATTTCGTGACCGCAAGGTAATCAATATATGTACATCCCAGCAGTCACACATTTTCCTGATCAATTCACCTTGATTTTGAAAGCCATTTTCATCAATGTCATATGCAAACAACTAATCTCTGTTTCCCGTTATTAGAGGAAACGATGTTGGTCCTGAATAGTTAAATTTTTGTCCGCATAGTCTTAAAACAACTTAAGGAATAGTACTAAAAAATTACACTTTTTGCTTGTTATTTACAAATGTGTAAATATATAGAAGTAACTTTATATTGTCCTTAATTAGTCCTTTTTAATTAGTAGAGGAATATTAACTCCAAATGTTGCACTCAATCAAATATCTGACCATGAACACTTCTGTTGACATACAAAAGATGCCTTTTCTGCTGTAATTGGAGAACTTGTGTGAGCTTGTGTGTTTGATGTGTAGCTTTTCATATTACTACTGGAAAAACAAAGATAATGACAGCAAAAATAGATTTGATTAAATAATGCTGAAACTCAGTATTTTTGTTTGCTGGCTGTGGAGATAGTAAGAGGCCACTGAAGAGACACTAAGCAGCTTATACATGGTAAAACAAACAAAAGATACAATTGCCTTGTACAGTCCTTTTTGTGTATTCTGTGCATGATGAGATATTTAAAGGGAGGTCTTTGGCTTCCATGCAACTAATATAGAGTCCAATGAAAGTGGGGATGTATTTAAAATTCAGATCTTTTCCTTTTATGTAGTTAATGATGTAGTGTCCTGAATGCCAAACAATGGCCTTTGATGTGAAAAATATTTATACATCTTTGGTATATTTCAGCTTCTTGGGTTTGTAGACTCTGTACTAGTTAACCAAACATCTAAAATGGTTCTTAATTAAGGTTTTCGAACTGTAGTACACTAATTCTCCTGGCTTCTGATGGCTTCTTAAATCCTGGTGCCCAGGAGTTTAGAAGTATGTTTGAAGATAGAAGCGTTTGCGAAAACCTTTTAACACCCATTTAAACGACCCCGACTGTTTCAGAGTGGGTAAGGGCAAGATCAGTTGGTGGTACAAAGCAGAAAATGATTGCCAAAAAGAGCTGACAGTATAGGCACCTAGACTTTTCATCACTTTTCAAGACTTTTGCCTTTCCACAAAACTGTCTTGTAACCTCTCATCCGTGCACTGTTATCCGCCTCAACTGGGGACAAGCTCTAGGATGCTCCCCAACTCCAGTAAAAGGCCAATTCCACCAACTCTGAACTCTGAAGCACAAAGTATTTCTTATACTTACTTACAAAGAAAAAAAACAACAACAACAAAACACAATCTTACTCTAGCCCAGGGTTGAAAACTACATCAAGTGTCAATGCTAAAAATACATCAGTTGAACAAAATTTGACCTCCTGAATAGAGATAGATTTATCTTGATATGTATGAACTAATATAAGACCACATGTTAATATTATTGAAGCTACTATTCCGTGTTTGTGTAACTTTTTATTATCACTGTGGTATCAAGTCAGTGTCATGCCTCAGCCTTATATTGAAATAAAAAAAATTGTAGTATTGTGACAACACTAGTCTAGCCTCCTAAATGTTGCTATGTTATACCATGTTATTTTTAATCAAATCTTGACAGTTGAGTTCAGTTTAAGTCTATCCTGAGTGGATGTTTTTGTAGCATTGAAAAATGTTGGAAAACATGTGCCCATACTCTGAGCGGGCTTGCAACACCCAAACCTCTTATTTGTCTCAGAGGAGGGCCTACACCTGTTTGTCTCTTTTGGGTTTCAAACAGATATATTACAAAGTATGCAAACTATATCTCTCTTCATGGAGAGAACTGTATAATATGTAATATTTTCATGGATCTCACGGGCCTGCCTCAGAAAGTTACACAGTGTTTTTTTAAGCTGATATAGCTCACAAAATAAAAATGTCCTGCGTTGGACCTTGTGGGAGCGTGTGTCCACTATCCCTCACTGTCGCCCTGAGTCACACAGTCACCTCTGGAGCAGAAGGGCTGAGCTCAGCCGCAAACAGACACAGATCTGTCATCTCCTTGGCTTCGCTTCATCTATTCACATCTTTGTGCTGCACATAGCGAATATGACAGTCAAGGTAAACTGTGACAAGGCTAATGCTAAAACTGTGCTGACCAGTGAATCGTATCTGTGTAATTGCAGAGTTGACTATATTGTCAATTCTATTATTGTTTTTTTCTCTCAATAACATATCTCAAATTAAAGTTTGCAATCCATCAAAAAACATGTATATCGGTTGGTTTGAATGGTATCATGTATAAACTTGTTTGTAAGGTTGGAACATTACATGCTGTTAATGTTGTATCTGCCCCTATCAAATAAACTATAAATGCATACATAAGATGAGGAGAAGAGGTAGAGTTTCACTGGGTCATAAAAAAGTAAAAAAAAAAAATAGCAGAACAGGTGCTCTACAAGGGTTAAATTTAAATCTCAACAGAATGTAGCCCTTACTGGTAAATGTAAATTTTACAATGTAAATTTGACATTTTCCAGTAAGTGCTACATTCTTTTGAGAAATATATACACAAATTAGTTTATTTGGAAAATATTTTTTTCGACACTACTGATCTTGTAATTGATATACTATGCCACTCAAATCTCACATAAAAAATTTTACCAGATTTGAATGCAGTTCTCTCCTCAACATGATTTTCTCTCTTCGTTGTTCTCAAAGTGACACTTCAATAGACTTTATCTTGTTAACCTGTCAGCCACATTCATCCCTAAAACACTAGAGGACCTAGGTGAGTCACAAGGCTAACACACATTTATTTAACACCGACAGCTTGCATTTCTCACTTATTCGAGTTTCTTTTTCACCTTTGCTGTGTTAAAAAGCGAATGTGATCTCATTTGTGTGACCATTTTTTTTTTTGTAAAATTGCCATATTATGATTCAACAAATAAACTGTAAACCTCTTAAATGTTCAAAGACACCTTTTCTAACCCACTCCTCCCACTGGGCAGCCTTGGCAATGCTCCTTGGCATTGAGTGACTGACAGGTAGATTTAACCAAGAAACAAATTACCTTATTTATACTGTATGAAGATACAATACACAAATCATGCTGAAATGAAAACTGTGATCTTAGAAAAATGTGAAAGTATTTTTTTGCATATTACCCACCCTACTTTTCACCCCCAAGTTCCGCCAATATTGCCCTTCCGATATTTGGCTTGCTGCTGTGGCCAATAACTGATATTCACTTTATCTTAAATTGAATTAAAGATCACAACTTTTTTGTTAAAGTCTAAAAAGTCAAATTCTAAAACCCGTCTGATATCGGCTTATACTGATATTTAAATATTGCCCATTCCTAGATTTAGTTCCTATTGCAACCTGCAGAAGTAAACAATTTTCTTTAGTGACATTGCATAAAGGACAAGGATAATTTGCACTGTTTGACTGGTGAGATCAATTGGCCGTGTTGCCTTGCAGGTGATGGAGTACGAGAACAGAATAAGGGCGTACTCGACACCAGACAAGATTTTCCGGTACTTTGCCACTCTGAAGGTCATCAGCGAACACGGAGATGCCGAGGTCTACATGACGCCACAGGACTTCATCCGCTCCATCACGCCCAATGAGAAGCAGCCCGAGAGTGAGTAGTTTGGTCTCAACCCTATTAACTGCTCTTGGTATAAAACCAATTATACCACCATTTGGCAGGACCAGGTGAACTGAATATAAGGCTGTGCAATTAATCCAATTTTTTTTAGATGAAGATTCACCCATTACTAATCATCTTTTGGTCTTTTTAACTGAGAGGTCCACAGCCAGCCCTCCATCAGTGAAAGCATTTTTTTTTTAGATTCATTTTTTGTGTTTAAACGGCAGTGATTAAAAGTCAAAATCAAATTGAAAATTGTGTTTGATCAATACGAGATTAACACCGACCTCAGTTTGTAAGATTGATTCCTGACTCGCAACAACCTGTTGAATGTGTCTCCTCATTCTTAACACCACAGCTTTGTCATGTCCATAGTCTGCAAGCCAAAACATCAGGTGAAAAATATCTCCTTAAAAGTATGTGTATTTTTGAAGCAGGATAATGGGCATGTTTTGGGTATTTAAGAATTTGGTTAGATAAGGAAAAATTGTGATGCTAGATGCATCATCTTCAAAACTGCAGTTCTTGTTGTGCAGTGGTCAGTATCTGTCTAAAAGAACAAGTGATCAGAAAACCAGTAGCCCACATGGTGAGTGGAGGCTGGTCTCTATGATCTAACCCAACAGACAAGCTGCTGCTGTATTTATTAGGAAAAGTTGCAGATCTGAGTTCACTGAGTTTGAATGCTGAGTGAGATGTTATGAGTCTGAGATCATAACAAAAACTACCACCAGCACAAGACAGATGGTGTGCTATATCTTATCCCTGCCTGGCTGTCATAGTTGTCTCAATTGTAAGCTTTTTGCTGTCAATATATTGATTAATTCATTTACAGCTGTCTTCTGCTCCAATAACAATCTGTATTTTCTTAAGTGTGATAATTTCAATTCATTTGACTGGGCCTTCAAGTGACATTTTACCATTTACCCAGGCGTCTTCTTAATTTTTCCTGTTATGCAAGGGGTGGAGCGATGTTGATAAAAACAAATGTCTCCTTTTTTGTAATAATAATGATAATCAGATAATAGTTTCACAGTCCATTACAAATATGCCTGTAAATATCTTGGTTAGGGTTCAAATCTTGCACAAAAGACTAATCTTTTTTTTTTTATTATAGGCAATGTCTGAGATACAGGGAGAGAGATACAGGGAGAGAGATACAGGGAGAGAGATACAGGGAGAGAGATACAGGGAGAGAGATACAGGGAGAGAGATACAGGAGAGAGAGAGAGATACAGGGAGAGAGATACAGGGAGAGAGATACAGGGAGAGAGATACAGGAGAGAGAGAGAGAGAGAGAGAGAGAGAGAGAGTCGGAGAGATGGAGAAGGGAGAGTGCTGCTGAGCCCAGGAAATCACAACACAGCAGTTGGTGTATCAATTAACACGTCCAAACTGGAGCAGATCTTAAGCATTGCATGCAGCAGCTCTGTGAGATATGTGATCCCTGCACGACAGGAGGACTGGGATGGCAGAGGGCTTAGACTGGCATAGTGTGTGTCAGCTGTGACTGGTTTAACAATAAACCACATTTATTTAAAGAAGATCTGGCATTTTGTTGTTGATCTAAGCCCTGACTTTTGTGTCTTAACAGTATTGAGCTGCGTTCACATTTGTCTTCGTTTAGTTTGATCACTGCAACCGCTCTAGTCTGGGGGGTTTGGTCATGATCTTGTCCAGGTTTAGGTCTGTTGGTCCCAGTCAGTTTAGTCATAATTTTCATGTGTGTACAATTGTGAATGATTAATAAAATAACTCTAGACAGTGTATTGTGGAGTTTTGAGGGACTTTTAGTGGCTATCAGCAGCAGTGTCACTTTTCGTGTTCGTCACCACTTCTCTTATTTAATGTTCCCACATGCAGACTGTTTGGCTTTTCCACCTTAGTGGTTTGTACCTTAAGTCAATTTCAGTTCTATTAACGGCTTCAGAAAGCTTTTCCATTTGGGAAAGCACAGAACACCCCCCATAGTTTACATTGAGCACGTTTTTTAATCCTCTCCTTTATTCACACCTAGGCTCTGAAATGGCACAATGATCAGTGACTGAAATTTCTTGTTGGTCTTGATAGCTTAGTAGCAAGTGAAATCCAACAAAATTACAAACTGGTTAATTATAAGTAATAAAACAACATGTATTAGCAAACGATTAGATCAAAATGACAAGTTTTGATGAAAGAGATTAATTTCCTGATACAAAAAGCATGCAATGTAATAATGCAACAAATTAAAGCTGTTTCAAGAACCAACAGTAATCAGCAACGGTCTTATCTAGTCACTTCATGCACTAATGTTACTTTTTGTATAAATTATGGAGATATTTGCTTGTAATTGTTTATCATAATAAATGGCAAACTGGAAATGAGTTGCTAATAGCCATTATCAGTCTTTAGTGCTCATAATTTGATTAGCTACAATCCAGTGATAATTTATAATAAAAGCTCCTCGGTCCACTTGGTCTTCTTTGTCACACTGTTTCATCTTGTTTTTCAGACCTTGGCTTGGATCAATTCATTGTAAAGCGCTATGATGGCAAGGTAAGAAATAAATAACTTCAACTTCTGAATTAAATTAGTGTCCGGTCAGAGAGGTCAGACTGAATAGAGGCAGCACAGATAATGAATTGAATTGTCCATTGAATTGTTAACACAGGTTCATAAAATTAACAAACAAATGCTCAGTTTACTAAAGATAATTAACTTTTCCCTAATGACATCATTGCACATTTCTCTAGGCAACTATTTTACGGTGTTGATCTTTATAGAGGTTATTCCCACAGCACCAAATGGGCAAAAGTAATTGAGGTGAAAATGATCAATATACCATAAACTGTATCTGCAATAACAAACAAAAAATAAAACCAAAGCAAACAAGGTTCAATGATAGATTTACGTCATCTAAAAATAGACAATCATTAATGTCTACAGAGAGCTAATACATTGGAAAGATGCTAGAATTGGGTGTTGATGAGTTTTACATGCGCAGTTTTATATTTTAGTTTTAGCCTTTACTCATAATATTGTCCATTTTAATAATTTCATCACGTGAAAACCCCAAGCTGCGATGACTCAGTTCATTATCCATTATATTGGTCCATTTCTTGATATTGATTAGTGACCACAGCATCTGATGATCCCAGGAAGTATAAACCAAACTCATTTATTCACTTAATTATCAGTGTGTTGATTATAGTTTCCACCCTCATTACGCCACCACCAGCCTGTAGGCACCACAGCTAATGATGACCAATATAGCCAGTCGTCTAATTTAAGCAGCATTTAAAAGTCTGTCGAACCTTGTAAGAAACCTTTGGCCTTCTAACTTTGCAATTTGCATTAAGTGTTGCCCATCTATACTGCTGTGTACTCTCAGCATATACAGTAGAATTTCCTACATTTAGCCCTAAAACGTATTCAACTTTTAACTTTAATCATGAAACATAAACATTTACCTGTAGGAATTTCTGCTTTTTCCATGTACATTATATTAGTAGTAGTAGACTTGCATTTTACAACCCTTGACTTAATTTAAATTTAAAGCAAAATATTTTATCATTATATGTTACTTTAACCTATCAATGTGACAGAACACAATTTAAAGGTGCACTGTGTAACTTTTTTGGTTGGAGGTCCGTCACCTGTTTGTTTCTGTGGACATGTAATTGCTCTGCCTGGAATGAAAAAAAAAAACAGGCATTCTGACTGTGAGCGAGGTCGCCTCTCCATAGATCTGACCTGTAACTTGGTCCGGTTTGGCCTCCATGAAGATAGAAAGGTTTAATATCATACTGTAGAACAATCCAGAAAAAGCAATAACATCTCCACAGAGAAAAGCATCTGGCAGACCCTCCACCAGAAAACTTGCACAATGCAACTTTAACAGTTAATAGTTTAAGTCAGGTGAAAAGTGTGAAGAGATACGTATAATTTTTTATAATGCAGGATTAAACACAGTAATCCACATGTTGTAATGACCTCTATCAGCTCAATATAAACATGAATAAACTGATCTAGTGCTGCTTGCTTTGACACATCATGAGATAACCAAACCCCATTAGTACGAAGAATAGTGTTATAGAGTCCATCATTTGATTATGTAAATTCTATCCGCAGGCGCCATGTTCCTCTATTTGCCTGTTAAATCTGGTTGCATCAGTTTGATATGCTGTATTTAGCTTTGGTTGTCCCTTGAGATTTTGTGGCTATAGTCAGGGCAGCCTCCTCTCCCTCTCAGCTCATTTTTTTGCCTAGAGACACGTGCTTTCTGCTCATTGGCTTAATGGGCACCTCTAGATAGTTGGAACAAGAAAAAAGCCCTCCGTGTCCCCTGCCAAGAAACCATGAAATCCAGTTCACTCGAAGCTGCAGTGAGTTAGCCCTCCTGAGGCCGGCACAGCGCACAGAGTAATATACTGCAATATAAAGTAGCACGTGTAAATCATTTTGAGTTGATGGACGCTGTGCAGTGGGGTGTCAGTAGTAAACTAAAGCTTAGGTCAATAGCGGAATATTAAGCCTTGTTTGTAACATGAGATGAGCAGATCACCTCCCTCTACCATGTTTTTAAATAGCTCATCTACGTAAGCTATTTGTCACCTGGCGTCGTGTTTGGCCGCATTATAACCATGTATGTGTCCAAAAGCTCAAACAACAGGCCTCTCCACGCACGCCCACACCTGCTGACACTCATTTGTACTAACCTTGGGGTATTATATATACAGTACATACAATACATGCTGGTATAATGACTATGTTGACTATACATATATATGGTTTAGTATAGTTAGATAATTGATAACTAAAGTATTACTTGAAATCTGTGAACATGGAATAGAAAGCTTCATATTTTTTTTCAATATCAAATTATTCGTAGTTTTAAAAGGAAAATACAATTTGGTAATCCTTCTAGATTAATACTAATTATAAACAGGCACTTAAACACCCATCCTTATTTTGCTATAGCGGCTTTACCCTATTAACTGCTCATGTCCTGTGTTAATGAAATGTGATATGATCCAGATTGTGTACATTTGTTATTAAATTCACATGTTATCATGTTTGTTTTCACTACCCTGGTCTAATATGCTTTCAGATGCCGTGATAACTTCTGTATGTCAATGTGATTACATGTGTGGCCATATTTAATTGTACCCAATCACAAGTAATCCCCCGCCATGTTCTCTTTCTCCCTGTTTCTCGTGAATAACCGTCATGGCCATCTCCCTCCACTTTTCCCTGTGTCCTCCCCAACCATTCCCACAAAATCCCTCTCTGCAGGACTTCTGGCAGGTATGGGGTGTATGCTGAGCAGCATGAATGCACCTGTATGAAATTAAACCGCACCTTGTACTCACTGTGCCCTCAACTTTACTACCTCTAATTTTATTTAAGTGACTTTAGTTTCTCATTCCTCTTTTTATCCTTTCAGTCCTTCATACTAATGTGAGGGGTCTATTCACTGCAGTTAGTCCAGGGGAACAGCCAAGTAAGACTGTTTTACACCTCAGCTTCAATATTTGAACATTTGTGGGCTGTGAGAGCAATACTACAATCTTTTTGCATAACATTTTATTTTCATAGTTGGAAAAAAAAAAAAAAATAAAATAAAATATGTATGTATATGTATATATATATATATATATATATATATATATATATATATATATATATATATATATATATATATATATATATATATATATATATATATATATATATATATATATATATATATATATATAGCAATTTTAATCAAATTATGCAGTGTATGTTGCTTTTTGGCTAGTGTTTAGCCTTAGTAAATTTATGCGAGCCAAGACTAAAATAAATTGGGATTCCTCTGGCATTTAATCGTCTGTTAAAGTGTTATGCGCCACCTGCAGACAACACAGCACATTGCTTTACAAAATACAAATTGTGCTTCTATTGTCTTTTTAGTTGTGTGCTTTTACTAAGCTGCTCGCGATTGTTATATTAGATCTTTAGCAGAACCCTTTTCTGTAAAAAAAAAAAAGTTTCAGATGCATAGTTTGAGGTCTGAAGTGTTTTTTTGTGAACACACTTTAACCTATAGGCCTTATCTATTAGTGATTAGTCCAACTGTATCAAAGGGCAGGTTGCTGCTGGTTAAGTGTGTGTGTACTTAAGGGGGGGCTGCATATGTACACACCCTGCTTTGTGTGTCTAAAATATGCAAACTCATTCTGCGGATACTGGACACGCTGTGCCCTTTGAATATGGGCCTGGACATACGCAGATGCTTGCTCTGCCTTTGCTGCTAAATTATTAACAGTGAATACAGGTATTATTAAATGATACTGCAGCACTGCTACATAATTTACAGGCTAAGTTGGTACCTTAAAGTGAACTTCACTTGCATATAAGCCCTGCAAAGCTGAGTTTTATGTTTGTTTTATTCAAACTTTATTGGGTATCCCCAAACCGCAGTGCTGTTCCCCTGTTCTCTCCCCTTTTTACTTTACAAAACTCTTATCATCTTTTCATGCAAGGAAAGTCAGCTCAAGCTTTCCACGCGCCTTGGCTCCTCTGCTGTATACTCCCAGCATGCACTGCTCTATGCCTGTATCTAACTGAGACTGATCTGGTGGGGCACCCCTCTCTGTGCATGGTGGCATTCAGGGTGGTTTGGTTTGATAGTGGGGCTCTTGTTAGCTAAAGTGGAGGCTGTGTTGTGCTTGAGAGCCACTCCATCCTCTGGGTTGTTGAGACGTCAGTGCTGCATGATCTCTGTAGAGCATGGTTTAGCACAACGTGAGGCAGGGCTCGCTCTGTACATGTACTTCCTGTTTACTGTTGCCGAGTGCATAGCATCACAGGATCAGCTCTGGCAGACGGAGTGAGGAGCCACTTCACACTAACTGTTGTCATGTTCACTCTTTCAATTTCACAGGAAACTTTCACAGCTGCTGTATGGACTGGCACTTCTATACTTCAGCATACTGTCTATGCTGTAGCATACTACTAGCAATACACCTATAGGTTGTGTTCCCGTGATGCCACAACATTGTACAGACTAATGGATTGAAAAGGGGTAGCCTGTGTAAACATTCACATGTTTTGACTTTATAGTTAATCGCACTGTCGTCATGGCACCAAAACAAAGCCAAATGTTTAGTGTACCTATTGTCAACAAAAATCATTATAGTAACTATAACTATTGTAACTATAGTAACATTATTGTAAATATAGTCCCTTAAGGCTTATCCTAAAAAAATCATGTTATGTTTGGGACATTGCTCTCAATGTGATTTATATCAAAACGTGAACACAACTTTCCTACTTATTCTCTTTGGACCCCTCCATGTTCTTAAACTAACTTTAACAACAGGTTTTCTCTCGTCTGTCAATTCTAAAAGGTTGGTATGTCTCTGCACTCAGTCAGCTGGTTCAGTGCCCCTCCCATTTTTACGGGGCAGCTGCTGGTCCTTTCTGACCAACTCTTGTTTATTGAGTGTTCCACATCAGGAGTCATTATTCTGAATGTGTTCCCTGAATAATTAGCTGTTATTAACAGTACACCTGCTCCATAGTTACCCACGGGACTAGAGCTGGGAAGCAAAGCCAGCGCATTAGTTTTCCTCCTCCTACGCACATGCCTACACACCCAGAAGGTGGCAGGAAATGTTTACTATTGACCTTGGTAATTGTAGTGGTGGTTAGGATTGTTTGGTATGCACAACGAAGGGCAGATTTAGTTGTAAAATAGATTTGCTTTTGTAGTAGTAATTGTAGTAGAAAATAAGAAATTGTCAAGGACAGATATTTTATCACTGCCAACATACATGTATAATGAATGAAGTGCTATTTTGAGTTGCAAGCTGAAAAGAGAATTTAGGTCTGTATTAGAAGTCTTCAGTTTTGCATTTGTACCAAGGCTTTTGGATCTTTTGTGCAATTTTGTGTTGTATACACTGATATAGTCCTTTATCCAGAGCGAGTTAATTAAAATCTATAACTGTTAATTAAGTCATGTCTTAATAGTCTTGTATGGTTGCAGGCTCATATTAAGCAAGTCAGCTTTGTGAGCCCAGCTGTAGCCCATAGTCAAAAATGTCTATGGCTGTTCACAAATGTCAACCCTGGACCTGAGCTGACTTTAGCCTGAAGCATGTCATTCAAAATTCTCTGTAGATTTTTTTCTTTCCAATTGTACCTGCCAAAGTGACAGTAACCCTAGAGCTACAGCACATCACAGGGGGCACTGCGGACATGAAGGTACTGATCCATTTTTAATGTGTTTGCGTCGTCACCTCGGTTTTCCAATGACCATGGTTCTTCATACTGTACCAGTGCTATTTTAATCACCCATTATTTTTACTGTGACAGAATTCTGATTCTTGAAAAAAAAGTTTCTCAAAATATTTGGCTTTTAAAAGTACAGTCTTTGATGCAGTAATTCTCATTACACAAATGAGGGCTAAACCAAGTATTCATTTGATCTAGTAATATGCAGTCATAGTAACTTTGTACTCTAGAATACGAATTTAACAGACGCACCACTGCCTCAGTTGCCAGAGACATATTCCTAACACAACATTATTTCACCCTTGTCAAACAATTTATTTGATTAAATATAAATGCATTTTATATCATGAAGGAACAGAAAAGCAGATTTTGCAGCTGGTTGTCATTTATTTATACCCATGCTTGCATTTCTTATTGCTGACAATTGTGATTCTGGCCCAGACACAATCCCATGTTTATGCACATTAAAATACAGCATTTAAAGTTGCATAGATTTTTTCCTCTTATCTTTGTGTCTGAGTTGGGGCTGAGGCTGTGTGCTGCTGCAGTGTTGGATCAGGTCAGATAGAATCAATAACAAAACACTGCAGCCAATATAGCTGCTTATGAACAACAAGGCCAAGTCTGGGCTGCTCTCTTGTGTATGCAGTTTTAGGAGTTGTAGTATTTTTTTATATACATATATAAAGGTTTTGCTTTTGTTTGACACAGTAGGCCATAGCCATAGAAATGCAGGAGAGTCAAGAGACACAGTGATAGATCTATTCCTTTGAAGTACAAAACTAGAGGAACGAGAGAACGCAAGGTACTTTTCTCTCAGTACTAAAGATAAACAGCTCAAATATAAGTTCACAATAAAAAAATAAATATATAAACTTGAGGGGTAAATTCTCTTTCCACTGACCCAAGAAACATTTTCACTTTTCCATTGCAACAAGGACCTAAACCGAACCCTGTGTAATTTTAATCCGTGTATTTTGGTCCACTTCTACATTTAGATATTCTCAAATCAAATGTGTTAAATGAGCTTAGAGACCCTCAGCGCCTTTACCATGTCCAAGCCATTAGCATTAGCTTGACTTTTTACCCTCATTTGTTGAACTTAGCCTTGTTCAAATTTGGCTGTTGCTCCTCCAAGCGTACCCTACAGCCCAGCAACGTAGTAGATAACCCCTGACTGAAGTTTTAACACCGTCTGTCTATTTTTGTGGCAGCTCGCTGTTTCTGCCTCAGCTCACAGCCCTGCCTAGTTTTGTCATATGAAGAAAAGGCCATTGCTGTAGTGCTGTAGTGTAGCTGACACATGCAAATCTGGACGAACATATGAACAAGCCCAAGGCACAGATTTAATAAGACATGTTCATATTATGTTCATGGTCAACTGCAAAGATGACACAGTTAATGAGACACGCACATTAGCAGGAAGGACCCAATGCTAATTACAACAGTGACAATTTTATTTAATTAAGCTCAGAAATGTTAGATGCAGCTGTGTAGTGAATAGATGACTGTGAAAGCAAGTTTTTAATGAGTTTAGTTGAAATGAAAAGAATAAATGTCTTTGATTTAGTACCCAGAGGTAAAGTCAAGTCATCTTTATTGTAGAGCACAATTCGTACACAGAGTAATTCAAAGTGCTTTGCCAAACAACAAGGATGCAGCCACATCACAATATGAAATATAAACATGAATAATCATCACAGTTTATTTTACAAAGAGTGCAACTAAAACCCTTGTCAAATGCACAACTACCGGAAAAAATGAAGCATAGATTTGAACATTTGTCAGAGTAGAGACTGTTCCATATGTTGAAATATGTTATGAAAAAATACTCTCTAATAATAATGCAAGCTATTGGTAGCTGTCAGCATCTATGACGTGATGATGTCATACACTCAGAGCACGAGGCAGTTTTCCGTGCTGATCACATGGTGTTCTCATAAAAATCCAAAAGGTAAATTCACCAGTGTTGAAAATGGTCTTTTCCATTAGAGACGACCTGAGAACTTGCTACATTTTAACAATATTCATTTTAGCTGCCCCTATCTGTATTAAATATAATTGGACTATAAAATGTTATATTGTAATCTGAAACCCAGCTATAGTACTCTCTAGTCTAGTCCGTAAAATGCAAGAGTTATACTGTATAGCAAAATATTAATGCTACTCTTATTACTCTGCATGCCCTAAATCTTTACTAATTGGTGTATTTTACAGTTTAACTACTAGATAACTTAAACATATTATTTGAGATATCATATACTGTATTTTCTCTTGGTTCACATCTGAGTGAATCATACCATAGCCAGACCCAGCCTAATTCCTGATGCGTGATGTGCATCGTGGTGGTTGTTGTAAGTCACTGCCCTTTTCTGCAGCCATCTTTCATGATCTGATTAGATTGCAGAGATTTAATTTTTGTATCATACATCACAATAACTCCACTTTAAGAGTTTTCCATCATTGTCAGTCTCACGTTGACCTTTTAGCTTTTGAAAACTGAAGCTTTGTCGGGAATTTGATTTGATAGCATTGTTAGCCTGCAATACAATAAGGCCGAAATAGAAGATGACATAGATATTTTTGTCTGTGAATGGTTTTTTTTTCGTAATCTTTTTGCTTTTTATGCTAATTACTGTCAATGTCATTAGTTTCTTTTTAATTTAAGCTGTGGGGCTGTCCTTAACTCTGGTTACTAATTTGCCCCAGGTCTTGTATCTGATCATTTTAAAAGTCCAGTATGTCTTTTATGTTGGTGGCTGTGTAGGCATGTGTGGGTGTTTCAGTTTACTCATTTGAATACCCTTCCTGGTGTCTTTTTTTAAGCTTTATTGTCTGACATAGATTACCTAAGGCTGCTTGCCATTTCCTGTTTTAGCTCAGAGTGCAGCGGACAACACCAAGCTTTCTCTTATTTCATCATCTTCTGTATTTTTGTTCTTATTAGCTCATAAAAACTACAACTTTTCAACGATATTTATTTATTTGTCTTTTATATTCTACTACTAGCACGATTACACCCACTCCCTTCTCTAGATGCCAAAAGTGTATAGCTTCAAAATAGCTTTGCATGTTGACAAAATCTTATTATCATATCAAAGCCTGTCACTGCCTTTATTTAAAAGATCTCTTGAGAAGGGAGTTTATATTACGAAAATAAATTAAGGAGAATGCCACCAAAGTTTGTTTTCAACTTAAATCTCACAAATAATGTTTGATATTTGCCAAAAGATTGTAGCTAGTTTTGAGTGGCATTCTCCTTATGATATTATTATGATGTGATATTTTATGGGATTGTCACTGTTACACTTTGATTGCACCTGTGTGTCTTGTTGTTTAAGGCCCTGCTAAAGTCCAGCAGAGGCTGCACGTTTTTTCTAACAGTTGTTTGTCCTTCTTCCTCTTCCTTGAAATGGACACTTTTCAGACGGAGGTAACTTCACGTGGGCTTATTTGTCAGCTAAGCCCTTCCCACAACCACACACCACCCAAACAAGGCATGCTCTGTCCAATTGTCTGCTCTCTCCTTAAGGGACATTGTCTTTAACTGTTTAGGATGCATGATTTTACATTGACTTCATGCAATGCTATCTAAACACATGTTAACAGGAAAATGTCATTAATGTTGAAGGGGGTTAATTAGATTGTGTGTCTGTCACTCTGTACTCGCAGTCTTTGTGTCCTTGTCTTTTTTGCTGTCTCCTGTGAGTATACCGTCTGTGGTGAAAAACACTGTTCACCAACTGACCAAAGACTACTTCTTACTATTTCAACCTTTCATGTGTATGTGGCATTTTGCATGAATTTGAATGTGCTAGACTGTCTTCTGCAAATGATCATTACACACACTGCGTATTTTTAATGTGTGTGGAAGTACAGTGTCTTTCTCTACCCTCACACCACCACACCTGGGGCAGCTGGTAGAAACTATAGAGCTGATCATGGAAAATCTATTTTAATATATACGTTTTGTTCTTTTTTCTCGACCTGGATGAGCAGAAAATAGCCCAAGAAAGAGAGAAGTTTGCAGATGAGGACAGCATATTTTACACACTGGGGGAGTGTGGCCTTATCTCCTTCTCAGACTACATTTTCCTCACCACAGTCTTGTCCAGTAAGTACTTAGATCAAATCTCCTGTTTCAAAAAAGGTCCACACAAGTCTAAAACTAATATTTTATCTGCCATAAATGTATTCAAAATGAAAGTTAATGTATGTACCTTATATATTATATGAATCCCAGATGACTGCCAGAGGGTGGTGCTGAAAGCACTGAATGTTCCCTTTGCACATGCACGGTTCCCGTAGTAATATCAGTTGAGTCACACCTGTGCCCCAAGATGACGCCCTGGAGATAATATAGTCCCTCGTCATCCGTGATTCTGCTCCTACAGAATCTTCTCAAGTGACAGGGTATTTCTGGTGGTCATTCAGGATTCATTGAAGTGTAGGTACATACGTAATTTTTGCTCTATTTCATCCCTGCTGACCGCCAGAGGGCGGTGCTGAAAGCACTGAATGACTAATACCAGCTATGTCATGAAGAATCCTGAGCACATACCTTACTGAGAAGAGCCCAGAAATTCATGAAGAACCCCACCAATAGGATGAGGAGAGGCCACATTGATGTTGTAGAATCTGGCAAATGTGCAGCAGCAGAACATATATCTTCAAAGCTGCCCATGAAGTGGAGATGCCTCGAGTAGAATGGGCCCTCACACCAGATGGAGGGTTGCGGCCCACAACTCTGTAGGCATGGTGAAAGGCGCTGTCTGGAAAGAGGGCGGCCCTTTTTAGCACCCCATATCACAAGAACAGCTGGTCTGAACGCTTCATACCTGCCGTAGCTGCAATATAGGTTTTCAGTGCCCACACAGGGCATAACAACTGCAGCTTGTCCCTGCCCTCTCTAAGCGGGGATGCAAAAACTGAGCCAAACTCAAAGGCTCATTACAGTGAGAACGGGACAACAACTTCCGCACAAACACTGTGCTGACACCAGAGGTGACAACAGGGTAATACCAGAATGGACTCATAGAATGAATTTTAAAAAACTTATAACATTATATAAGTTATAAGTTAGGTGTCTCTGTAGGAAAATGTGTCCTTTGCATTTGATCCCAGCTTTCATACGCTTTCGGACAACATGTCAGGAGAAGTAGGAACCAAAGTGCAGCTGTCACGCAGTGAGTTGTTAAAAAACTAGATACTAGAAACTAGATACTAAAAATCTGTTGTTTTGTAAATAGTTATACCATGTAGGCTAAAAATTACTTTCTGTTGTATAAAAATTATGTTTAATGTTGATTCTGCTATCATAATCAGCACTGGGGATCAAGTATCAGAAACTTAGCTGAGAGATAATTAGCCTCTTGCATTTTTTAGTTAATTGCTTGTGCTAGTAAATGGTTGAAATCTCTCAGGAAGAATGGAAAAATATTGTCTCACAAGAGCATTTATTCCATTCTAGATAAAAAGTAAGGAAGAAGGTACCATTGCATTAAATTGTGTTGACTACACGGGTCTTAATTTTGAAGACTTGATCATAACTTGCCTTATGACCATCAATAATCTGTGCTGTAAATATAAAAAGATTAGAGCAGAAAAGTTTTCTTGCACTTTTAAAACTTGAACTTATTTTAATAGATCAGGGATTGGGGGCTAGGATGAATGCCTGTTTTCTGAATGCATCAGAGTTTGTAATAAAAATCCAACTCTGACGCTGCCTTCTCCACTGGCTAGTAAACTTTATCCTCAGCTTAGCGTCACCATTTATTATAATCCGTTCATATGGATAAAGTCTCTAGGGAAATTTTCAAGGACAAGTCATTTTTAAGCAGACAGGGCAGGATGCCTTATGCTTACTTTCAGTTTATTTAGCATAAATGGCAAAACAGACACATATTCACACTGTAACAGATGAACATCCCGACTGTCTAGTGACACAAATGAGATTATAAAGAGGGAAATATCGGCCTGTAGAAAATGATGCACTTAATATTGAATATGTGTAAAGTAAAAAGAGTTCTGTGTCATAAAGGATTCCCTGTTGCCAAGGTTATTGTAGTGCAAACTTCAGTGACATGAAATTTGATCTCTTACTTTACCAGTAATAAAACACTATTCTAATATGATCCGCAATAGGCAATCGTCATACTGGATGACGAATAAAACACTTGAAGAAGGCTGTATATTCCCAAGGCACAGTTGCACTCTTACCACTATTTAACCACCACTGCATACAATAGTACATTCTTTTTTAGAGTCAGAGATTTGCAAATAAGTCATAGTGATTCTGTTTAGAAGATGCTTTGATTGAAGTTACCAGATTGGAGGCGTAGAACAATAAAGTAAATTGTCAACATAGAGTCATGAATAGAATAGGCTCAAGTACTGGGCTGAATTAAAATGGATGATTCACTGCGCTGGGTGACTAACAGTTTTTAAATGTGTTCAGGGCACTGTGAGGCTGTGAAGAGATGAGTGAATCTGTATTTGTCACTGCTGGCTGTGTACTGTAGTTTATGCAGTGTGACAGTGCTCCATCTAAAGGTGCTATTGATTTACTAGCATTGTCTCTGTATCTGTCCATCTCATGTCCTGTGCAGCTCCCCAGAGGAACTTTGAGATCGCCTTCAAGATGTTTGACCTCAATGGGGATGGAGAGGTGGATCTGGAGGAGTTTGAACAGGTTAAAACCCTAGACACCTGTAAATCATTTCAAATCAGTTGTACAGATTAGTGTATTGTATCTTATTTTTCAGTACATTTCAAATGTTTCATTTAAAGTGAGACTTGTATTAATTACAATATATTGATTTATTATATACAGTTTGATTCTTTATAATACTGTATTTTCCGGGCTATTAGACGCACTCTTAAGCCTCTAACCACATCAAAAAACGGCCGCGCGCCCCGCAATTCAGAGCACCCCATACATGAATCCACTCGGATGTCCCAGCACGAATTCAGTAAACTATAAAGCCGCACCACCCTCAGTGCAATCAAACACACACAGAGCAGACAGCGACCGCGCAGCGAAACACACTCGCAGCCACACCCATCACTCCACGCCGACAAGGAACGGAACGGAGGAACGAACCGAAAAAGCGAGTCCAATGTGCCACTTCTAGACACAACTGAACAACTGAGTCACTGCGAACACGCTGACAATCCAGAGGTCCCAGACAGCACCCTCCCTACACGCCACAAGTGAACAAAGCCCAGAGTCACCATGAACACGTCAAACAAATTTCGATGAGGTTTATTTGTGAAAAAAGTTTGAAAATAGACCATTTAATGACAGTGTGTCTTATAATCCAGAGCGCCTAATAGCCCGTAAAATACAGTACTTACTTATATAAGAATAACAAGCAAAATTCCTTGTTTCATACAATTAAAGGACTCTCATGCAACATTTTTAGAGCACCTTTAAGTAAGAGAACCTGGAAAGGTGCTCTATGTAACTTTTCTGGTGAGAATATGCAATCTGCTTGTCCATAGAGATATTACTGTCCCGCTTAGTTTAATGCCATACAGTGGAACATTCCAGGCAAAGTATCTCCATGGAGATGAGCAGGAAACAGACCCTCTACCAGAAAACCTTGAAGATTTTAAAACAAATAAAGTCTGTTAAGCCATTACTTTCTCTGATGTTTTGTTTCTGTATGATATAGGTGCAGAGTATAATCCGCTCTCAGACCAGTATGGGCATGAGGCATCGTGACCGCTCCACCACAGGAAACACTCTGAAGACGGCCGGCTGTAGCTCTGCACTCACCACGTACTTCTTTGGAGAGGATCTGAAGGGCAAACTCACCATCGGCAGCTTCCTGGAGTTTCAGAGGAAGCTGCAGCATGATGTGCTCAAACTTGAGGTCAGAAATCTCCTCATGTCCAGATAAGTTTTCTCACTCTGCTCTGGTTTTCACTTTCAATTTAAAATTACAATGATCATCTTTCTTGGTGCTCCTGACACCACTTCTATTTCCTCTGCCTCAATGTCTCTTACTGGGACAAGAAATTATACCTGTATCATACAAGCAGGGCTACATAATTTTAGAAAAAATATCTACTTGTGATTTTTCTGACAAGTATTGTGATTGAGGTGAGATTTGTGGTTTGTTTTCAAATCTGGATTAAGTTCATAATGACATGCACCATTTTAAATGCATCCTTGAGCCTTAACATTTGAGAGAAGACTGAAATCTGAAATACATGGCAATCTTACTTTCGTTTAACAGTTAAGAACAAGTTGTAGAGGTCTTAAAGGTTGTATGGAGGATTTTTTTTTTGTTTCAAATTGTCAATGATAGATTATAGAGATGCAGTAGCCTTGTAATTATGATGACCAAAAAAAAGAGAATAAAAATTCATCAACTCTGGACGTGGTGGGGCTAAACGTTTGCCAATAGATAACGACACTGCCTCGTTATCTGTTAGCTGACAGGCTGTCAATCAAACTCCCTACGTTTCTAGCGTAACTGACTTTCCTGCACGCTGCCATTACGTGGTTTACGTACGCCTGTCACGCAGTCCACAGACGCACAGACGCTGTTTACTCCACCAACGCAACAGTTCTTAGTGGCTTTTTTGACCTATATCTTCCTCGCAGTTAGCACAAAGTTTGTTGCAATGGCAGACAAGAATCCAGGAGCAGTTAGCCGCAAAAGAAAGTCCGTTTTTGAGGTCGCTGAAAGAAGAAGACAAGGGGAAAAGCAGCGAAGCCAAACCAAGGTGATTCTTGGAGATTCATTTAAGCGATGGTGCAACTGAAGCAGACGCAGGGTCTAAAGACTGACGCACTGGTCGCAAAATTAGTCCTGGACAGGTAACTTCTGCTTATTATGAAAACATACTTTATTTCCAAGATCTAGACAAACGTTTTTCAGGACACGAAAGCGATATCCTATGTCTGAAAACGTAATTTTCAAGGCAAAGAAAGAGTCCGCTTGCTGCTGCGTGTTGTAGCTAGTTCATTCGCACGGAATCTCCGCGCAACCTTCCCTGCACCCCTTTCCTGCTCCTCTCCCCGCTGCCCGATCCGCTCTTACCCCTGCTCCTCACTTCTACTCCGCGCACGGAATCTCCGCGCACCGCTCCCCTCCTCTCTCCTCTCCCCGCTCCGCTCTTCTCCCTGCTCCTCACTTCTTTTCCGCACACGAAATGTCCGCGCACCCGCTCCTCACTTCTCCGCCTTGCCTAACCAACACTGTAGTTAGTTGTTTACAAGTCATGTGCAGCGCACCGGCTGTAAACAGACCTGTTTCTGGAGGAGGGAGGAGGCGTTTCTACGTAGGGAGCTGTGGGCGAGGGGGGTGGTTTCACGCATGCGCAACATTTGAAAAAGGACAAACAGTCGCTGGATTTCTCGTTCCTTGGAAAATCCTCTATACAACCTTTAAATACAAGGACATAAGAGGACTTTCTATTACCTAAATAACTGTGTAATAACAGTGTTTGCAATTTGACACATGTGTCAAATTGCAGTTTACATTTATTGTGCAGCCCAAACTACCATTATCAATATAAATATACAAATCTGAATTAAAGTTGATTTGTAGTGAAAGGAAAAGTTAAAAATAAAAACAGATAAGATAAGCTGCATATAACAATTAAAATACCAAAAATAACAGTTAGGCGAACAATGTGAACAAAACCGAGGGTTAGACTGACACATGCTTCTTGTGGCTTATCTATCAGCACTTCTCAATATCACTCTTTAGACGTGTGAGCAGACTTGTCACTTCCTCCACTCTCCACTTGAATACGCTCACTGATTTTAGCACACTGTTACTGAAGTCATTAGCATGCACCACGCTTAACTTATACTCTGACACTGCCACAAGCTGCTCTAAGAATAGATTTGGAGTCTGAACATGTGGCATCTACATTCTGCAATGATAGCCCCATGATCAGAGGGCGTATAATCTCAACGCGATAGATGATCTCGGCACAGTTTAAAATAAATAAAGCTATTTTTTATATATGTCTCACTCCCTGTCTTCTCTTCTGGTTCTTTAATTGCTGAGACTGCAGCTCTCTCAGGCTGTATTTCATCAGCTGCAGATCGGTTTAGTTGGGCCTTTTATCTTGTAGGTCCTTGTGACTCAGACTAAATTGTGTTTTACTCATCTTAACAATCTTTATTTATTATAACTGTGATGTTTTGCCTGGGTGGAACTTGGGAGTCTATAGATTTATGTGATACTATATACGTAGCCCCCTAATTTTAAGACACATGTTTAGGTTTTTTGTATTATATGCAGTAGTTGTCCTAATTAACTACAGTTTTGTCCAGGCCGTGTCTCTATATTGTCAAATTTTTTTGTAGTAGTAGTAATTTTTGGTTTACATTGTATTTCACAGTTTCAGTCTTGATTTGTATTTGTAAAGTTATAGGATGTAAGATATAGGGGTGTGCAAAAATATTGAAATATCGATATGTCATATTGTTCAGTGTGATGATACAGTATCGTGAGCTGCTGTATCGATATATCGCCAAGAGTATTTTTGGTATATTTTACTAAATTATTTAGTTACAGCGCTACAGTTTTGTTGCTCATTCAGAGGAAGGAAACTCATTTATGCATCACATTTGACATATTCACTGTTTTGATGTGGTGGTTTAACAAAGACTTCTAGTATCGCAGCCATGATTTAGCCATATTTTATTGAACTGTGTTAAGATATGTATGAGATAAAATAATATCGTATAATAGTATATATAATAGTGTAATTTTTAAAATATATTTTCTTACAATAGGATGCACCACATGCACAAAAAAGTATATTTTAAATAACAGGGGGATACAGATATTAAGTTAAATATAAATATTTGAAATCCCAAATATTATCTGAGGGTGAACACCAGTGTAGTATGGGACAGACACAAAATAATAATTCACTTATTTCTTAGGAGACTGCCTTTTTGCTATCCTGCATAGTTTGACTATGTTATGAGCGCCGCATATTAACAGGCTGCTGTATTAACATTACAGGAGGAGTGAGTGAGCTCTGGTGAGGCTGTCTAAGCCACTCAGATATAAATCGACAGGATTGACCTGACACAGGCCAAGGCGTATTGCTGTTAAGACATGCTCCGGTGCAACATAGTAAAAAACAACCTCATAGAGATTTTATGTCACCACAGCAGTCACATCCATGATTCAACCTGACACTAGTATTTACTGTTTCCCATCTCCCTTTTTCTATTAATTTGTCCTCTACTGTTGCATAGTGCCTGCTCTTACGTGTCTCTCTTCCCACAGTTTGAGAGGAATGACCCAATGGATGGGAGAATCACAGAGCGACAGTTCGGGGGCATGCTGTTGGCCTACAGTGGAGTCCAGTCTCGTAAACTCAAGTTGATGCAAAAGGGATTGAAGAAGATGTTTAAAGATGCACAGGTAAATCACACTGTCACATGGATGCAGTGACTCATACTATAGTGTTAGGTCCCAGGCTGCACTCTCAAGTGTATTTCTTCAGACATAACTGTAAGAGAATTTAAGTAATTTATCCTCCACTTACATTTCTCAGTTTAACGTTGCCTCACAAAAGTTATATTTACACCATGATCTTCCCTTGGCACACCATTGGCATACCACTATTTAAATGGTGGCATATTGCTGTCTAACCGCAGATAAACCCCTCCTTTGGAAGCATTGTCAAGGGGCTTGAACACTCAAAGATCATACTATGTTCACTTTTGAACATATGGTGACTTTTCAAGTCCCCATGGGCCTGTCTTATTGATGATAAATAAACTTCTTCAGTTGATCTCCAGCCTTTTACTTCCACCCTTACTTGGACAAGCTGACAACTTTTACAGTAATAATTCCCTGTTTAATTACAAAGAGCTTAAGAAGTAATGCAACTAACTATATTATGTTTTTATTGTCTTATGATTATGGGCATTTTATTTCATAATAGGAAAGAATATTAAATGTTACTAGGCCTGTCACGATAATTACAATATTGACTTACAATTTTTGGTGACTGCTTTTTCTTTGTACTAGTGGAGAACAGTCATTATTCTGCTGTACTATACAAATCGTACAAACTAACCAGTGTTTTATTCTGATGTATTGCCTCTCATGCTTTTTAAATATATTATACAATATACAGAATAGTTTTTGTGGTAGTAGACTGCTTTAGAATTATTGTGTCAGTGGTATAAATTAGTCTAATATTATTGTTTATTATCTATATTTACTTCAGTAATATTTTGTACTTCTAAATGTGTGTACTTTTACTAACTAACTTGTAAGAACAAACCGTCTAAAACAGACTGATCCAAAATGTGACTTCTTTGGTAGAGACTAAACATCGTCATGAAGATATAAATATGCTCCATAAAGTTTCTAATTACTGCTCTTTATTGAGTGCTCTAAGCAAAGACTTCTTGACTAATTGGCAGACCCATTTGACAGATGGTACTTTGGTTGAAAATAGTGCTTAGATGCTCTTGGATACATCAATGAGAAGGATATGGCTCATCTTATCTCTATCAACAGCCTCCCAGCAGCTTAGAGTCTCTCCAATCCTTTCCTCTTGTATCTCTGTGACCAAACACTGAGCAGGCCAGACGGTTAGCAGCTCTCTGGCTTTGAGTTCTGCAGCTCACGGTGTCTATCACCTTGACTACAGCTCTATCTCCATCTGCTTGGGCCTGGTGCTGCCCTTTGGATCAAATGGTTTTATTGAATGATAACACGAGTACTTAACTTACACTGATGGCTAGACCTGAACTGAACTTTTTACTCTTTACCCCACTATTTCATGCAAATGTTTCAATATCTCTAAAGGCCAGTGAAGTGTAGCTCTGCTGGGAAAACGCAACATTCAAACAGAAAGATTCGCAAGCAACTCAAAATTCTCTTTTTTTTATGAATTTTGTTTCAACTTTGAACTTTTGATTCTCACCATGCACTGAGCTGAAGCACTCCCATGTGTCCCCAAGGTGTTGCTGTCCTATTTCAGGATTTCAGTTTGTTAACCCTCTTCTGATGTCGGTCTGTGCTTTGATAAGATAGGCTTTCAGAGATGCTTAAATGCAGCTATTAGACTAGAAAGAAGAAAACAATTCACCAACCTCCTCAAGGCGTGGAAGAATACACTGCAATGGGCTCTTTTTGTGAAGTTATTTTCAATTAGACTTTGTTTTTTATCCTATACAATTTTGCAGCAATGCCCACCCACTTGTCTCCATGGATAATCTTGCTTAGAGATGGCTGTATTTGGGTTTTTTCATGGCTAATGCCGATATCGATTGTTCAGAATCCAGAGCAACTGATATTTTTGGCCTGATATGTAGAGCTGATTTAGATTATTTTCCCCAAATGGTGTTATTTAAATGTACTTAAAACTCACGCACCGTTTTTAACACAAACATAAATGAGAGCTGTATAGTCGCATTTTGAGCAGTTGTCTCTTTGCACTAAAGTGTTCAAATAAAGTTTTATGGGTATTTTTAAGCACCAAGTGAGCCAAAACTAAAGATACAGGCCTTAAATCTCCATGATGATAGCCAATACACAAAAAAGTGCAATACCAGCTAACCAATATATCGACCAACTGATATATTGGACTATCTCTAATCTATTGCGGTAGTTATGTTCAGTTAATAAAGTTTATTTTGGCTTTTTTGTTGTTGTTGCAGCACATCATTTACATGTGTCATTAGTCAAGTTTCTCCACCAAAAGGGCAGCATTAGATAAATGTTAATAGATGTAATCAATTCATATTACGCAACAAGCATCTTTGTCTTTCTGATTATCTCACTTTTCACCATTGTTTTGTCTCTCTCAGTCAATCACACAGACTGTTACCTGTGGTGTGACAAATGTATTATTTACTGTGCAAGACCAGCTGCTCTGTGTTCTCTGCCAATGAGAGGCTCTGTATCTATGTAGTTGTGCACCTGTGCATAAGAGGACATGTGTGTTTGTGTCCGTCTGGTCCCTGTCTGCTCCTCTCTACTCCTGCTGCACATGTGTGCTCAATGTTGCTGCCCACTTCCCTCTTCCATTTTTGTCACACCATAGCTGCTTTCCCATAAGACATTGCTGCAGTGGGACTTTGTGACTTGACAGTTTTTAGCTGATTTCTGAGAATTGTAGCATAGCCACAAGCTGCAGAAATGCACATAATCATTTCTGACTATTCAGTTTTTGATTTTATTGTCCTAGATTTCCTATTAGATTTTCTACCAGATAAAAGATGTATGTATGGCTGTAAAAAAAAGAAAAGTGATGTTTTTTTTTTGTTTTCTCGACAGGGCATCACATTTGAGGAGGTGGAGAACTTCTTCACATTCCTCAAGAACGTAAATGATGTGGATACAGCGCTGAGCTTTTACCACATGGCAGGAGCCTCCATTGATAAAGGTACCAGCATGTCAGGCAGGTCTGTCAGAGGAAGACGAAATGCTCTCAAATATAAGTCTGGTTACATCAGAATACTATTATTAATATTAATATTAAGAAAGAAACTGCATTGAAATGATTACATAATTACAGACATATTAGTCAACTTCCACATCTTACAACATTTTACCATTTCTTATACAACTGATTTGGTACAATTCATGAGTGCCAGCGAATATTATGACTCAGCTGTACAAGTCTTTTTGCAAGTCTTATATTTTTAAAAAGTTATTGAAAAAGTATGTGGAACCCAGCCATTTTCTCCCCTGGTCTAGAGTGAATACTGGGTACATTTGACCTTTCTCATCTCTGTGTGTCCCTCTAATTGCTGATCCCTCCTCTCCTCTTGCCTCCTCTGCCTTGGTCCTGTCCTGACTGGGAGAGCTGTTAACAGCAGCCCCAGTTAAAGCACATGTCTTTCTTTCCTTTGGCTGTGCTCCCAGTTCCAGCTCAGCCATTTTTCATCTCTGTATCGACTGTCTGATCTCAGGCCTGCAGGAGGACAGCTCTCCCCTCCCCCCTCTGTTCACATAGAAGGCACCACTCCAGGACACTGATGCCCTCTGATACAAGCCCACATCAGCACGTTAAACCAGTCCCTTGGAAAATGGCTTCACTCTCAAATTAAGACGATATTACAGAATTTATTAAGATTTGAGAAACTCTGACCAAAGCACATTGTAGAGCAGAGATTCCATGCTGGCGAAAGGTGAAAGTGAGGACTGGAGCGCGACAACTGTAGTTTTGCGAGGATTCATGTGGTTTGGAGGGACATAGTCAAGGCGGGGGTCAATTGTTGTCAAGGTGGCCGCCCTAACTATAAAGGGCTGTGGGAAACACTGGTGCAAATTTTAATGAAGTCACTGCATTATCAGATTAGTACCTTTTGATTCAGCCCAGTGGCAATTAGAATTTTTGACTTTTCATTTTCAAGAAAATCCTCAGAGGAAAATATTACTTATTACTAAAATGAACACTGGAGGAATAAGGGTAAAAGAAAAGATTACAAAAAAATATAATTGGGTTCACAGAGCTTACAATATTTTATTTAAACCATAAACCGTAAGTTATAATCAAATTTTTTAACAAACTGACATAATTGAAAGTTGAAAGTGATATTTAATTATCAGCTTTGTTTTAATTGCTTTACATTGATTAATTGCAGTGGTTGCTCCCCTCCAAAGGTCCCCATATGTTTTGTGTCTATCACTCAGTTCTGAATCAGCAGACAAGCCAGCTGCTGGTGGAGTCGTGAGGTGCTGCCGAGCTTTGTGCCTAAACCATAACAACCTCAGAGTGTGTGGGCAAGAATTCATCACATTGTGGGGAATGAAATCTGTACAGACTCATTTCAGGGGAACCATGTACTTTGTAGGGACCAAAAATCAGATTCCTGTGAGGTAAATCCTTCAATATCAGAGCCACAACTCAGGTTAAACATATGAGCTTAAGGCTAAGGTTAAAGTTAAGAAGTAATTATGTTTAAGGTTATAATAATTCTCCAGCAAACTTAATACAAGTCCATATAGTGCATGGAAACCAAACAACATTTATGTGTATGTTAGTGCAATACAGGGTTCATAAGGCCATTATCACAATAAAGCTTTACTGCTAATTAATATATTGTAAATTATAACCGTTAACTACTACTTCAAAAAACAATTACATTTTAAACTGAATTATTAACACCGATGATATGTACACTTTTATCAAAATATCTGGATTTACTATGAATCAAAATGAATGAAATTGAATATTATATAATAAATAATATATATAACATAAGTTTCCTTTCTCCCAATAGGAGATCAAATTATTGTGCTGCCAATATCTAGTTTTGTAAAATATACTGAAAGAATTCTTGCAATATCAATTCAACTGTGTTTTTAAAAGACCATGTTGACTACACCAGGAAAAGCTCCGGGGTGTGTGCGCTTTACAGAGTCCACTGTGCCCCTGGCTGAGCCTCCTGCCTCTCCAGACAGTTTTCCTGTCTCTTACATTTTGTATGAGTTTTGTAAGAGTGCATTTTCTAACATTTTCTTCAGGACTTTATTCTCTGTCCTTTGAAGTACAATATGCAGTTGCTCTGGTGAGGACTGGGAAGAGTGCTTTGTTATTTTTTAGCACATCATTATATTTGCCTTCACTCTCTGTTGTTTCAAGATTCTATAGGTTCTGTTTGTGTCACACATCAGTTGAGCAGCTTGGGTACTCCCCTTGTATCCATTTTATGATTCATTCATGAGAATATCCAAAAGGGAAAGCCACAAATGTTGAACCTGTTCATTTTTATTAATGTCCATTATTCTGCTAAAACACACCCTTGAAATCTGATGATTAACAAGTTTTCCTGACCCCCATTTCAATTAAACATGGGTCAGTCAATAGAGTTATGATCATCTGAAATTCAACCATTGCCACGTTGTGATGATGTTCAGACTGAAGTTTCTGAATTAGACTAATCTATTGGGAAAGGCTTTTTTTTTTTTTTTTTTTTTTAAACCTTACCAAGTACCGGCCCAGTCTGGTGTCCCTTCACATCTGTTCCCAGTTAGCCTCTAGGACAAGTTGCCAATATTTTCTTTTTACACAGTGGAACTTGGAAATTTGGTTACAATAATGTGACAAGCTTACCCGTGGTTAGCTTTTTGTTTTAATCTATTCAGTGTCTTGCCAGGTGATTGGCTGAAGAGCTGATGAACAATAGACCAATTATTCAGGTGTCTAATACAGTGATGAAGTCCTTTTTGGGTCAGCTCTGATGCTCTCTGCCCCAGTTTCTCTCTCCTCCTCCTCACTGTTATGTTCTGCCTTTACTCCGTGTCCATCACATTAGTCTCCAGTGAATGGCTGTGCTGCCTGTTATCGATCCACTCACACTACATTAGCTTCTGTGACTCAGGGCCCACTCACAGTAATGCTCCTCTACAATTTTCTAATTTCCTCTTTTTCTTTTTGTTTTCTGTTTCCTAGTGACCATGAAGCAGGTGGCGCGGACGGTGGCCAAAGTGGAGCTATCGGATCATGTGTGTGACGTAGTGTTTGCTCTGTTTGATTGTGATGGTAAGTTATTACCAGTTACTAGTTATGATTCTAAAAATTTTCCATTGTGGCTCAATAAAGATTGTCTTTGTAAAGTCTTATTATGTGATATTAACCTAGTAGCTGAGTAATTAATACAAATTTAATTTGAGATTCTGTCCTTTCTAATCACTAGTCATCAGCTTGAGTCTACGATAATTGAGGGGTCTACAGTCAATCGTGTTGTTTGGAACAGATTTTATAGTTTGAAAATATATTTGACAATTTTTTTGTTAAATAGCAATAATTAAACGTCTGTATTATTTATTTACCTCCCTAGTGCCCATATTGTGCTTCTGTCTGCTCTATAGTTATAATCTATGACCCCCATGGATCATTGTGTCATAATTTGGACATTTTAAACCACAATATTCATTTAAACGATTTAATAAAAGAAAACAAGTCCGCTGAGTTGCCCAGTGGGAGCTGACGCAGCGCACCTCTCAGTTCCTCATATGGATAGCTGGACATCACAGTGCAATGGATTAAAAAAAGTGCCAAAATGTCCATGGAACGCCAATGAATCCTACGTATAGCACTAATTTAAAAAATTTAATTGGAAAGGGAAGTGTGTATGACAGTGTGCAGGAGAATAAAGATTAGTAAAACATGCATGAATCACGCTAAAACAAATTTAGAGGTAAGAAGGGAACAACTTTAACATGTTTAAAAGCTCTAAACAGCTGATTTTGCAGAATAGGCCTGTGTTAAAACCTAGAGGAGCATTTCTGGATCTCCACCTGATGACATCACCAGGTGTGACAGAGTGTTGTGAGCTGCACAGAGTCTAAAAATACTGAAACGTGTGAATAAAACAAAACACAACTCTGGGGTGTTTCTGAGGAGGACACTATACTACAGCAGGGTTAAAGCCCTACTGCGGAACAGCATAAACACAAAACAGGACTAAACCTGAACCAGTATTTAACCAGAACTAAACCAGGACTGAACCAGGACTAAAACAAGATTAAACCAGGCCTAAACCAAGACTGAACCAGGACTAAATCAGGACTGAATGAAAAGCTTGGATGGGGCTACACCTGAGGCTGACGGTTGAAGGTTCTACTCCTGGTTTTGGAGGACACAGGGTTAAAGCCCCACTGTGCAACATTTCCTTATGCTATAGGGTTTCAGAGAGAGAAGGCGGCTATAGGAGAGTATAGTAGGTTTATTTGTTGCCATGGCATCGGTCGTAATGAGATAAAACAGCTGACGCTCTGTGTGGGCGGCTCCTCTGAGACGCTTCGAGACAATGGGCTCATATTTCACTGACAGAACAGAGAGAAAGAACCTGGGAACCTGCTCATCTGCATCCTAAAGCTGCACCGTGGAACTTGTCTGCTCACCTCTTTGGGGATGCTATTGCCAGGAATGTTTCCGCGGTATGGCATTAAACTTATCTCCATGGGGATAAGCACACCACCATAGGCCAAATTGTAGATCAGATCTGTGGAAAGTAGGATTGTTAAAAGTATTGAAAATCATAATTCATATTAAAACTAGAATCAAAACTAGATACTCATCTGAGCGATAGGGAAAAAGTCACATTCACGGGACAGAAATGAAGCTTTCTTGAACACCTTTATAATGATGAGCTGTATCAGCCTTATTGTGTTGTGATATTGTGTTGTGATATTGCTCTGAACTTGAGGAACTTAACCTGGAGAGCAAAGGAAGCATCATAAACAAAAAGTCAAACTTATAAAACATTTTAATACATTGTTTTGAGGGAGTATGGCAATATTGTTATAAAGCATGTGAAAAGGAAACATCAGGGAGACTCACCAGAACACAGAAAGACAAAGCGGAGCAAGAAAACCTAAAATCCGCCATATCAGACCACCGTGAAAGAAAAAAAAAACATTATGGATTAGGACGGAGCACGCGTCATTGGATCGGAAAACAACAAGTTCAAACGCTGGATCAGGGAGGCCTTCGAAATCAGGAAACAAGGCACGACAGCATTAACCGGTCCTCCTTTCACACACCTGAGAGATGAGAGAGGTGTAGTCAGTGTGAGTAATGTGCCACGTCCATCAGGTTGACCACGCCTACAGGAAGTAACAACAGCTGATATATGACACGTCACCACCAACGCTAGTGACATTTCTGAAGATGTCTTGCAGCAGCAGCCGAAACATGTCAACAAGGTAAACACACTTTACTGTATTGTGTTTAAAAAGAACCCAAGAAGTTTATTTAAAGCAGCTTAAAGTGGGACTAAACACAGAAACACTGCCCAAACCACATTTCAAATAGAGATGCTAAACTGAGCAGAACCTGGAGGACTAAAGGGGAGAGTGAGGGGGGAGGAGGTCAGGTTTGGAGGTATAAGGAGCACTGTGATTGGTCTAAAACAGACATGTCAGACTCAGGCCCGGGGGCCAAATTTGGCCCATGATGTAATTATATGTGGTCCGCAAGATCATATCAGATATGTATTAGAGCTGCCCACTGACTACAGAGACATTATTTATTTAAACTGTTGTTATTATTTTATATTATACTTGTTCTGGATTCAGTGTTTAAACAAAACTATTATTAAACATTTATTTTAATAAGAAAATATTTAAAATTACATATCTTGAATGAAGAGAAAAACATGTAAATGTTGTTGAAAATTTTCACAAAATATTTAGTTTGGCCCTTGACTTAGTCCCAGTTTTTAATTTTGGCCCTCTGTGATTTTGAACTTGACACTCCTGGTCTAACAGGCCTCCACACTTCAAACTCCGCCCATGCAGCCAGGTGTTTTATCAGAAACATCCTGTCTTTGATCAGGGCAGCTCTGCGTGATGTCACCAACTTCTGGAAAATGAACTTAGATTTAGATGTTTTTGAACACAAAGCTGTAAATGTACCAGATTTGCATTAAAGTTGCCAGTAGATGATGCAATTAATACAACTGTTTAGTAGCGACAAAAGGGATTTAGTATTCAGTTCCATGTTAATATTAAATGGTCCAGTGACTTTCAAAATATTTCTGTTACCACTTTTTACGTGGTGTTTGTTCTTCAGAATATCTGTTTTATATTGTGTGCATTCAGACTTGTCCTGGTTTGGTCCTGGTATATGTCCAGTTTAATTATTCTACATAGACTTTGTTTGGACCTGTTCTAGTCCTGTTTTAGTCCTGGTCTAATCCAGGTCTAATCCAGGTTTTGGGTTTGGGTGTTCACAATTACAAACCATCAGATTTCTGAAAAGGGCCTTACTGTATTCATTTGCACCTTGTTTCTTTGTCATTGCAATTTGTCTTTCATTTGGTCCATGATCACACTCCTTGTGTTGTTGCTTTTCAGATGTATTTTCTGTTTATTAATCTGCTATAAACAATTAATATGTAAGATGTATGTTAAAAGGCTGCAGTAAAGATGTTTTTAAGTATGTGTGTCTCTCTCTCTCTCTCTGATCATCTTTTATTTCCTCTTGGCCACATGCATCATTGCTCCACCTGACTTCAGAGTTGATTTGTTGTCCTGTCATGTTTTCAGTCTCTACAGGGTGCTGAAAAGCGTTGGGTAATTAGCAGGACTAATTTATAGCACATTGGGTTTGACATTTGTCACGAGTAATAAAATACGGTGCACCATTTCAGCAGATAGCATGCTCTAGCTCTGAGTGTGGTGGTGTAGTATCGTTCTAGTCTGAGCAGTCAGCAGATTTGTCTAATTGAAATGGACGGGATGAGAGTCCTCATCTGGGGCCACACATTAAAAGATTGTCCAGCAGCCTCCTGGACCTGCTCTGTGCTGCAATGACTTGAGACTAACTTACATTCATGGACAGGAATATTTAGTGGTACTTTAAATACTGCTTTAGTAGTTGTTCAAATAAAGTATAGTGTACTTACTAACATTTATCTACTGCAGTGATAAGTGATACCCAGTGTATTATAAAGTGAATAATAACAATCCTCTTTGTCTTGTATAGAACTTTTTCAGTCAGTCAAGCTTGCATTACAATTTCATGCATTATGAGTAAAGTGTCTTGCCTAACGACACAACAAAAGTATGTACTAGCAATCACTGCCCCAACATGACAAAAACCGACAACCATCCTCCATTGCCTTCTAAAAAAAAACTGCACACAGTGGTACCAATACAGCACTTTGTTCTTGAAAGAACTCCAAACTAGTGTCTTGTAAAGATATTTCAAAAATCTGCTGAAAATGTTAGAGGATTGTAAAAAACAAAAGAAAAGCTCATTAAAGTTAGTCTGACAGAGAGCTGATAAACATTTACACTAATTGGATTTTTAGCTAATTATATAGGCGATAAAAGACTGTTTCTGGAAAGTTGCTGACTGCTGATTAAATATTAATACCATTATTTCTCAAAGATGGAAACAAGGAGAGTCAGAGCGTCCAGCTCCTGATCAACAGTTAGCTCTTGTCAACCCTTACAGCAACAATGGAACAGTAACATGAGAATTCAACTGCTGAATATATTTTACTAACTTGTTTATAGCACTTCCCATTGCACTGTCTATCAAGTTACCAACTCCTAAGAGCAGATACAATAACGCCATCTAGTGTCTGCACAGCAGTAACTCAAGTTTAGGAACTCGTGCAGTGAGCATCTTTACGCTAAATTTCGCACCCAAAAATTCAGCTTGTTAGCCCTATATCATCTCAACAAATGCTACAAAAACAAGAGACTAAATATTACTCAACAGAAAATGCTTAGCATGAAAACCAGCTACTAATTTAGTGTTTAATCTCACATTTTTCTTTAATTACATGAATAAAATTGCAAACAGAAGTTTCAAATGACAAGTATGGCTCTTTTCTCAAGTTCTACATCACTGGAGACAGTAGGACAAAGAATCAAAGAATTCAACAACCATAGAGACTCAAAGTGAAACTAAAACCTTCAAATAAATATAGTATAAAACTAACTTCCACTTTCTAAATCAAGTGTACTGAAAGAGAAGTGAGCCCCTCTACACTTAAAAGATGGGAAATGAACACCAGGCAAATGTAGCACCCACATTAACCATTGAAAAGGAGAAAACGCAGTTCTTTTCTGTCACTGATACAAAAGTTAAGTCGCATAAGAAAACAAGTTTACAAAGTTTAATAGATGGCCTCCAGCCACCTAGTGGCTATAAATGAGAATGTTTTGCAACTATTACCAACAGAGAGCCTCCTGTCCACTGGTTTTAAAAATTGATGGTCAACTGAGATGCCACAAATGCATCTATCAAAGTTCATCAGTGGTATACATTCTGTAGCTCATCCTGTTTAACAGTCAGGAAAGTAGCAGTTACAGTTAAGGTGGAGGGAAATGGTCCAAAAGTGTCCTCAGTCACTGTCAAACTTTATTGAATTGACTGATGTGGAGATGGCACCGCCGCGGTAACTTCCCCTCTTCTTTTTAGTTTTTTCATGTCGAAACGATTTTCCTTTGGTGTACCTCAGGACATCATTCGCTTTTTGACCCCAGTCTCCATTGGCTCCATGCTGGAAGAAGTCAGAATTATGATTAAAATTAGCTAAAACATTTAGTACAAAAATGTATATATCTCAATAATTGTCTCCACTCACCTTTGCATCAAAAGAGTTGTCTGCTAAACGAGGATCCACTTCTATTTCATCGTCCTTTATTCTACGGAAAGGGACGTTGGAAGACTAATAACAAAATATTGGTTATTTTCTACATAAACTGTGTGTAGCAAGTAATCCATAATAATTACACTTATGTTATTTTATGCGCTCTGCATTGTGGAGGGCTGTATGTGTCAAAACAGTTAAAGAAGCATACGTACTTTTTTGTTGGCTTTTGGAAATGTCTGAGGTGTTGTCATTTTTGTCTTTTTGTTTTGGGGTGTTTTTATTTCAGTTTCCTCTTCCGCTGACTCGTCTTCATCCTTTTTCCTTTTGCTCTTGGTACCTGAATAAAGAGAAGGAGAGAGACCATGTTTAAGACCTGAAAACAAGCCAAAGATCAGATTATACTAGTTGCCTCACCGTTAGCTGTGGGTGTGGTGGGGGCTGTGGCTGATTTTTGTGCTGCCTCCTCTTCCTCTGAACTGTCTGAGGAGCTGCTGCTCTCTTTACTTTTAGCTGCAGGTGTCGCTATGGGCTTCACTGGTTTGCCATTGGTCACTGCAGACTTTGCAGGGGTCTTATTGGTCTCCTCATCTGAGCTGTCTGAGTCAGAGCTGCTCTCCTCAGCCTTCTTCACAGGAGCGGCCTTTTTACCAGGTGTAGGAGCAGCAGGAGCCTTCTTTGCTGGAGGTTTTGCCACTTCAGTTTCTGAGTCAGAGCTGTCGCTATCAGAGCTGCTCTCCTGAGCTTTGGCCGGAGTCACTTTAGCAGCAGGAGTGCCCTTCACAGCAGAAGTTACAGGTTTTGATTTGGCGGGCTCTTCATCCTCAGAGGATGAGTCTGAATCAGAACTACTCTCTGCTGCTTTTGCTGCAGCTTTAGCCACAGGTGTAGGTGCTTTAGCTGTGACTGCTTTAGCTGCAGGTGTAGAAGGTTTGGCCTTGGTGGGCTCTTCATCCTCAGAGGATGAGTCTGAATCAGAACTACTGTCAGATGTCTTTGTTGCTGCAGCTTTAGTCACAGGTTTAGCAGCTTTCGGTGTAACTGGTTTAGCTGCAGGTGTAGCCACTTTGGCCTTGGCTGGTTCTTCATCCTCAGAGGATGAGTCTGAGCCAGAACTACTCTCTGCTGCTTTTGCTGCAGCATTAGCTACAGGTGTAGCAGCTTTCGGTGTAGCCGTTTTAGCTGCAGGTGTAGCCACTTTGGCCTTGGCGGGTTCTTCATCCTCAGAGGATGAATCTGAATCAGAACTACTCTCTGCTGCTTTTGTTGCAGCTTTAGACACAGGTGTAGCAGATTTAGCCGCAGGTGTAGCAGCTTTAGCCGCAGGTGTAGCAGGTTTGGCCTTGATGGGCTCTTCATCCTCAGAGGATGAATCTGAATCAGAACTAGTGTCAGCCGTCTTTGTCGCTGACGCTTTAGCCACAGGTGTAGCTGCTTTAGGTGTAGCTGTTTTAGCAGCAGGTGTAGCCACTTTTGGGGTGACAGGCTTTGATTTAGTTGGCTTTTCATCCTCAGAAGAGTCAGAATCTGAGCTGCTTTCTTCAGCCTTTGATGTAGCTGCTGTCTTTGTTACTGCAGTGACAGGTTTTGTTGCCGATGTTGTAGGTTTAGGTGCAGGTTTAACTTTGGCTGGTGCTTCATCTTCAGAGGACGAATCAGAGTCTGAACTACTGTCCGCTGCCTTTGCTGGAGGTGTAGCCTTTGCGACAGGAATAGCTTTAGCGGGCTCCTCGTCCTCAGAGGAGTCAGTCTCTGAGCTGCTGTCTGCTACAGCAGGAGCAGCCTTAGCAGCAGGAGCAGCAGGTTTTGCTGCTGGAGTGGAGGCTTTAGATGCAGGTTTCTGACTGGCAGACTCCTCATCCTCAGAGGAAGACTCAGAGGATGAGCTGCTCTCCTCCTTCTTGGCAGGTGGTTTGGATACTACAGGTTTTGGTGGAACTGCAGCAACGGGCTTTGATGCCTCCTCATCAGAGCTGCTGTCAGATTCTGTAACAGAACAAATGACTGGAAACAATAGAAAAGGATACACTGCAATGCTACTTTAACCGTTCGCCTTACCAGAACTGGAGGACGCATCCTTTTTAGCCGGAGCAGCTTTAGCTGGAGTAGCTTTAGCCGGGGCAGGTTTAGCTGGAGTAGCTTTAGCCGGGGGGGCCATTGCTGCATTTTTTGGAGGCTCCTCCTCTTCCTCTGAACTTGACTCAGAGCTGCTATCTGCAGCAGGGGCCGGTTTGGCAGCTGGGGTGGTTGGTTTTGCAGCAGGTGTAGGTTTCACAGGCTTTTTTGCAGGTGTGGCTTGGGCTGCTGTTTTAGTTGCAGGGGGTTCATCCTCATCTGAACTTGAATCTGAGTTAAAATGATAAACAACATGAGGGGGAAGAAATGTGAAGCCCTACTGTTTATATATATGATTATGTGGGCTTTGAAAACAGTAAGGATAACTTCCAAGAAACAACAAACATCAGATTCTTACAGAGAAATAAGGCTAAAAGTGCAGATGATGTGAGTAATAATAAAATAACTTGAGGGAAACATGACAATACCTGAACTGTCTGAGCTGGATTCTTGCGTCTTTGCAGGTTTGGGGGCAGTGGCTGCATTTGTTGTAGGTTTAGCTTTGACAGAAAATATCAAATCAAACAATGTTCAACAGAATATTGTTTAAGATATCGACTTTGCCCTCACCAGCTACTTTCTTTTCATCTTCATCGCTGCTCTCATCACTGCTGTCAGAGTCCTCTTTCTGTGCCTTGTTTGCAGCAGGAGTAGGCTGAACTGAAGTGGGAGGTGGAACGGCACTGTACACACCTTCAAAACAAATGTTAGTTAACTCTAATCTACTTTTAAACATGAATAAAACTGTGTTTTTTGTTATATTGTAACTAACACATACCGGCTTTAGGCTTTTTGCTGGGAGGAACCTCATCTTCAGATGAAGACTCTTCACTGCTTGATTCTGCAGCAGCTGCAGCTGGAGCAGGTTTGACTGGAGCCTAATAATTAACAAATATGATTAAAAAACTAATTCAGAGTAAATGTATTCTAAACACGTGTATTCCAAATGACAAACCTTGGTTGGTTTGTCATCTTCTGAATCTGAGGAACTGTCCTCGCTGCTGCTCTCCTGCTTCTTCTGGGCAGCAGGTTTAGCAGCTACTGCTGCTGCTTTGGGGGTGACAGCAGCAACTTTAGTTTCTAGCAGAATTTCAATATTATTATACAAGATTATGAAATTTCCTAGTTACACATATATGCGAATAGTAGCAGCTAACTAAACTCACTTTGCACTGAGGTTTTAGCTGGCTCCTCCTCAGACTCCTCACTGCTCGAGCTTGTGTCCTTCTTTCTAGCATTAACAGCAGCTGGAGCCGGTGCAGGCTTTACAGGAGGGGTTTTAGCAGGGGTCTAAACCACAACAGCGCAGTTTTAAAATATGTTCCTCAACAATTATGCTTTGATTTAAAAAAAGCTTACTTTTGCAGGTGCCTCTTCCTCCTCAGAATCGCTAGAATCCTCACTGCTGCTGGGATCTGCTTTTGTTGAGGTTTTGACAGGTGCAGTCTTAACTGTGAACCAATATGGGCTTTTAATGCCTCAGATCATATAATGGTGGCTGAATAATAAATTATTCCTAAATATTACCAGCAGTTGGTGTTGCTTTAATTGTAGTTTTAGGAGCAGCCTCCTCTTCCTCACTGCTTGACTCGCTGGAGCTCTCAGTGCTGGGTTTGGCTTTCTTGGCAGAAGGGCCATTTACAGTCTCGCTTTGGTTCCCAGGTGCTTTTCGTTTTTTTGACTCCGGGGATCTTAACAGAAACGAATGAAATTACATTTCTGAGTAGAAATAATTAGTTAACTTATAAAAGGTGAATGTGCTGATGTTTAACTTACTTCACCCAGAAGGTGTAGATGTCTTCAAGACGTTCCTCATTTGGATCCTGAGCATTCTATGAAAATATCATCAAAATACATACTTTAACTGTAGTAATTGGTCTTCAATCGGATCAACACTATAGTCAATAAAACACATCTTTAAACAAATATTGTTTTTTACTTGATTAAGAACATGCAGAGAGAGCAAGTGTACCCCTGTGCCCGTCCACGTGCATGCATATCTGTACATTTAAGGCGCCTCGTGCGCAGGTCCTACATAACTTCAGGCACTCCGACCGCGGGCACAGAGTGTTCTTTCTGCATGGACTGTCACTTACGTACAGCGACGCACTTACCACCTTAGTCTGTTTCAGAAACTGCTGAGCCGCCTTAGTGAACTTGTTTTCCACTAAAAAGGAATAAACGCATTTATACAAATCGCTCGGTACTGACTTCTGCGACGCCATCTTCCCCACGCTTGTTCTGGAAGGACCGGAAGCAAAGAAAGGCGTGGTTTGCAAAAGACGCGTGCGCACATCGATTAAACTGAATTAAAAACGCATTAAAACACGCACAAGAGTTTTATTTCTATTTCTCGTTATATAACGACATACTATCCATACAATGTTTAATGTAAAGGTGTTTGTTGAAGTTTTACGATGTTTTTGCATGCTGGCACATGATTCATACGTCATCACCGTGCGTCCCCCCGCATGCCCTCTCGTCGTAGGAGAGTTGTTTATGAACGACTTTACCTGTCTTAATTAGCAATGGCAACTCATCATTGCTAAACTAAGCGTGTTTATAAACTGTATATTGTTTTTACACCAACGTCATGCCTCGTTACGAACTAGCGCTCATCCTGAAGGCGTTGAAGCGACCCGAAACCGCGGCTGTTGTGCGGCGGACCGTGGAGGCTCTGATGGACAGAGGCGCCGTGGTCCGAGATCTGGAGAATCTGGGAGAGAGACTGCTGCCTTATAAGATGTCTAAGCACAATCAGAAGCACGACAAGGGCACGTACTTTCTTGTGGATTTCTATGCTTCTCCCAACATCTTGAAGAGTCTAATGGATCATTTAAATCGAGATGTGGATGTGGTGAGGCCCTCTGTGCTGCTCAAGAAGGACGAAAAGGTTTCCAGTCAAAGCAGCTGTGGATTTTGACGTTAACGTGAGAGAAAAAAATATATATTTTTTGTGAACTTGAACAATTAAAATCTCATATCCAAGACATTTCAATTTGTTCCTGTAGGTGGCATGAATTGACTTGTTTTTAGAGGGGTGGGGTAAACTTAACAAATGTTTTTTACTTCCCTGTGTAAGATATTTCTATATGATGGTGCAATGGTGTCCCAACGTTTTGGCTGTAGTTTAGTAAATTCTACTTTTCTGACTGTTGTTTTTTTTTTTGCAGGTATTTCCATCTCCTTTATGGAAGATTGCTCTGGGATTGTCTATATTTTCCATTTTGTGGCACTAACTAATAAATTATTTCTACATACCACATTCCCAGTGCATTTTGTTTTCATTTGTACTGTAAATTTTTATGTTTCCAAATATGCTTATATTGAGCACGAAGTACCTTAGTTGCCCCAGATGCTCTGAACTTGACGGATAGAAATGTGACTGCTTATGGTCTCTTCAACTATCACCTATCACTCAGGCGTCATATAGGCAAAGTTGGTGTCTTGCCCAAGGATCGAAACACCAACCTTTTAACTGGTATCAAGGAATCAAGGGACAACAGTTTAACAATGATTGGATCTAGTGAGACCACTGTTAAGACAATACGTGTGTGTCCAAGCACTGGGCTTTATTGTGTTGGAATGAGCTAAACATTTTTAAAAAGGGGGAAACAAATTCACAAGAAGACACATGAAAATGTTTCTTAAATTTAAAATTAGAACACCATTAAATGTACTTTCAAAATATTACAATGATAGAGACTTCTTGTATTTGTTTCTCAGTTTGATTAAATACATATTAGCAGATTAAATACATATTAGCATATTTACTTTGAAATTCATTACCAATTTTATTTTTATTTTTTTTTTACTCTGCGTTATTGTAATATCATGTGATGTGTGAGCTACTGTGTCCAAGTCATTTCCCCTGTGGATCAATGAAGTCTAAGTCTAAGTCTTATCTAGTAAAATCAATAAAGAAGGAGTTTAGTCACTGAGGGGTGAAGTCTGAAATTCAAAGAATTACTTAAAAGTGCTCTCTTTGCATGTGGCAGATAAATGCAACAATATTCAGCGTACATTATTCATGCATGCATTTAAGCTTAATGTGAAAGGACATTACAAAACAGTTCAACAACATGTTCCATAGCCTCTTCAGTAACTTGAAGTCAAGCTATAAAATGCATTGTTCTTTGCCCCTATAACTGCCTATAAGTGTTAAGTGGTCGTTTTAGTGGTGTTTTGAAGGTTCTCCTGTTGTTGCTGGTGCTTGTCTGTCTGGTTGATCATAGCCGAGTCACAGTCACATGTCCTGGGTCAGCTGACTGAGACATGATAAAGGCCTGGAGCACAGTCTGCAGTGAAACACTCCCCTCTGAACCAAGCTGTTGTCTTTCCACTCAAACGGCGTAAACAGCGGAGTCATGCTGCTTCTAACTCTGCTCTTCGTGTCTTCAGGTAAATATCAGCATGTAGTTTACGCACCTCTGTGTTTTTTATTCTGTCAGTGAAATAATTTTGCCTTTACAGTAGTGCTGAGCTGACTGTACAACTAGGTGCGTTTCACAATAACAACGCGGAAGCAGATAACCTAGTTAAAAGATTATTTGTCGAAATTGCTTGACTTGTGATACCATTAATTGAGAGGTAGCATTACAGTTCAGACTACAGTTTATTTAATTTCGATTTGTACATACATTATCTTTTAATCACATTTGCACATTCTGTCCTGTGTGTTGTGTTGTTATGTCTGTGTTAGCTACCAAATGCTATGGCTAAAGCTAATGCTAACGATAAACATATGGGCTACAAGTAATCAAAACTATTTATAATTCAGTTTGGAGGGGGGGAAAAAATTACGTTTTGTAACCTGAAACCTTTTCATGTTATGATGTTATTTCTTTCTCCCTCTGTCTTTCTCTCTAGTTGGTTAAATACAATACAAGCATGAATCTATCAGAATAACAGTACAAGGCATTCATCTTCTGCTAGCTAATGTTAACTAAATGGACCAGTTTATTAAATGCTGTCCTTTCGCAACCTTATCAACTTTATCACCAGTGGTTCTAATATGTCAACTTGTTGTTTTAGTTCCGCATTTGCTCTATTTAAAGATTAAAAGTGATTTCATTTCTGTGTTTTACTTCTGTACTAATCATGAGATGAACAATTACTTGTTCCATTTTGTCTTTTATAAACCTCTGCAAACTTTTAACTCTGTGCTTTTTCTTTTCAATTTCATTTTAACCCCTTTTTTCACTTCAGTTCCGTATTGTTCACATGACTGCACTTGTCACCTTTCACTTCATTTTTTATGGAAGGCAATCTTTCCCCATGACTTTTTTTTGTCAAAGTGTGTAGCTCTACTGTCTGTTTTGTTACATTGCTTAGTAAAATTATTGAAAAGGAGGGTTTGCACAATAAGAGCCACACGCTGTAAAGCTTTAACTACAGTTCACTAACATTATAGCCTGTGCTGAGGATGGCTTGTTGTGTTATCATGTGACTGTGTTGTAACTCCATTGGAATGAATTGTAATGACGTTTCACTCCACTCTTTTAATATGAGTGGCTGAGTATTGTTTGTCAAGCATGACCTTAACTTCCTCCTATAGGGTTTTATCTAAAAGTATTTGTAGAATATCAGCAGGCTTTAAGTTTTCCTGAATTCCTACGTTTATGGAGCTAAATGCTAGATAAGTCTTTACTTCAACATGAGAGTGCACAATATGTCTAAAAATAAATATCAGATGTTTTTAGATTTGTATCATTATTAATGTAAAAGTTAATGTCTTTCATATTGCCATGAAGGGGTAACTAAAGACATCTGCTACTTGATGTTCCCATCTGAACCGCTTTCAAGAAAAAAGACATTCTGAATCACAATATGATTTATTTTAAAATTTTATATTGTCACAGGAAATGAGTCACGGTTATTTTATTTTTTTTCTTAACCACCGTATCACCCAGCTCTTTTTCAAAACACACAATTAAATGTTATTACCCACTTTCACTAAAATATGTCTTATGTCTTTTGTACACTTATTGTGTAAGTGCAACACAGCAACACTATGCTCAAATTATCAGACGTTTTATTGTATTAAGAATAAACAAATATATTTGAGAGACGACAAGTTGTAGCAGCATTAGCATTAACCATTTGTGGAAAGTCTCTTATCAGATTTCCTCTGGTATCAGGTAGTTTGAAATAGTCATGAGACTTTCAAGACAAGAATGTTTGCTATTAGTTTGTTCTCGTACTTTGTTTGTGAATGAGAGTTCATCAGGTATACCTTGTCTGTTTACAGCTGTTGCCAGCCCTCTGTTGGGAACAGAGCAGTGCGCCCGTGGCCCCCCCTACTGGTGTCAGAATGTAAAGACTGCCTCTCTCTGTGGAGCTGTGCCTCATTGTCAACAGAACATATGGAATAAACCCCAGCTGGTATGTGACTAATTTGTTATTTTTCCATTTTGTTTTTGTATTTGCTCACTTAATCTTGTGATACTTAACTGCACCTGATTGGCCTAGATAAAGCATGAAGCAAGAATTGATTCATTAGTAAAAAAGAAAAATGTTCATTAAGAATTACTCAGGTTTACTAACTACTCAGTTAATTAATACTCAAACCCTAGTTCCAAACCCCTCAATACACTACATTTTTATTAGCCTTAATGCTTAATCCTGCTCTTACAGAAAACTGTACCATGTGACCTGTGCAAAGAAGTCATCATTGTGGTTGAGCAGATTTTGAAGGATAATGCCACAAAGGTAAAAAAAAAAAAAAAAAAAAATGCTTATTTTTGTTATGTGATCAAAGTATGAAATTGACACACCTGTTTTTTTTCTATGTAAAGACTGATATTCTTGGATACCTGGAGAAAGCCTGCCAGCTCATCCCAGACGAGGGCTTGACGGCTGAGTGCAAAGAGATGGTGGACAGCTACTACCCCATCCTGATTGATATCATTACTGGAGAACTGGTAAGCACAAAACACCCACAAGTTTCTAATTACTTCAGCATAATATAATTTCATCAATATACAATAGTAGGGGAAAAGTTGACTAAAATATTAGACTATTGGAATAAACTAGTCTAGATTTTGACTTGACTGAAGGCAGTGATCGTGGCCTGTATTCAAACTTGAGGAAAAACCTTTCCAAAAAATAAAAATGAAAGATTCCCTTTTCAACCAAAACTTGTCTTTTAATTAATAAGTGCTTAACTGCTACTGTACCGTAAATCTAGATTTAAAAAATAAAATAAATGTAGCTTGCTTGTTGTGCATCATCTTGAAACTATTTACAATAGTAATTTAGTCTTCTGCCAGTCTGCTCAGTATGTAAAAGAGAAGTGACACTGTGCAAAGTGCAGCAGCTGAATAAGAGCTATTGATGCAGAAGTGAGCCCTGGTAAAGGGAACAAAGTACCTTCTGTGTAATTAAACCCCGTGACTGAGCACATTTACATTGCCTCACAAGTTTATTTTCTGTCATTATTAAAGGGGATTGTTCAACTGAGCTGATTTGTCTTGTATTTACTTATCACATTTGTTCCCATTCCCCAAAAACATCCCTCACTCAGGGTTCAGTTTTTTCCCCCAGTAAGTTCAGTACAATGACTAATGAGCGTTAGGGGCAACCGAGTAAATAAATCGGGCTGGCAGGGGTGTGTGACATTGACAAGAATTGACATCATAATCAGATTATATGCACACAATCTTTTTTAAAATGCATCTGCAAATGTCTTGTTGAGATTAAAGTATTGCATAAATGTGAATTTACTGTAAATAACTGTATCGCTTATAAGAGATTACTGTTACATCAAAGTTTAAAATTTTTGCAGCTTCTCAATAGTTTTCTCTTTTCCTCAGTATTTTCTATTCTAAATGTAGCATTAATACTCTTGGACAATGTTTTGTTTTTGATAACTTGTTCTGTTGCTATAGTCTGATCCTGGTGTGGTGTGTGGAGCAATGGGACTGTGCCGCTCTGAGGAGGCTGCTCTGGCCCAAATGAAGCCCAAAGAACAGCTCCAGTCCAACGAAATCCCCAAAGTAGATCTGTCCCAAGCTGCAAGCCCATTCCTCGTCAATGTACCCCAGCTCCTCTACCCCCAGGAGAGCCCCAAAGAGGAAACGCCCAAACGGGTACAAAACATGATAAAATAAATGAAATTCTTTAATATGCTGTGGTTAGTATATCATTATGAACTATATTCCCTTCTTTTCTACAGGATAATGACGCTGTATGTGACGATTGCGTCAAGTTCATTACAGACGCTCAAGCACAAATCAAAAGCAACAGCACATATGTCAACAACGTGATTGCCAAAATTGAGGGGCAGTGTGACTTGTTGGGACCTGGACTGTCTGATCTGGTGAGCTCTTTAACACAAGTTTACAAGAATCAGAAAAATTGTTCATTCCAAGTCAGTGAACAAAATTTACTAACTAGGAATGTGCTTTGGTAATATGGCACAACATAACATGATGAATAACAACAGTAAAATATTAAGTATGGAAAAAATTAAAAGACATGCATAGAATATCTGCAATTTTTTAATTTTACTTTTTTCCTTATTGCAGTGTAAGCAGTACGTTAGCCAGTACGCACCTCTTGTTGTTGAGCAGTTTGTGGCGATGGTAAGTCCTCTATTCCACTGTCATCTTTTGTCACATCTGAATTTGTTTTAATTTGTTCTAAAGCTTTGATGCTATGGCTGTTGATCACAACTCAGTTTTTTAAATTAAACTCTAATGCTAATTAAAATTTAAGTTACTGGCTTGTGACCAATTGAGTTGTTCCCACAGTTTAACGCCCCTTTTCACCTGTTTTCTTCCACTCCTCTCTTCCTCTTTCATGTTTCTTGCTCTGTTTTCCCCTGCTCTGGGTTGTGTTTGCGCCCCCTCCCTCAAAGGAAAAGGTAGGTCTGTGTGTTTTAAACCTGTAGCTTCCTCTAACTTCCTGCTTCTTGTGCTCGTCACTCGTGGTGTTACTTATCCAAGCGTAGACATGCATGTTAATGATGCAACTGAAGTAAGCGCTTCACCCCAGTTGTTGTTGTTGTTACTACTACTACTACTACTACTACTACCTCCCACGTCCCACTACCAAACCACAACCCATATCTGTATGTCTATTACACTTACCAAATATTGTTTTCATGTCTGAATATGTACTCATTGTGTAAGTTGGCGCATGTTAAAATGCTTGTCTAGTAAGAGCTAGAGCTTTGAACAAAAGGGCTGATTCTAAGCTAATAGTCAGCAGCCTGTTGCATGGGTGGCTATGTAGTGAAACTGTATGTCAATTGTATTTTGTGCAAATGATATCTTGTGCAGAAAGTTAGGTCTTTTTTAATCCTGTTCTTTTCTCTTTTTTTTCTTTAGGATCCAAAAGAAATCTGTTGCGATGTTGGTTTCTGTCCTTCCATGAAGAAGTCTGTCCCAATGGTGAGTCTTCTGCCTGCCAAGACCAAACCTGCTGCTAAAAGTATCCCGGCTTTCAGCATGTTCCCTGCCACAAAAGTAGAGGACAAAAAGGTGAGCTCTTAAATGGTATTTTTTCAGTGGGATCAATTTTATATTTAAACAAAAATGTGTTTCAGCGTATGATCAGAGTGGGTGATTCCCCTTCATGTGCCATTTGTGAATTTGTGATGAAGCAGCTGGAGTCGATGTTGGAAGACCAGACAACAGAGGTAGGATATATACATTTCATTCAAATTTGAGGTCCACCTTGTATTTTTTTTCATTTTTTCCTCTAGTACAAAATAATAATTCGGTGAAAGCAATTTGGTTTTAGTTACTGTTAACTTGCGCTCACACAATTATGCACTTATAGTTGTATTGCTCAATAGCAGTATTATTTATTTTAGAAGCTGACATTTTGCCACCAACCAACAGCTTGTATAGGGCTTGTGTTGGTGACTGACTCTCTGTCACTGTGGTGGTGACGGGCACAAGCCATAGACTCGTACTAACTGATGTAGAGACATTCAGGAATTTTTGTTTTTGCTTCAGGAGGAGGTGATTCAGGCTGTGGAGAAGGTGTGCACGCTTCTGCCCTCCACTCTGACCGCACAGTGCAAGGACATGATTGAGACTTACGGCCAGGCCATTATTGAACTCCTGGTGCAGCAGGCAGACCCCAAAACTGTCTGTAGCGTCCTGGGACTCTGCTCTGGCTACAGCGGCAAATATATCGGTATGTTTCTCACTACCAATATTTATTTAAGTGTTAAAAGTGTGTGATGAAAAGGTCCCAATTATTGATGCCATGAGTAAAAATATTCTTGACTCTCAAAAGTGCCTGTCTTTTTTTTTTTTTTTTTTTTTTTTTTTTTTGGAATTGCATTCTCAAGTTCATTTTGTCTTTTTGATATGAGTTGGATGTTGACTTAACATAGTTTTATTAAGTGCTAGATGATACTAAAAAAAAAAAAATCAAGATTTTGGCTTTAAATATACATCTGAAGTATATAAACTTGACATTTTGGTGCACTGAATGGCAATGATTAAATTACTCACTGGCAAAGTATTGGGCTGTGATGATGCAGTCATTTCCAGTGGTAAATGTTCAACTTAGATCTTTTTGATCAAGACGTCCACATCCTAGTTTTCACAAATAGTGTTCTATTCTTCTCCTTTTAGCTGCCCTTGATCAGACCCGTTTCAAGGCTGGTGGATACTGCGACGTGTGCAAACTGGCAGTGAACTATATTGATGGCATTTTGGAGCAGAATGCCACTGAGGCACAGATTGAGGAGGCTGTGAAGAAGGCTTGCAATTTCCTGCCTGCTTCTTTACAGCCTGAGGTTAGTCTCACTTGAATCAGTTCAAACTACCACACTTTGCTTGTTCAGTTTTGTAACTTGAAACCCCCTCAACAGTGTAATCAGCTGGTTGAGCAGTATGAGCCAGTGCTTGTCGAACTCCTGCTTCAAATGATGGACCCTGACTTTGTATGCATGGTAAGTCAACAGTTTTTCCCCTTTTTTAAAGACTGGTTTATGGTCCAGTGTCAAGTTGGGAGGATATGCTGCTGCATAATTCCATGACTCATCTGGTAACCAATCCTGACAGCCAAACTGTCTAAAACTGATGAAATTAAGCACAGAATGAACAGCATGTCTACATGCAAGCCATATGTTTACTATAAATGAATGAATACAAATGAAATTGTTTGGACGCCAGCATTTAACAGTTACATGCACTTTTAACAGAAAGTGGGAGCCTGCCCTGAAGCTGTGAAGAGACTGCTGGGGACAGAGCAGTGCAGCTGGGGACCCAAATTCTGGTGCCAGAGCATGGAGACAGCTACTCGCTGCAATGTAAGATGTCATGACATTTATGTTTTAATTTCAGAAGAAAATAAGAGAAATTTTAAAGTAACACTTTATGGTAACAAAGCATTTTTTAAAATTATCTGTAGTGAAACATTTTATGATGGATGTAAATCTACTCAAAATAATTCATTATCTTATTACATCATTGAAAATATTAGTTATACCAGTGCATGTTAAAGGTGCACTTTGCTACACTTTTGGTAGAATGTCTGCCACCTGCTTCTCTCCAGGGAAATATTCCCTCAAATATTCCACAATATTGCATTGCACCACAGCGCCAAGTTGCATGTCAGATCTGTGGAGGAGTGAGCCCACTCACAGAAAAATGCAAGTTTTAAAGTCCATAAAACCCATGTTGAGTAAATGCAAGATGACATTTAATGTCATACTGGGGCATTCCAGATAAAAATCATATCTCCATGAAGATGAGCAGGTGGCAGACTCTCCACCAGTAAAGTTGCACAGTGCACCTTTTAAGGGGTACTTACTATAAACATGTGATCATTATCAAATGTGATCAAATATTGTGTAAAAACTTTTGTGTCTTTCTTTCAGGCTGTGGAGCACTGCAGACGTCATGTGTGGTAGATGAAGTTGCCAAAAACTGACCTATATGTTGGGAACTGAGGAAAAATTACTGTAGCTGCTTTCCCCTTTTAATTTTGTCCTTTTATTACAGACACATTAACATGTAAATTAACGTGGGATATTTTTAATGTCTTGTCATGGAAAGGGACTGGATGTGTTTCCAGACTGGGAGATTTGAACGCTGTGATTGTGAAACCTGAGGCCAAATGCTTTGTTCAGCTAAAATGTTCTGCCGTGGTAACAAAAATTCACTGGATTTTTGATGTTTCATTTTCCATTATAATTTGCAAAATCTTTTTGAGTGTGTGTGTGTATATAAAGACATAAATTTAGATTTACTTGTTTTACTTTGTGACAGAGCACCACATGTTGATTTTTGAAGATTACAATTGTATTTTTGGCAACATGGACTGTTCAGAAATTCTTATGTTCAGCGTATAATGAAAGGCATTATGGTGACATTTATAGGATTTCCTGTTTGTCAAAGGGTATGTGAAAATTTGTCATCTCACATTGTTTGCACTGTTTTATAACCTTTAGTCGGATTGAAACCATTTTTTTTCTCCAAATCCTAATCATCTGTTTTTCAGCTGGTACATTTTAACAATAAAGTGATCCAAATTTAAATAGTGTTTTACTGTTTTGTCACTTTCAGTCTTTATTTACAGTCAAGTAGCAATTTAGATTATTGATACTTTGAAGCAGATGACATCAACATTCCTGGGGGTGTGAAGCTAATTGAAAGCACTACTTTGTTAGAAGCTCTGTTACTCAAATTAGATATAATCTGATCTTAATTTTAACACAATCTGACTAGAAAGTAGACTTTGGTGGAACTACATCAGGTGAGTTGATTTGTGCTGTTAAACAAATCCCTCTCAAAAAAAAACATTACAGTTACAGCACTGGCCAACATTGTTTCAGTTTGTCACCTTTTATTTTGAAAATCAAACACCTAAACAGAACCATGAAAATTGTATTAATCAGATTACTGAAAATGTGTTGTTTAAATAAATTTAGCGTTTTGGAGATTTCAGACTATATTATTAATTATCTGAGTTTGCTAATGTGGGCTTTGTGTCACTATAGTAGCGTTTTGAACATTCCACCAATAGAGATGCACGTTGAACACGCCAAACGTGATGTCACTGCAAATAAAATAGAGAAAAAAGAAACTGAATTTGAATGGGGTATATTGTGTACAAATTACCAGCATTTATTTATTTTTTTGTTTTTTTAGAAGGGTTATTTCAGACGTGGCAACTGATAAAAAATATGCTGTAACTGCCAGATCACATTTAATACTTAATTTTGTCAGATTTTGAAAGCTAGAATTTAACCCATCTTGCCTCCCATGTCAGTATACACTGGTGTATAAATGAGTAACTGTGACAACTGATGGACATTTGGTCAAGGCTACAACCTGATATGGTTACACAATATAAATGCACTGTACTAACTGTGTGGAAGATTACACTGCAGGCACTTTGAGGCCTTTTGTAGTTCAATATATTCCACAACTCCATCTTAAGTTAAAACATTCCTCCCCTCCACAAAGAAGTACTTCAATTGGAAATGATGAGTTTATTGCATAAAGACCAATTACACATGTTAATGCATTTTATTTTTTATATTTACCAAAACACTTCTAAAAATAGAAGTACGACGTGAGATCAAATGCACAAAGGACAATGTCAAATCACAATGTGACTGACATGCTAATCCATGTAAACATTTACACAATTAAATTTTAACATTACTAATGCTTCTTGGTCAGGAGTGCCCTTCTGTCAACATCTGTGGAGAAGTTTTGCCAGTTCACTTAACTTGGTGAGTCTATTTGGCTCAACAATGTTTAGTTAAACCACATTACAAAAATGACATGATTAATTCAGATACAGTGCACAATGAGTACAGAGAAGGCTGATCCAACAGTCAGTCCCAACGTAAGAAAGAATGACATTACAACGCCAGTGGCCTCTGCCAAATCTCGCGACACAACTTTTGGTCCATATATCATTGGTAGAGTACCGAGGTAGCCATTGGAAAGCCCTAGGATGCAGTTAAAGACTATGGGATAGGCGTCATGTGTGAATAACACTGAGTGGAGGTGGTCCCTTGGCTGGTAGTTACAAAACATTAAGAGAGGTACCAAAGCTGAGCGACACAGGACAAGAGCAGGCAAAACCCGACTGGTGGGTCCTGGTACCTGAAGCCAAGCTGTCGCCTGCCTGCCACAAAAGTCTGCTGCATTGTACAGGAAGAAACTGGTGAGAGGGGTGAAGAAGGTGGTGGTCCAGGGGCTGCCGCCGTCCTTGTTGACAGACTGGATCCCGGAGGAGACCGCGGGGAAAACCATGATAGAGACACAGAAGACGTAGAAGACAGATAGACCCAGGACCCAGGTCTTTCTGAGGATGGGCTGCAAAGGAGGGGTAGATACTTTCTCTCTGCCCCCTGCCTCATTAATCACAACTGAACTGGAGCACTCTGCAGCCAACATGTAGTGTCTAATAAAAGAGGTAAGAAAACCAATGTTATTTATTACATTTATTTATAAATGCATTAAGATCTTGAATTATTTTTGACAAATATTTGAAAATATCATGCCTTCCAGTGGTCAAGAAGAAAAGATTACTACTTTAACTATTGAACATCAGTATTATCAGTAGGGCTGGGCAATAGGCAATGACAGTTCTTGCTCCTTTATTTATAAAAACAAATAAAAATGTCTTTCAATGTTCATTTCATAAGCGTAAAACACATTTAGTACCATTTAAAACAAAAATAATTACTTTTCTTCCCAAGTTAAAACTCTTTTACTGACTAACTGTAGACTTGTCAGTTAAAAAGCCACAAGCTGATCATTGATGATTAGAAATGACTGGATCTTGATTTGATTAAAATTTGATTAGTTGCACAGCCCCAATTATAAACTGTTTTGTTTAATTTGATTAATTTAATTTATTATTAAAGTTTAGCCAGACCTTTGCCACACTGACCTTGAATATTCCAGTTTTGGCAGCAGAAGGTAGGTGGAAATGCAGAGGAGGATGAAGACATCTGCGGTCAGGAAATAAGCCAGAGCACTGTCAGTCACATCTTTAGCAGCTGCGAGGTCAATGATTGACGCGAGAGCACTCAGAGTTCCTCCCATGGCCTGGCCTGAAACAACACATACTCAGTGCTCAATGTGGAGTACTAGAAAAATGGGTTATCCTCCATTATGATGAAATGCTTTGAAATGATTATGATTTCAAAATATTTATTTTTACCTGAATATTTTACCTGGCAGTCAACACTTTTCATTTACCTAACTACTCTCCAACTATAATCTGCAACCTGATTGATAAAAATAAACCAATAAGGCGGTAATCACTTCCTGTGGTTTTTTCCCATCCATTTTGTTATTGTATCCATAGGTTTTGAGTGCTAAGAAGTCATCAAATTTTGCATATAACGGGAAGGAAAAATCTATGAATTGCAGATTTCATAAAAAAGCATATCCATGGGGTTCAGAATGATAAAAATCTTCCCATTGTTTCCATAGAAATTAACAATTCAAAACAAAATATTCTATCTTTTCAATAGGCAAAGGTCTGCAAAACATTCCCAATAAACAGGAAGTGTGTGTGTGTGTGTGTGTGTATACACCATAGTGTGTACCTGAGATGAGGGCCTGGGAGATTCTCATGGGAAAGTGTCCTGTGATGCCGAACACGCTACCGGAGAACAGGTTTGAGGCTCCGCTGATGATGGCCACACTCACTAAAGTTCCCACAAAAAACTCCATGGTGCAGTTGGACATGTCCACCTTCACCAGGACAGTGGTCACTACAAAGATCACCAAGATCACAACCAGAGAGGACAAGATACGTGCTTTTGGTGATAACCTGTTCAAGTCAAAACAGTAAGACATAAGGATTCAGAAATATATTTTTTCTCTACAATTATAATGAAAATATAATAACTACAAAGCACAACTTTTCTGACAGCTTTGAATAATTCTTTGAATCAAATACTCTTACAAAATAAATAGATAACAAAATCTAAAGAGAGTGTCTAGACGATACAATTTAATCAAAGTCCTGATGATGAAACTTGAAAAGATCTAATCAGGGTGTGAACTCTCAAATAAAACAAAAGGGTCATTCTAACAAGCTCTTATATAATGTAAGAAAAACCCACCTGTTAACAAGAACATAGTTGAGTATCAGACACAGCACAGAGGGCACAGTGGAAGCGATGGCTAAATAACTTTCAAAATAGTCCTAAAAACGGAAGCAAAAACAAGATCATTTTCCCCAAACCTTGCACTTCACAGTTACACTGTTTACAAGGAAGTGAAAGGACACTCAATGCACTGTGATTAGCAGAAGTCATGCATTCCTTTATCTAGCATCTGCAGAAATGTGAGAAATCATTTGTCTCACTTCTAATAGATGGCATTAGTTACACTATACATGCTCCGTGATAAAAGAAATGCATTGTTTTGTTATATTTATGAGAATCATGGTTTCATAGATAATATCCTTTTCAAGCTGAGGTTATGTCCAGACATGCCAGAATAAATAAATAAATTCAGGACATTCACATCAACAGAAAGATGATCGCTTTGAGTTGTGTGAGAAAAGAAAGTAACTTTTGACACATTTATGAGTTAATGTTTATATGAAATGCTGTTTTATATCGTATATTGTATAATGCTATACTATTTATTTACTGATTTTAATCATCTTCTGTGGAATTTATTAAAGATGCATTGTGTAACTTTTCTGGTGGAGGGTCCTGCTTGTTTCTATGGATAGGTCATTGCTCTGCCTGGAATGTTCCACAGTATGACATTAAACAGCTCTACCTTACGTTTATTCAGTTATAGGTGATTTTATAGCTCAAAAAATAGTTAATATCTTCTAAATGTGGGGTGACCTCTTCACAGATCTGACCTGTTATTGTTCTAGTTTGGTCTCCAAGAAGATACAAATGTTTAATGGCATACTGTGAAAGATTCCAGACAAACCAATAACACTTCCATGGAGAAAAGCATCTGATGGACCCTGCACCAGCAAAGTTACAAAATGCACCTTTAAAGTATAATAGAAGCCTTAAGATTTTGTAACATCAGTGCAAGCGCAGTTAGCAGGATTTGTACCTTGAATTCGAGTTAAAAATAATTGTATGTAATTATTTATTGCTAGATTACTATGGTAATTTGTATTAATCACACTTACGCTAAGGTCTGACCGCTCCTCGTCTGGTTTGATGGGAAGGCTGTGGTTACTGAGTTTGTAGAGCCAGTAGTTCTTTGCTGTTATAAAGAAGTTCCAGGGCAACAAGGAGCCTATGCCCATGAGGAAGAAGATGATGTAGACTAAATTATAAGAGTCTTTGGGGCTGTAGCGCACAGGTAGAGGGACAGAGTCATGATTGGGCAGCAGAGATGCAGTTGAACTGTGGTCTGTATTTTCCTCTGAAGAGTCATCGTCCACAAAAGCAGAGGGGACATAGGCAGAGTTTAAACTTGGCACTGGTTCTGTAGCCTCCATTTTAAAGGCACAATGATCTGAGGTATGTTGAGGAAATTATTTTAAGGGAAAACCTGTCAAAAGAGCAAAAGAGAATGCATGTTACAATGCAGTGTTTGATGCTCTAAACAAAATGCTGCTGTATTTTCTTCAAACTATGACAACATATATTGAATCTAATAAATCAAAGACCACAAAATCAACAAGAAAAATGTCAGTGATCATCAAAATACTGTCAAAGTCAAATTATTTGTCATGAGAAAATTCCTGCACAGCTTTTAGTTAATCTTTACAAATACAAGTGAAACTTACCTGCTTTCAAATAATGAACGAAGTTGTCCCTTTTGAAGCCATAGTGCTAATTGGAACATCAGTCTAGAAAATCAAATAAATACTTAATTAAAATAAACACTGACTTGTAGCATAACTTAAGTGCTACATTTCACACCAACACTGGAAACCCTTTTATTGATACCAAATGCAGTGCAGTTATGTATTTATATATGTTTATATTGCATGCCTAGTTGTTTACCATTTTCAGTATCCATTAAGACAAATGTACGACATTTACGTTTAAACAAAGTCATGAGACCGGTTTCAGGGCCAAAAATAAATAGTTGCTGAAGGCACCACCTTCTAAGACAATGCAGAGAAATGCCTTTAACCATTTAAGAGGTACAAAGGATGACTGTCATGACTAGTCTCCTCCGGTACTACACCATCATGTGTGTAACTAATGAGGAACAGTGTTCACATGATGCTGACCCAAGAGAAAAAATCTTAACCTCAAACTTGCCCATGAGCAATCTCCACTTCAGCAAGCGAGTACTTCTGGTTTATTTCCGTGCCCTCATCCTCATATTGCAGTAGTTTAAAATGGCAAATTCATTCATAAAGTCCAAGATTTGACCACCCTTATTCATGATTATTAATATAACATAAAAGCAGTATTTCTGTATATACCATAAATGTTTAGGTAAATACATTAGCATTAAGGCTAGCTAAACAAATGCTGTAATTGCAATTTACGCCACAGAATAAACACGATGACTATAATGATGATAAAATGATTGCATACTTTACCGACACAAAGGCTTCGCTGTAAATGACACTTGTGGAGAGAGAAAGAGACTTGAAAACTCATTTCTCAACAAAACCCCTCGGCCAGCTCCGGCTCCGGCTCCACATACAGAACTGGAATAAAATGCACGTATCCGGTATATGCCTGTCAAAATAAAACTCCCCTCGATCATAAAATATATCTTTTAAAATATTATTTATTTCTTATTATTTATTTTATATTATTAATTACTTATTTTTCATAAGTTTGTTTTTGTTAACTACGCTCCAGGTCTAAGCTATAGCTTATTAAGGCATTTGTTTATGTTAGGTTCATGGGAATGTATAACTCTTATTTTGCTGTAACATTTTTCAGCATTGAAGTATTACAATAAAATGAGGTAAATTGCGTTGTACTTTTCTACTTTGGAAGCAGGTGCTATTAGAGTCAATGCTACAGAGAGTTCAATACGTGAAACTACTATTTACACAAAATATGATCTTCTTTTTGTATTCCACTTAGGCCTGTTTATTTATTTTCTTTGTTCTTTTCTTTTCTTTCTTTCTTTCTTTCTTTCTTTCTTTCTTTCTTTCTTTCTTTCTTTCTTTCTTTCTTTCTTTCTTTCTTTACTTATTTATTCATTCATTACGGTGGAACGATTTATATTAAGTCTATGGACCTATTGCCCTATTTCAATTATTTCCTCATTAAAGCATTTAAAGTTCAACTCTTACAAAAATAAATAATATAATATAATACAATATAATGTAATAGTATAGTATAGTATACGATATACTATATAGTATAATATAATAAATATAATATAAATGTTCCCATGCTGTAATCCTTTCTCTTTGCAGCAGGTGTCACTGTTGATCTTTCTAAATCAACACATGACTTTTGCATACATTTTAGAATTGGATTTAGAAGTAATTGTATTGAGACAGCATAGCTATTTATTCTACATTATTATAATCATATTTTTCATCTAGCATCTAGATGGAATACATGTACATGGGTTTAATCAAGGTTTTGTATGTTTTACAGTCAGAACAACTAACCTATAGGCCATTAGGGGTCAAACATTCATTGAACGTCTTCTAAAATAAACTTATAAAAATGTATTTAAACATGTCCTTGTATATTCTGTCTTTAATGAAGCATGTGGTACAGAGGTGAGTTAGGGTGAAAGCGCAGTTATTTCTGTTCATTATAAAAGGCTCAGTGAACTCAGCACTGAGGGGTGGCACATGGGTCTGTAATTAGCACAGCACCTATAATGAAACAGGTGCAGGTGAAAGGGTTGTCTGTCATTAGAACCACACTACACTGCACACCTATATGCCCTCAAATACAAGTCAAACACAGATACATGGCTCATCTAACCTGAGACAGCTTTGAAACATTTTCATGTCAGTAGCTGTGCAAGGGGAAGATGGTTTTGCTGGGGGCCACCTGCTTGGCTCTATGGAGATGTTATTGGTTTATGCAGAGACAAGCAGGTCTATTTAGAGGTGAGATCTGTGGAGAGGTAAGTTCACAGTAAGAATGATGCATGTTTTTTTTTTTTTTCCCCAAACAGCAATAGAACGGCTGTAATTAAATATATGTGAAATAGATGATAATGCCATACATTTCAACCACCAAAAAGTTACATAGTGCATCTTGAAGTTCCAAATACTATCTCAGCTCAAGATTGAAATTGTGAGATATTATAAGTTACGCTAGCTTTACTGCACTGATTTTTATTTTTGTGTCATATTTCATTAGATATGGTTCGTAATAGTGCATTGCTATGGTGCGTAATGCCAGAAAAATTGTCAACTTAATGGCTTACCTAGCACTTTCTGTCAAAACAAATTCTAATTAGGCTAACATTTGCATAACAGACAAAAACACAAGACACACATTCTGCTAAGAAATATAATTTATTGCATAAAAATTATATTTAGTTACAGGTAAGAAGGCTGGACATTTATTTACAATTAGTATCATACAGAGATAAAATAATGTAAATGTTTTGTTTTCATTTTTTTGCGAAAGTGTCTCCTCAAACAAAGGCTACATTATTTTCTTTGAAGGGAGAGAGTTGTGAGCTTGTTCTATCCAGGTCCAAAATATCCATCCAAGCTACCTGGCTTGTGCCAATGTCTTTTCTGGGGTCCATAGAGAGCACTGTTCATATAGTCACAACTTGTTATATATATTTATATCATTGTCCTCATTCAGTAGTAGCTTCCTTATAAAGTTGACAACCCCATTTTTCACATGGGACACTTCCACAACATATATGGCCACAACATTTGAATCTTTAGCCCACCGCTTTAGGGTACAAAATAAAAACCCTGTCAATGTTTTGAAAAAATAGAATCACTTTTGCAAGAAACAAAACAAGTCAAACGCTTTTTCTTTTCCTTTGCACTTTTGCATAGCACTTACAAAGAGAAATGACAGATCTGTGGCCAGTGCACTCGACGATATTGTGCACATACTCTGCCCACTCACACTGTTCACATTCATACTTAGTTCATTCATACAAAACAGTGACTCCAAATCACTGCTATAAGGAGGGATACTGCCTTTGTTTTGGTATTATTTTTTTTTCTAAATTATGAGCACTTTTTTGCTTGAAGTTATAAACCTGAAATGAACATGAAAAATGATGAATTAATTCTTAAAATAAAAAGCAAGTAGCTCATGATGACACAGACAGGTGGTAAAAATTAACAATGTGCTAGCAAATGGTGCAAACAATTAGATACAATGATATAAAATAATATCAAAAACATAAGTTGTGAAAATTTTCTGGTCTTTCACTTTTGTTGACCCAAGGCATTTACCAACAGTGAAAATTAAACATAAAAAATAAAATACATTGTTTTCATATGTACCACCTCTATGTTTGACAGATGACATCTTATAAGATGAATATATTAGTATAAAAACAATACATATGGTTTCAATATAATGTGCAGCTACTATATCTTTCCCATTTGGCCTGTTCTACAAGAGAATAAAAACGTAAGAGCAGCTCAGTAGCCTAAACAAGCACAAGTGATACATGGGCCTATGCATTCATACTGGCATCAACAAAAAAGGAAACAATCCACAAATATGGATAATAACATAAAGGGCGTTCCCCAAAGGAAACTTTAAAGGGGGGACCAGAAATGTTGGTAACACTTAATAATAGCTACACTATTTAAGGCCTTAAATAAGCATGAAGAAAGACTGAATTCATAATGAACAAACTGTTTATTAAAGGTACATTAAAGGTAAACTAAAGATATTCAAATGTCCACTAACTTTTCTGGTGGAGGGTCTGCTATCTTGTTGTATCTGTGAAGATGTTATTGTTTTGCCTGGAATGTTTCACAGTATGACTTTAAACGTATCTATCTACATGGAGACAAGGTATTTTCAAGGTATTTTTGAGCAATATAAACACCTATAGAATATTTGCAATAGTCAATGCCATACTGTAAAATATTCCAGACAAAACAATAACATCTCAAGAAAGCAGGTCCATTAAAAAAGTTACATACTGCATCTTTAAGAATGAAGCAGGCTTAGTAATAACTTAATAAAAGGGTTTGGAGTTACAATTATGGTAATATTTAAGGAGTTACTGAGCCTAAATCATTCTTAATAGACTATTTGTTCATAATCAATTATCAATAAGGCTTTCTGCATGCTTTATAATGGCAAATTAAGGTGTAATAGTTATTAAAAAGTGGTACCATAAAGGAGGACACGTGTTTGAGAAATGTGAGAGGATAGAGAAAGACACCCCTGTTACTCCAAATGGGACGGCAAGGCTTTTGAGGCATTTGTTGGTACAATATAAAGAGTCATTTTGCTGTGTAGTTGTCCGCCAATAATTCTGTAGAAAAACTTCAAAACACAACCTCCCGCTGAAAAGCAGCCTTTTGATCCATGCCCAGAGAAATGTGCTCTAAACTGTAGGTCCTTGAGTGATTCATCAGAAATGTAAGAAGATGGAGTAGAAATGTAGCTCAACTAACCATGAGCCAATTAACCACTTGTGTGTGTTGCCTGAGGAGTTTGAGTCTGTCTACGGCACCCATAGAGGGACAAAAAGGTTTGACTAAATGCAAAATGCCTGCTGGAGGTGAGATGGCTCGTGCACTACATGCTGCTACAGAAAATCTGTTATGTTGAATTTACTTCGACGCTCAGTCTGGTTCTTGGAAAATTTTGTTTGCATTTCTGCCCAAGCCACTTATTTACAATGTGACTCGAGCATCATCATTACAAAGGCAGTCTAAGTTGCACGTGGCAAATTACTGTTTAAATATATTACAGTTATATTAGACTCTGGAGGGGCACGGCAACACTGATTGGTGCATTCAAGCAGAAGTGAGTTTTAGTTACTTTTGAATGGCCCATTTGGGGATGGGTTATGGCGGAGATACAGCAACAGTGGCTGATGAGGGGCCAGTGAAGAAGATGAGGCAGCGGCAACTCAAATGAAGTGACAAAAATGGTGGGCTTGTCATTCCTGTTGTGTGCATATTCTTAGGCAGCAGGTTCATTTTCATCGTCTTGCTCGTTCCCCCGTTCCTTAACCAATCAGCAGTCTCCGTCCGTTGTCATGACGACCAGGACCTCACTTTTGCCCATCTCTTCGAGCGCAGATGCCAAAGAGACCAGGTCCGCATCACCCTGGTGACAGGCCTCCCACAGGTCCAGGAGCACACCTGTGGGGCTCGGCTTTGTGGCAAAGTAGTTCAAGTACCTATGGAGAAAGAACACATGTAAGTTCAATGATTGTACCTAGAACGATATGACTCACATGAGTCATTCATTGTCATATTTTTAATAAACCACGTGCAGCTTCAGCTGAGCCCTTTATATGTCTCATTTGGACTTCTGATAACATGAAGTCAATAGAGAATATCAGATATTTAATTTTTTTTTTACTTGATTTTTATCTTTTGTATTTTAAAACAAAAATCTCCATGTGTTTTATTGTTTGTATTCCTACTTTGTTTAGTATAGATAGTATAGTTAAAACTTATTGAACTACTGAAAGCAACTTGAACATGAAAAGTTATGCATCTCAATTATCATTCACTATAAATAAGCCCCATCTGACCTGTCAAAGCCCAGGCTCCGAGCGAGTAGTCTCCAGTCACAACCACGGGCGCTGGGTGCGTCCAGACTGGCACAGATCTTGTGTCGGATGGAGTCGGGCAGACGAAAGGCATAAGGTCCCACTTGAGAAGAAGGCAGACAGGCTCCTGCAGAGGGGAGCGGCGAGTGTGGAGGTAGAGTCTGCAGACAAAAGCATAGCACCATTAGCCCTATACTGTTATGTAATACTCTAATCTTAATACCCCACAATATGCTAGGGGTTTTAAGATGCCTTTGCACATTTTATATTATGTAACCTATATTATAACCTATATTTGTCCTATTCCCTGTCCTTTTCAGTGCTTGGATTAAGATTTTATCGCCCCCCATCTGGCAATAATAGGGATGTAAGCATGTTAAAATGCAGAAATAGAAACTAGTTATTTACCAATTGTGTGAAGAGTACTAAAATATGTACACAGAGAAAGTATTGAGATGGCCATGTATTAGGACAATTAGAACTTGTACAGTACTCAGTAACTTGTAGATTTAAAATGTAATTAAGTACAATTACCTGCTAGAATTATACTAATGTGCAAGTACAGGTTCAAATTGCTACTAGTACTACTTTTAGGACTGCTGCTATCACACACTATAGGTTACTCAAAGGTGCACTATGTTACTTTTTTGGTGGAGTGTCTGCAACCCGCTTGTCTCATGAAAATGGATTTTTGTATGGTGGTAACAAATGTATTTATTTATTCAGTTTTACTGTTGACATCACCTTGTTATGTTGTGTCCATGAAAACAGATCATAGGCAAAGCAATAACATTTTACATAATGCACCTTTAAGCATGCGTGAATGAAACAAAAGTTCATATTATATTGTTATAAGTGGCCATACCTCCTGAATGTCTGTGAGTAGCTGGAATATTTGTCCCTCTCCCTCCACTTGTCTGACACAGATTTTACAGGTGAGCTGCGACACGGCCAGGCTGCCCCTCTCCAAACTGAAGGTACAATGCAGAGGCCGCTGGCTGCCGCTCCAAATGTGATAAAATGGTATTTCCTGGAAAAGAATAGTAAAGTAATGAAATAAATGCCAAAAACAGCATTATCTACAGCACTATGAGAGTAGCCCTGTATAAAATGTGGAGCAGTTTCCTTTCAGGGACGGCACAATATGGTTTATTTCCACCAAGAGGCTCTGTGTATGTCAGAATACAATTCATGCATTGCAGTGTATAGTCCATAAATAAGGGCCCTATCAGATTTCCCGTTTATTTATTCAGAATGGGGTTAGCAGCAATTTCTATAGTGGAGCCATGAGAATGCAGCCGAGGTTTTAGTGTTTACAGCAACTGGAAATAGTCAAGTCCAGCCTCAATTTTCCAAACAAACAAAACATTTTACTTAAGTAGACTGCAACATAGGGAATTAGACTAGTCGCTTGTGCCACATTCTGCATTTAAACTGTGCAGCAACTTTACATTTCTGGGAGTATTACCTGGTACTTAGCCAGTAGTTTGCTTCTCCAATGTGTGTGTGGTATGTCGTGTATGGAGAGGCGGAGGTTGTGGTAACTGTCTTTGAAAAGCAATGGCTTAGGATCCTCTAGCAAAACTCCGCCCAGGCTCCTCTCAAGGTCCAGCACCTCCTATAAGCAGACAGAGAGGAATGATAATGGCTTTGTCAATACTTGTAATGCATTCAGCTTCTCAAACAAGACAGACATTTTAATGACTTCGAAGCATGCAGTGGGAATAGCGTCGATTTGAAACAGCTAAAAAAAATGTATTGCCATTTCAGCATATACTACATCTGTTGAAGAATTTATGCAGATATAGATTCTAATTGTATTTAAAAGTGTTTAACCATGCTCTAAAATTACACTAAATCAGCCTGAATAATATATATAAATTATACAGTTTTACGGACTACAGTAGAACAGACTCAGAATAGGCAATAATCTATGAAAACACTCATACTATTCATTGTCTATGCAGCTGCTTCTAGAAGGCATAAGTTATAATAATAATGAAATATCTTGTTTTCCAGGGTGTAAAAAGTTCACAAGCCTTTTTTCTGGTTCATCACCTGCTTGTCTCCATGGGGATATTATTGCTTTTCCGGGAATGTTCTATGGTATGACGTTAAACACATCTATCTAGCATTTATTCATTATGGGTGTTTATATTGCACAAAAATACAATAATACTATAGTTGTCTCCCTTGAGATCGTTTAATCTCTAATGTGGAACATTCTAGACAAAGCAATAACATCTCCATGAAGACAAGCAAGTGATGTTCCCTCCTCCAGAAAAAGTTGAGTAATGCACCTTTAAGTATATAAAAAGTTCACATGTCACAAGTATACATCAGCAGTACACTTTGACAATTTCATGAGGAGTAATAATAAATACTGATTACATTTTATCATGAAAAAACTCTGAAGGCTGAAATTGCTTTACCTTGATTGCTTATTTACTATGATGAAAGTCAGTGTTGGGAGTAACGCGTTATAAAAATAACAAATTACTGTAATGCATTGGTTTTTGCTGTAATGCAGTAATGTAAGGCATTACAGGGAAAAAAAATGTAATATTTTATTCAGTACAAATGTCAGTAACCGGAGTTACAATGCTTTTTTAACCTGGATTGAAGTGGTGGGTTTTTTATTTTTCTTCATACGAATTCACTAAAATCACCGCGATATCAACAGAGCTGAAACGTCATCGTTACGGTTCCAAGTGTCGCGGGTGAAAGGACCGGTGCAGAGCTCTACGCTCCATGTGGCTACTCGCAGCTGACGCCTGATCGCACTTTGCGGACACCCTGCTTCACGGGCCCGGGGTTCTCTCAGGGGCAGTCATAGATTCAAAGATTAGAGTCCTAGTCCAAGATTAGTCCTGGTTTAGTCCTGGTTTAGACCTGGTTTAGACCTGGTTCAGCTCTGGTTTAATCCTAGTTTAGTTCTGGTTCAGTCCTCCTGGTTCAGAGCTCAGTTCAGTCCTGGTTTAGACCTAGTTTAGTCCTGGTTCAGTTCTGGTTCAGTTCTGGTTTAGTCCTGGTTTAGTCCTGGTTCAGTCCTGGTTCAGTTTTGGTTCAGTCCTGGTTTAGTCCTGGTTTAGACTTGGTTTAGTCCTGGTTCAGTCCTCGGTTCAGTCCTGGTTTAGTCCTGGTTCAGTACATATACGGCGCAAAAGTTCGGCATCTTCGCACAGTTATTCTGCTGAGAGTAACTTAAAGTGCTGCAATAGTCATGTAATGTCTTACATTTTAAAGTAGCAGTAATATTGTAATGTAATGAATTACTTTGAAATGACAGTAACAAATAATAAATAACACATTATAGTTTTGAAGTAACTTGCCCAACAGTGATGAAAGTTAATACATGTTAGAAAGTCTGAAAGAAAGACACAGATAACCTCAAGTAGTACCTTTAGTGCATGTGGCGTATCATGAATGCAGTAGACCCTTAGGCTGTAGTCCAGAGAGAGGCAGGGGGCTCGGGGTGCAAACAAAGCCAACTGCAGCCTCTTACACGCGGGCTGAGGGGGGCAAGACTGTCCCACCAACCCATATGTCCCCAACTGCTCCATGAGGACATGACAGCTCTCCTCTTCTAACTGCAGGTAACACGGAGAGGATAGTGTCTCTTCTCCTACTGTTAGCACCTCCTGTAGGCCACAACAAATGTCAACAATGTCCCAGCATCAAATCGCCACAACCATTTGAACCAGTATGTCGCTAAGTGCTGACCCACCTCCCATGCACCCTGGTGGGTCTGTGTTTTCAGTGTAAGGGTCCAGTCTGGGGTGGGGGTATCCAGTTGGGCACAATGGGGTAGAGTTAGCACCACAGGTCTGTTTAGCAGCATCCCAGAAGGACCACAGCTCACAACAGGACTAAGAACTGTCTGGCTACCCTCCGAGGGAAGCCTGTCAAATAAAAGGACACATACAGGCTATAATAGTCACCAAAACATACCAACAAGCTGTGATTTTTGAAGGGAGCACGCCGCTGTCAAATTATAGAAAATTGTTCGCAAATTAAGCCACGGTTGGGGAGATAAGAGTTGACAGAAAATTTGACAGAGGGAACATTTTGATTGAGGTGAGAAAGAGGGCTTGCGGTGCGTCTCGTGGCTCTGGAGGTGATTGATAATAAAAAGAAATTGTACTTACGTGGTTTTGTCCCATTTGTTGATGATGAGGTACATTTCGTAAAACTTCCCCTGAGGGATAGTGCCAGGAGGGACAAGCAGACTCACACCTTTGGGATACAAAATATATTTAAAGTTCATATAAAAGTGGAGATTAGATGCATTTACAGTTTTATTATTTTATTATTGTATTTGATGCCATGTTTCTGACCAAAAATGAACCTTTTCCAATTTTTATTGGAAAACATTGTGGCATTTTATTTCTTCCCATTTATTCTTGTTTACGGCTGTACTTCCATATTTTGACAGCACATCAAATTAGCATACACTGCTCTTTATCCACTTTTTGAAATCATTTATGGACATTTTGACCTGATGTAGCCCAATACTTCTTTTTTATTTGTATTGAGTCTGTAGAGGCATTTAGTTTCAAAACTGTAAAAAAAAAGGCACTGAGCAAAACCTACTTTATTCATTGATATAAATTATCACATACAGTCTAAATGTTGTATTTTATTTACAGATGGGCCCAAACAAGAATAAACACATATCAGCGATATGTCAAGGGCTTGAAAACTTAAATCTACAGCATTGCTAGATTTTAGTCATATTTATGTGACATCATTCTTTTTTATATTTACAGCCTAGCATTTATTTTTACTTTGACACAGCCCATTTCACTCCTCTTCGAACTTTGGCAACTTTTTCCAACCTGTCAAAAGACTATAATATATTACTAGCTAGTTGAATCTAATATAGAATTGTATGTATAGAATTTTCATTTAGCCCAATGGAGATTTTTCAAAAGTATTCTGGACTCTATAGTGTGATAAATGTATTTACCAGTAGTGGCCTGGCAGCTTATCCACAGCTTTTAACAGTGTTTTTTTTTTTTTTTTTTACATTTAATACTAAGCTCTATACCTCTATGGCTGGGTAATATGGTGATGAAAATGAATTCTGATCTAATGCTGTGACAATATAGGTAGTTTGCTGATGATTGGAGACACGCTCATAATGTGATTCAGATTTTGCTTTTGAATGCAGCTTTACCACGCGCATTCCTCCTATTGGTCAGCCTCTGCATGCTCTGAGTGAGTGACAGGTGGATTTAAACAATGACAGTGAAGTGTGAACTAAGTAAATGGTTTTAGTTACCTAGTTAAAAATCTATATAAAACTTTTTAGAAATGTGATATCATTGAAACTGAGGGCTTCAGAAAATCATAGCTTCTCTTCATAGCTCTAGTCTGTTATTCTTCTTACCAGTATTTGGGATGGTGAGGCGGCCTCCCAGATGCCCAAGCGTTGCACTCGTACTCAGGCCTGGCTCTCTGGACAGTGTATGGCTGTGGATGTCCCTGTCCCGCCCCACTGTCCCGACAGACTTCAGACTGAGTATCTCTCCATCGCCCCCCGGTGGCAGCTCCAGTGAGGACAGAGTAGACGAATTGTACACCTTTATCTTGAGACTGGGGCAAAGTGGATCCAGCAAGGGCGAATTTGTCATTGGGATTTTGTGCGGGCTATCGTTAACTCCATGCTGCAAAGAGAAAAGCGGTCCGCGGAAATGTCCCGCAGTTGCCGTCAAATCGGGAGGAGCCGATGGGTGGAGGGGGTGGCTGTTATCTGCGCACATAAGAGAAAAGATAGGACACTTTTTATCATTGGGAAGACAGCTAAGTGCTCTGAACGCGATGCAAGAGAAATTGATTAATGCTGTTAATTAATGTTTGATGGAGAGTACAAGGGAGAGGGGCACCATGACAAAATGTAAAAAATGTTGCGCAGCCAAGAATAGAGAAGAGATAGTGGTATAAAAAGAATCTATTAAAAGTGGTGGCCAAACATTAATAGAACATTTGGGAGAGTGAAGATGTTTCTGTTGTTTTGGTTTAATTAAATGCCAATAAACAACTGATAGATCTACAAAGTTGTCAACATGGAGCCATTATAAGATGTTCTGGGCCAACTTTCTGTCTGTAAACACTGTCTGTAGTCTGAGTCACTGAAAATTAATTCATTAGTTTACTAAGCATTTTAAAAAATATACGTTATGTTTAAAAGGGTAGAGTTTCTAACCTATTTGATGATGAACTATTATATAACAGATTTTTGCTTTTACATTACATTTTGCATTTACATTTTATTTATATAGCGCTTTTCAGGACACTCAAAGTTGTTTTACAAAACAAATATTAAAACAGTCTAAAGAGCAATAGACAAATAATACAGTCAAGATAATAACAGTGAATCAAAGGTGCACTATGTCACTTTTTTGGTGGATTTAACAGTAGTTCTCCCAAAAAGAAAACACTATTCCACCTTGTGATTTCATGTGGTAATGCAGAAAGTGCTCCACTGTGTTTTTACACTCCATATAGTACCTTCACTAGAACCATTTTTATAATTTCAGTCCCAGAATTGCCAATCTCTACTGAACTAGAGGTAAAAGGATCTGTTAAAACTACTGCTCCATGACATCACAAGGTGGAACAGAGCATTTTGAACTTTGGAGATGTAGAGAGACTAATAATAAAGGGTTACTCAAACTGTGTGAATGAAACAAAACACAACTCCAGGTATGTTTTTAAGGAAGTAACACCATTCTAACATGGCTTAAAGCTTAAAAGAGTTAATTTGGTGTAATATAGGACCCTTAACATATCACTTTTCTGTGTGTATATAAGGCAATGTGACGAGAGGTTGTGAGATGGCAGAAGGAGAGGAGCTGCCAAACAGACATCTAAATAAACAGAAAGCGCATTGGCATCGTACGCCTGTTGCTGTGTGAACTCACCCTGACGCGGGGGCTTGTAGTTGCCAGGATGGAACGCGGCTGTGAGAGCTGAAGAGGAGTCTGTGATGTCAGCGTGAAGGTGACGGCATCTGCGGCGGTACGCAAGCACTCCCACACAGAGCACCAGGATCACACACAAGAGGAGGGCACCCATCAGACCGGCGTACACCGCGACACCCATACCAGGGGCCAGGGCTGTGGGAGACAGGGAGAGGTACATATGGTGAGGGGAGAATGATGAAGTGTATGAAGAGACTGGGGGAGTGAGGTAAAGCGGGTGCAGAGCAGAGGGCGTTTACTGGGAATAGACTGTGGCTAATTAGTCTGATCTATGTACCTTATTTTTTTAGTTTAACATAACTTGTGTAAATTGTGCAGTGATTTCTATGGTGATCTGGCTAAAAAATGATGCCAGATGGCGTTCCTCTTACACGCTCTTACTTTCTCCAGTATATAATATTTAAACATTTTTCTCATTTCTGGATTTATGCCTGTTTTTTACCACAGCATATCAGAAGAGTGAGACACAGACGCTACTTATAATGATTTTTATTTCATTTTTTTTTTTGTTTGAATCATAAATATATAATTAATTCTGAAAAATGTAGTGCATGGCATATTGATTCTGGATGGCTCGATGCACAGCAATACATTTCTAAAATATTGACACATGGTGCTTTGTGTATTTTCCCTGGATGATTCTGAAGATTCATATTCTTGGTATATTAACATTAACTATAGGAAAACTGATGTACATTTCCTTTGTGGCAACAGAAATGAAACAGTTATATCCCTGAAGGTAAACAAAGCAGAACGCACACAATATATGCAATGATAATGTATGCATATGAATTGAAATTGATCACTTTTCCACAGCTATAGAACAGAATAGTGCCTATGAGTCATCTTCTTCTGACCGCACAACCTTGCACAAATTTCTGATGATTAATTTTTATCAGACGACGTGCTACAATCAACACCTGAAATATATTTTTCATACTCAACAACCAGACAGCTGCCAACTTCCTATCATTTCTATCTGCAACATGAAGCTTGATTGGAGAGCAAACAAAGCAATTAAAGCAACGTAATTAAAATCCTCTATGGCTATGACTTTGTGGCAGACGAAGCGAAAATTTTTGAAGTGTGGTGTAAATTATAGATGCCGACTAACACAGCACACTATAATAATACATGAAGGCATTAGAGAGACGTAGCAGCCTGCAGGAAGAGCCCCAACGTCACGGCCAATCAGATTACATCAGAGTGGTTGCCCTTAGCTTCACCTACTCCCTGATGGGCACAGCTCTGTTTCCCGCTGAGGTAAGGGTTAAGACTGGTCAATGGGCATAAACAGTGCATCTGTCTTGCCTTGGACAATAACCTCACATGAGTCACATATTTTAAGCAGTGGTTGGTAGAAATTAGTTATCTATTGTTACATTCAAGTAGTACTTTATTTTTTTCCTTGCCTTTGCAAAACTCTTAAAAACTGTATTTATTTATTTTCAATGAATGTATAATCATGTATTTATTTTATGTTTAGAGTTATTTATTTATTATTGTACATTGTGTTGATTAAAATGACTTACTTTTAATATGTAGAATAGAAGCTTAGATTCCATAGCTGCCTTATATAAGTTGGTAGAATTTGGGGGTGGATCATTCAGCTTTCTGATTGGATAATTGGCTTGAGAACACAGAATGTAAATATGAACCACCTTCATTTAATGTTCTGTATTTTATTCAACATAATGTCAACAAAGATTTATGAAGTAGTTTATACAATTTCTACATATTAATGGTGGGATGAGACATAAAGTCATTTCCCCAAAATGAGATAAGGACAAGCGGTTGGGACCACGGGAACAAGAAATTAGGAAATTTTGGCATAATTTCCAATTTTGTCCTACTTTTGGCACTATAGGACATGTAACTCACCAGCAAGAATCTCACAAGATTCTTTTTTCTCGCATGTGCATTATAATCTTGTGGCCATTTTGTCTTGCCAGATCTTGTGGCACAAGATCTTGTCCCATCCCTACTGGATACTTTTAAATGAATAATCCTACTTTATTATTTTATTTTGCACTGACTACCCATGTTTGGTAGACCTACAGAAGACAACGCTCAACGCTGAGGAGACAAATCTGGATAAACATTGAAGCTACAGAGAAGAGGCAATTTGGCAGCAGCAGACGGGCCGGTGTTAGATAAGGTTTTGATTTGTTGAGAGGGATTATGAGTGCGGCGAGGAGAGAGGAGATAAGGAAGGAAGTGCTTTAGGAAATGCGCCCATGTTAAAAGAGCAGAAGAAAGTTGGAGTTGGGAGGGAAGGAAAAAAAACTACAGACACAGAAGAAGAGAGAGGCGGGCGAGAGGAGCCAGAGGCAGACAGGCTGGCAGAGGCTCACGTGGCACAACTCGAGCAGATCTGACAGACGTCCGCACTTATTACCACAAACCAACAAAGGAGAATTAGGTGCATTACAGTGGCGCTCCTCTCTCTGCTCTGAGCTTAAACTGTATCTGAGATGAGCTGCAAGTCTGGCACTAATCAGCAGTGTTTTTTATGCATTTACTTCTGCATTTATGATCAAAGAGTTGCATGTTTAGAGGCAAGATATTATTTTTATAGTATTCCAAAAGACAATTAATATTATGTGTAAAATTAATTTCTTATAGATATACTCTTCAATGCAGTAAGATATAAAAAAGCGAGGGTTAAGAATCATAGTATGGAAGGTATTGCATTATAAAAAAACAAAAAACAAAACTAAAACTAAAAGGGACAGGTACAATCATAAATTGGCAATTTGCATTATTATGATTTATTATTAGGTTATTATTTTCTCCACTTAACACAATCTGTTGAATTAAAAATATGTACAGAGTAGACTTCTACCATAGCACCAAACAGTACGTTTTTAAAGGACCTAAAGGTAAGATTACATAGCCCATAGAAAAAGCACAGGATAAGACTCATAACTAAGCCACAAAGTAGGAAGCGCCTCCAGTGAACCCAGTCAAAGCTGACAACAGTGTGGGTAGACGGAGACAGTATGCATGGAGGACCACGTGCCAGCACAGACATACATATGGAATAAGCACAAGAAGCAGGAGGAGGGAGCAGCTAACAAGTGAAGTCATGGGAAGGTGAACTTACGATGGCTTGCATGTTCAATAGAAACCTTTTTATCTGTTTGAACGGGAGAGAAAACAAAATGAAAGGAAAAAACAACTTAATGTAGATGGAAGAGTTGCAAATAAAGAATACAATAACATAATTCAAAGCAGCAAAAGTAAACAATAACTCATCAATATGAAAATGAAAAATTTAACTAAAAAGAAGTGCTAAGGAATATGGATAACCTTCAACAAATAAGTGTTTGACAAGTGTGACTGTGCTGGTTCAGTGGCTGTGACTTGCTTTGATGGAAAGTGTTATGAACGTGATGAGAAATACAGATGGGTAAAACAGCGTTAAAAATAAAACATGGACACAGATACGTGATCCTAATATAAGGTGGTTTTGGTTGAGGCCCCTTCTTTGAAATTGGTGTGATCATTTTCCATCCCAGAACACTTGTGGTTGGTAGATATTGATAAAAAATGACTAAGAATAAGCAGTTTGTATTTCTAGATGAATTTCCAGAAAATGCATGGCCATAATCATTAAAAAGCCATTTAAAGGTGCTATGTATCTTTTCTGAGTGAGGGTATGGCTCCAGCTTGTCTCCATGGAGATGTTCTACGGTTGCCTGGAATGTTCAACATTAAGGCATTAAAAGAAAAGCTGTACCAAGTTACTGGTCAGGTCTGTGGAGAAGAAAGTCTGGTCACAGTAAGAACACATGTTTTTCAAGGCATTTTAGTAATAAAAACAAATGTAACTGAATACATGCATGATATTTTGCCATAGTGGGGAGCATTTCAGAAAAAATATATTAATAACTCCATGGACACAAGCAATATAAAACTATAAAATCTGTGTTTTTTACATCTGTAATTGTCCTATTAGCAAAATATTGACCATGATATCCTCCACTTAAGGTTCATAGTTGCCAGGCTAGGCTCCATTCACTGCAATATCAATGCTTCTCATAATAAGCTCAAAGAGCAAGTTCTGTGACACACACAGATCTACCTACTTTAACCACTCAGCTCAACTCTTTATGAATGCTACAGTGTAAAAGGATGTTAACACAGAGGATGAATTAATAACGGGGCTGGTAATGTAACAGACTTTTTGCATGTATCCTTGGTGCCCTCTTGAGATTGGCTCAGTCCAATTGCAGAGTCTCTACATTCAAAGATGCTCTGCTCACGTCAGGACTAGTATGTATGTATGAGTGCACCTGCTAAATCTGTGCTTTAGCTTCATGCTTTCCCTCTGTGTAAAATATTAAGATGTGTGTTTAGGATTATATTAGTCCTTGTTGAATTAATTGAGTCAATTCAATTAGTCACTGTATTTATTTTTCTTACCACATTCTACATCTATTATGAGAAAATATTTATGGTAATATATTATAGAGATTCCAACCTGAGGGATGGAAATTTTGTATTGCACTAAAATTGGTTTAGCTTTTGAAAACGCTACCGTACAAAGAGTAAATTGTAAGCAATGATTTTTTTTAATGCTTAATGTTTTTGTAAATGATGTCTTCTCCAGTTTTAGGATAGGGGTAAATTCTCCCAGAAGTTACTGCACAATATATTACAATCCAATTTAAAATGCAATTTGAGTAAGTGCAATTATCAAATCACAAAAGCTGCAATTATTCTGAACGTCCTCTGCAAAAAACTAAATATCCGGTCTTTTTTATGGAAAAATCTTGTTAACCCCGTAATCTACAATTTTTTGGTTTATCAGTTCATATTTCAGTCATTTGTTAAATGTTAATTTGTATTTGACATGCACTCGGATTCCTACTTTTCAAACATAAATTGCAAATCTAATTGCAATGCTTGTCAGAAAAAATACTGAAATACTTATTTTTTCCCTCAAATCATGCAGCCCTAATGTTGAAATACTGTATTATGTACTGTAGTTCTATTTATATCATAATATGTACTCATTGTTTGTCCTGGCTTAGACCTGGTTTAGGCTTGAGTAGTTCTTGCTATGGGCATGCATAGCCCCCTGCTAAATCTATGTTTTAGATTCATGCCCTTGTTTTATGTATATGTGATATAAGTACATGACTTAATGTATAGCTGCTCTGGTGAATCTGGGTGAGTGTAATAGTCTGTCAGCTGGATTCCTCGCGGATCATCGCAGACTGCACATTGGGTGTCAGCCTGAGTCACCCTCATATGTTCTCCTCTGCTTCCCCTGCGCTAATTTTCCGATGTTATGCTCGCTACCCACTCCGTATGCACTTTTAGCCTTGCGATTCCTCCTTCTCCCTCTTCCATCCATCTGTGCAACTTTTAAGATGTAGCTTTTTCTGTTTGTGAACTGAAAACTGTTCCAATAATGCTGTAAGTAAGTTTTTTGGGGGGGTTATGTTACCTTTCATGTCTCCCTCCGCATCATTCAGTTTCTCATCAGTCTACCGCTACAGATATGCACCGCGGGAATACTGTTATGGAGCGAATGGCTTTGAAATGCAATACAACTCAAGATATCAGGAGGGCCGGGAGGTTTTTCTTTTATCAATTTATCATGCACCTGATGGAGCTGATATGCTGTTAGAGGACTGACCCCAGAGGCTGACTCCAAAACATACTTTTCACCATTTCAGTAATGAATTATGTTCCCCTGGTCAACCCATTTTTGCACAACCCCATCAGACCTTATGTAATAATGCTATATGGATGGATTTAAGAATTAACCAATTATATAGATGGTCAAATACAAGCAAAAATGAAATTAAGGGTTTCCAGGTTCAGTGGTTTTCAAACTATGGGGCAAGTACTGTACCATTATTGTACCATACTGTATTTGATCTTGAAGTGATGTGGTGTTTACAGTTGAATAGCAACTACTTCAAACAGACTGTATGCGTGACTTACTGCGTGCACACAGCCCCTCAGTGCAGTTCTTGCTCTCCATCATGCTGCCGCTACAGTGCTTCCCCCCGTTTTTGGGTGGGGGGGCCTGACACTCACGACTGCGCCAATGGGTGCACTCTGTCCCACAGGCAGACCACTTTGCCCACTCTGTCCAGCCTCCGTCCACTGTCAAGAACAACACCAAATATATGAGACACTATGGTCCAGGTGAAGGATCATAATTCATGCTTTTATTTACTTTGGTTACAGGGTTGGAATAAACTCAATTTTGCCAATACACGCCTCAAATGTGCAGTGTTGGTGTGGATAAGTGGGGCCAAGTCTTTCCCCACTCAATACAGCTTTTTATTATAACACTTTTGGAGAAAATGCTTTGACTATAGTGGATTTGGGCATCTATTGACTTTGCGCAGAGAATGTTTTTCCTGCTTCTTATATTTAAGCTTAGTACAAGTTGTAAGACTGTGGCTGTCTTTTTATCCGATTAGTGGAGTAATAATGGCAAAGGTCCCTCATATTTGAATATATTTGTATGCTTTATGGAGAGTTGGAAAAAGTTAAACAACAGCTCCTGGTGTTGAATAAGTGATTATTTTGGCAGACAATGGTGGACTGAGACATAATATGAAGTAATGACCAATTTATGATACCAAGAATCCATCAGTTTGTTCACTCTATCATCGCATCTAAAAATACAAGATTAATATTGTCAAACAGAAATGGCAACAGACAAATTGACAAGTAATAGAGTTGGAGAACTGTCATATAAGTCATTATAGCTATCTTTGTGTAAAGTGTTTAAAGGTAATGTATAGGATTTATGAATTTTTTAGTGAGTCACCGGATTACAACTTTTGATTAATTTAAAGTGTTTAATATAACTCATTTCGGATTTTATGGATTTCTAAGGTTGTATGTCATTTACAAATTGTGTTGGCTTAAATTGTTCCAGATTACACAATTGTTTCTATGGTTTAGGGTTGTCAAAAGTACTGAAAATCAGATACTAATCAATAGTAAAACTAGTATAGAAACTAAATACTCATTTGTGCAGGTACTGATACAAAGCCAGATTCCAGAAAAGACAGAAAAGACAGAAATGAACTTTTTCTGAATAGCTTTAGAATGATCTTGAGCTGTATCAGAACAAGGATAAGACCACATAGACTAGTTTACGTCCATGGACCACTATGGAACATAACCTGGAGATTACACAGTTATAAGGCCACATGGTAATATAAAAGACCATTTAATTCTGAAAATGTCATTCTATAGTGTAAATAAAGAGTGGTTTTATTGGAAAGGACATAGAGCCTACTCCTTAATAGTTTGAAATGACAGTATTATCACAACATTACTATGGTTATGCTATAATAATTGTTCCAAAGTTTAAAAGTTTAATGCCCTATTTAAGATAAGGCCTATAACCTTTATTAGTTCCACATCAAGGAAATACTAATGATCTCTACCTGGACATAGAGTGGTGCAGGTGACCCTCTGGACAGGTGGACCGTCACAGAAAGCTCCACCATTCAGAGGTGTGGGATTGGTGCAGCTGCGTGTGCGTCGCTGCCACCCCTGGCCACACCGGGCATTACACTCTGACCACTCAGTCCATGATGACCAACCTCCACTCACTATAGAGAAAAAAGTGTTAACAATGCCCTAATCAGCGAAAGTACAGCTCTTGATTGTTGAGTAGAGCTGTTACCATATACGATAAGTGTTGCTGTGCTGCTGCGTCGCTTGGCTACCACATTCCTCGCCACACATGTGTAGTTGGCTGTGTCAGAGAGCCGGGCCTGCTTGATAATCAGATCATGGTCTATGGTAATTAGGAAATTAGGATCCTGCGAGGGATCAATGGTGTCTTCATTCTTCAACCAATCGACCTATAAGGACAAAAACAGAACGAGTAAAACATGTTTATTCTTGTATGCTATCCCTACTCTACAGATTGAGCACATTTAGACTATGTTCAGACTGCAGGGTTTAATGCTCAATTTGGATTTTTTGTGAAATCCAATGTTTTTGCAAGGTCGTTCACATTTCCAATTAAATGCAACTTGTATATGATCTCTAGTGTGAACTTTAATCCCCCCAAAAGTGTCCCGCATGTGCATTAGAGGACATGACGACGTCACATGCAGCGAGCGTGCTCAGTGTTTGCAGAAGTAGAATAAACGCTGGACTTGTCTCCCAAAATACAGTCTAGTTCTTTGTAAAATGGACAGGTTACATGTCCACGGCAGCTTCGTTTGTTTGAGTCTTTAGTCCTTTTGTATTTGGCTCGCAGGCTCTTTATTTTTCGTTGACTTTGGAGTCAGGACCGACTGTAGCCGCGCTTGGCCATTTCTTTGGCATTTTTTTTCAAAAAACGCCCGGTTTCAATAAGACCCCTCCAATTTGGCCTGAATACAGCGATCCACCCAAATATGAATGAACTCGCTAGTCTCGCTTTCCCTCCATTGACGAGACTCCGAGCCTGATGTGTAGGTGGGATGAATGTGACCTGGCTGTACAGACTGAAGCCACATGTTAAAAGATTGGATATGTGTCGGTTTTAGGAGGACATATCCAAGTGGCCTGGGTTGCATTTGAAAAAATCTGATCTGTCATTAAAAGATCAGATACAGGTTGCATAGGGGTGAAAAAATCTGATTTGGGTTACTTCAGGCTGAAGTCTGAACGTAGCCTTAGTTATAGTTTAGAAGTGGTTGATGATTACTGGTTTAGAAAAAATGCAGTTCTGAATCCATTACAATCATTCATGTACACTTTGTTTTATACTTCTTTACTCATTTTAAAGGTAGACTTCATATTTTTTTCTAGTAGGTAGGTTCTTCTTCACCTTGTCTCCATGGAAATGTTTTTGCTTTGCCTGTAATTTTTCACTATTTATTGTCACATTTATTTTCAAAGTTACCTCGAAAAAGATACATTCTGAGTGAATGCAAGGTCGCCACTCCATAGATCTTCTAAATTGTTCTATAGTGACATTTCTTGCTTGTACCCACAAAGATAAAGCAATACCAGCTCCATGGAACAGGTGACAAACCTTTCACCAGAAATTACGGAGTGCACCATTCTCATTAGCTCACAAAATAAGCAAACCGTGCTTAATAGAATAGTAAGACAATCTAATAGAAAATTAGTATAAGAAATATGTATAAATATAAGGTTAGTTTGAAAGATATTATGTATGGTACTAATAATATGTTTACATCAAACGCCTTCTCCATTTTTCTAGGCAATGGCTTTTCATCTCATGTTGCTAATTTCTTGCATGCTATTAATATACACAATGGAATGAGGTAAATAGGAACATTTACAATAGCATGTAAATTGATTAAGCACCATGAACCTGCAGTGATTTAACAATAGGCTAGAAGGATGCCTTATTTGCATTTCACAACCCTGCCAGTATATGACTAATTTGAGCTTGTCGACTCTTCAGAAATTGCTTGAAGTCATTGTATAATGGATTTAATTTATATAAAACATAACAAAAACAAATCAAAGCTCTCCTGTGATCACGAACATCTGTTTTATACATGTATAATCATTTTGCCTTTCATTATTTGCCTTTCATCTGTCAAACACAATTGTAAAAGGCCTCGGCTTCATATAACACCCATAGAGCGTTGTTATAGTAAGCGGTGTTAATATAATAAGGAAATTATGGAGGTGTGTTTTGTACCTCAGCGGCGGGCATACCCTCTGGGGGGCGACACTGCAGCAGAACCTCCTGTTCCAATCGCACCTCTCTCCCCAACGGCTCCTGTTCAAAGTTCTTCCTCAGGTCTTAAAGAAAAGACAGGTAAAAGTTAAATCAGCATTTTGAGAGCATATTTGAGGCAACACAACAGGTTTAATATCGTCTTTGGCAATATTTCTATACCCTTTTTTAGCACTATTTCTATACCCTTCGTAAGACTTTTGCAAGTGCTTTGCAGTTTTGTCTGGAATGATGGAACAGTATAGAATCAAACATATGGTAACGTTTGTGTTGTGTATCCTCCATAAGGAAAATTACACGATGCGCCTTTAAATCTGCGCCTTTAAAGAATCAAAATAAGCAAATGAACTTACAACAAAGGCCAATTTACATTCTGTGGTTGTTTTGGTATTCAAACAGATACATCATTTTGTACCTCCACCAGAGCTGTCTATCATTTCTTTTGTAATTGTGATAAATTTCATTTCTGTCGTTGCTACCCATTCAACAAAAATAAACTCGCAACATAGCATGCGTATAGATTGTTTATCACACTCACTTAGGCTGTCATGAAAACACATATCACACAGTCGTGGCCCCTAAAAGCCAGTGTCTTTTTTCTTCTGTGCGCCCATAAACACTGTCACTCATACCACAGCATATACATTACCGGGACCCAGGCAGAGTGCTACACCGAGGGGAGAATTTGCATATACTTAGGCTGACACATACGACATGTAAAAATACATACATCATGGCTCTCAAATCCCACTGTTATATGGAGCAAGAACTCAAGCTGCAGTTGCTTTCAGAATGAAGCAAGATTATTTACTCTTTTCCTATCTAAGACATTGAAATAAATACAACAAAACTGCAACAGATTTTTATCAATTATCATAACCGTTTCAAATTTTCTTCTGCCCTCATTGGTGACTTAAATAAAGGTGCAATGTTCCATACTATGGCATTAAACTTGCACTCACTTGGAGGTAAGCAAAGAAGAGCATAGAGAGGTCAGATCTATATAGAGATCAGTGGCAGAGTTAACAATTTGGGGGCCCTAGGTGAACTTGAGTTTGGGGTCCTCTCTAAAATGCACTGTTTTTTGCTTTTTGTTTTGTTTTTGTATTTTAAAATATTTATTATTGTATTATTTCTCATGACACACGCACATCTCTATTTGATGTAGGGTGGATTGGAAAATTGTCTTATTAGTTAGGTAGCCCACTAGATAACTAGAGCTGAAAGTATTTTTTTTTTTTCTAGTACAATTACATTTTTGTTTACATGCATTATAAATTATTATGCTATGATAATGTACAAATCAGGGTAAAGCTGACTAGTCTATTCTAATGTGAAAGGGGAGAATACTTTGACAGATCAGATACTCAGATCAGATACTATTTTGATGGTGTTTTTTGTTTGTTTAAAAGTAAACTAATCGAATCGAAAGTAAAAAAAATCAAATTGCTCAGAGGTTGCTCTAGAGGGGCCTTAAGCGACTGCCTACTTTTGCCTAATGGTAGTTAGCTGAGGTGATCCCACTCACAATAATATGTTTCTCAAATGTAGTTTTTGAGCAATCACAAATTGTTTAAAGTTTAATGCCATATTGTGGGACATTACAGGCAAAGTGATAACATCTCCATAGTTATAAGCATGCCCTAAAGTTAAATAGTGCACCTTTTGTGAACCTAAAGAAGTTGTGCTGCAGTATCACCTTGTCAAGGCTCTACACTACCCTTAGCATCCAGCAATTTTCTCAATGTCTCTCCTCACTCTTTACTTCCAAACTGTCACTATCAGGTAAAATGCTACATCACATAAAAGAAACTCAAAGTATTCAGGGTGAGTTAGTACTGAGCATGTAAATGAGGAACTACAGTTATTATCAAACCAAAAGAACCTAAATGATCATACAGTATATCCAGTAAGCACCAGATTTGTGGAGGGAAATGCCATCCCAGAGGTCAAATGAGATTGGTTCCAGATGACAGGACGGTAACAGTAACCCAAATAACCACTTTGTTTCAACTGTCTTTGAACATAATAGGTACAGGATGCCCCTATAAAGTGACTGTAATTTATTGTGCAGTTTCAAGCAAATGGTCTTACTGATGCACTCCACTGTAACGCTTTAGTCTTATTTCTTATTCTTATTTCTGACTGCTTTTTTCATCCAAATTTCCAAATTCTCATTACTAACCTGCAGGTTTTATTTATACTGGTAAACAGTAGGAATGTAACAATAACCGAAATATTGTGATATTGTAATGTCAAAGTTCTCACAATAATATTGTGGACCACAATATATCACAATATATCAAATTACAAGTCTCTTTGCTTAAATTAAGAGTCATGGTGCAGCAATAGCTAAAAAAAAGTGAGAGGGAACAACACAGACCATGACCCTTTGCTCCATTTCAGTGTAGACTACAAGAAGAAATAACAATTCTAAGCAGTTTTAAGTCTTAGTTCTTTGGATTAAGTCTTGTCTAAACATTTTAAGAGGAAAATGTAGCATATTACCATTTTTGTTAGCCTCCACAATATAAATATCACAATAAATATTGTAATGTGAGATGAATATCATGAGCTTTCCCACAATATCGCAATAATTATAGTACTGTGAGGTGCATACTGTGACGATATCGCATTGTGAGACTTTGATATCGTTACACCCCTAGTAATCAGGTGTTTTTTAACGCTCAAGCCCTTATTCACTATAGTCATATGTTGTAATTCTTTTTCTATTATTTTTTTCTTTTTTCACTTTCTATTTTTCATTTTCTATTTCAAAATAAAGGAGCAAATTTCAGTGCATACAAATATTAAGAAAATACCTGGTTGAACACTTTCGTTTAGTTACTTACATGCTATACGGACATAGGCACGGTTGCTCTTTGTGGTGCCGGCTGAGCTCCATGCCACACACTGGCACCAGTAATCCTCCAACCCAAACAACTCCTCCACCTGAGTCCTGGACACCGAAATATCCACCTCCCTCACCACCAACCCTGTGTGGGACAGAGGGAAGGAAGGGAGAGAGGGAGGGGGAAAGAGAGAGAGGAAGAGAGAAAGATGGTGATAGAGAAAAGAGAGATGGAGGGGAAGAGAGAAGAGAGAGAATGCAAAAGAGGGGTGACAGAGAGGAGAGAGTCATGGAGAGTGTGGGAAAGAGAGATAGAGAGGGATGAAGAGAGGTGATTGAGATTGACAGAGAGAGCATGAATGAGAGAGAGAGGAAGGGAGAGAGAAAGGGAGGGAGGGAAAGAAAGGACAGAGATATCGTGAGGGAGAAGGAGAGCAGGGGGAAAGAGAATGAGAAAGATTGGGTGATAGAGAGTAGAGAGAAGTAAGATTAGTGGGGCATATTTTTCATTCTGGGTATAAATTATGCATTGGCTGTCAGCCAGTGCAGTTAACATGAACATAAAACCCTATAGGAGCTAATGGATTATGTAGTTGGGAACGATGTTTGTAATTGAAGATGATGTTTATGTCTGTGAAAAACAAGGTGACACACGTGCGATGCAATACATGTTTCATCCTATGTCATGACATACCTTCAGAACAATATAATCTGAAACAATACCTCCAAATAGGGTGAATCCTAGTTTAGACCAGTGTCAGACCTGGTTAAAATCCTTTATAGGTCCAAATTCACTACTACTTTGTTTATATATGAGTTTTAGTTTACTCTTACAGTCATGTTGTACAATAAAACTACAAAGCTGTGTTGTGTTAATGACCATGTTAATGCTATTTTCAATTCCTTGTGTTGGTATTAGTTGGCAATGTTGTACCTGTGACTTGGTCCACGCTCTCCCTGGTCACATGGTCATTTTGATTGACCCATTCTCCGTTACATTTGAAGTAGATCTGTGTGGCTGGTGACGCCCTACACCTCATTTGGACAGGACGGTTTTTCACAATAAAAGCATCTTCAGGTTCAAGCAGGAATTCGGGTAGAGGCTCCGCTGGTGCAGACGGGTACGTGTCCGGGAGAGTGTCTGCGTCACTATAGTCTGTTGTCTCTGGAAAAAAACACAGAAAAGAAAAGGCATGATCAAAACTATGCCCTTTAAAAGAACCTTTGTTCAAGTCAAGACCCACTTGAGTTGTTATTGTCCTAAAGCGCTGCTCCATGACCTTACTGTCGAGGAAGTAAGAAAAAGGCAAAATGACAAGTTTGTCCCTGGGGGATCAATAAGCCATCGAGTCCCTGCAGAAGGAGAGTGTGTGTGACGGCCTGTCTTGTGTCTGTGTATCGCTGCAGGGCAAAGAACTGTCACACACTTGAGTTGTATGCAGTAACACTGGTGAGGTACATTTTAAAGATACAAGTCCATTTTGGAAGTCTGCACTGTTAGATTGAAATCTGTTAGCTTGTCCCACTACAAAATGCAAATGCCATACCTGGAGTTGTGTTTTGTTTCATTCACACATGTTTGAGTAACCCTTTATTATTAGTCTGTCTATAAGTCCGAAGCTCAGCTTATGTCAGACAGAGAAACGCAGTTTCAGGGCTGAAATCATCCAAATGATTCTAATGAAGGTGTGTGGAGTTTAAAAACACAGTGGAGCACTTCCTGTATTACCGCATGACATAACAAGGAGTTTTCTGTTTGAAAACTGTGTTTGTGTGTTAAACATGTGTGGATGAACAAAACACACAAAACGGCTGATTACTTAAGTATAGCAATGCAAGAACTATAACTCACTTTGCAAAGGAAGTTCAATAATATTAGTATCTTCCAGTAAGCCTGAAAGCTCAAAAGTATTTAAGTTGCTTTAAGTGGTTCTTTAAGTCGCTGACAGTAAACAGACAAGGTATAGTGTGACATTTTCATCACCTGGTTTTTGCCACTAATCTGCTCGATGCAGGCGCCGTAGTTCTTTCTGAGTCTATAGTTCTCAGCTGGAGAGGAGAGAGACTGACCTTCCCCAGTTCGCTCCCGTTGATCGCACATTATCTCGTGACATTTCCGATCTGACACTTCCCCATTGGCACAGCCTCTCCTCTCCTCTCGCGAAGGACATAGTATTTCTTGACCTCTCTTCCCCCGACTTGTTACTTCAATAATGACAAGCGAATCCCGCGACACTTTATCAATGCCGCCATCGTCTTATTGGCTACATCTGGTCGCCGCAACGGAGCCATAAATCCAGGTGAACTATACAGGTAATAATAGTTTTACAAAGTGCCTGTGGCCCATAAAGAATTATCTGTCCCATATAGCGTAATGCATACCGAATACCTTATAAATCACATAATACACTCTCTATTTTGTACCGACATTTACGGTTGGGTTCTGCAGAGATTCGCTCGCGGTTCTCTCAGGTTCTTATAAAATCTTAATGTCCTGACCCTCCAGATGAAGAGACCATGTTGAGCTCATAAATCAAATCTGAATTCAACCAGAGAAGACTGAGACTGGCAAGGGTGGGTCCACTTGTCAGATGCCAGAACTGCCAAAGTGAAATAAATGCAACCTGCACAGAAATATAGCACTATTGGGAAACCGGCATATCATCTAGTTGTAGCTGTTAAATTATTTATGAAGTTTAATTTTAAAGGTGCACTATATGTAACTTATGTTGGCTTGGCGTGTCTCCATGGAGATGTCATTGCTTTGCTTTGAATGTTTTACAGTATGACATTAAAGTTATCTATCACCCGTTTATTTAATTACGTGTATTTTTATTCCTCAAAAACATAAATTTTTACTGTGAGCAGGGTCACCTCTTCACAGATCTGTCCTGTAACTTGGTTTAGGCGTGTCAGTGTTCAGTGCCATACTGTGGAACATACAGTGCAAGACAGTAACATCTCCATGGAGACATGCAGGTGAACTCCCCACCTAGAAAGTTGTGTATCTTTAATAAAAAAGTGTTTATTGTAAACTAATTATAGCTAAGAGTATGTAACAACACTCATCTTTCTCCTTGAATAAACACTGACATTTTCAATATTCAGTACATTATTTTCCAGGAGTTAATGCATCAATGTTAAGCACAAAATGTTCACTTGCAGCCTAAAATAACCCATACACTTCAAACTCTCTTATTCACTCTTGAGTAGTTTTTGTGCATCATTTGTAAATAAAATATTAAAGTTCTAGGAATGAACCAGTAAAACATTTTAACTTTTTTCTGATATTCTTAGCAGCTTTCTGTCTTTTGTTTCAGTGGACGATTACAGGAAGAAACTTCTCCAATCTCTTTCACACATTCACTGAGGACAGACCAAAGAGACAGCTGCTTTCAGACAATGAGCCCAGAGCATTTAGTCTTCAAAATGTATCAAGACCTGAACTGATCTGTTATTCTACAACTGGGGAACAAGAGAAACTACTTAAGAAGATACCATCATCTATTTTAGGACAGTGCACCCCCCTCCCACTCCTCCGCCTCACAGCAGTTAGCAGTGGTAAAGCTACAAGCACCACTGAGGAAGTCGGATTTAAGCAGGATTTTAGACTTAGTGACAGACAGGTTAAGACAATACCCATGCAAAAAAGCTGGAACAATCAGCATAAATAAAACAAATCAAGAGAATATTAACAATAACAAAATTTGATGGAAAGTGAATAGTTCACTTTAAAAAAAAGTTGGGGCAGATACAACAAAATAAAATGCATACACTTTAAACATGAAGACAAACTCGCTTTTTTAACATTGCTGCATGGAATCTTTTACAGAATTTTCTTAATTTTCAGACCAAATCCTAATAATTTTAAGAGCTTTTGTCAGTACCATGTCATGACTATTAATCAAGGCACAGGGCTTATCTTTAGTCAACTACAGCCCTACATATATCCCTTAATTACTATAAAATCCCCCTTTTTTGTATTGTGGTTGCATTTCCTCCTATAGCCCAAGATGGCAGTAAAGAGAGTTTTGCCACTGCGTGTACTGTACTGAACTGTAGGACAACAGCTGCTCCAGGCCCAGTTTAAGTTTTGGTTGAAGCGTCATTTTGGATCTGTCTCTGCTCCTCCAGTGGATTCTCCTAAATGCATTTATTCACGAGGCTGTGACCCTGAGATGAACTGAACACACCCACAGGCACAGTGCTGCTAAATATGAAAAGTGGGTTGATAATTACTCAAGTTAATCATGTTTTAGGGTTTCATAAGCATCATATGTAATAGCACTTACTTACCACGCTCAATATTGCATTCAAATGTCAAATTAAAACAGATTACTGCACTATTTTTCTCTACATTTTAATTTAATCTTCTTGGTAACTACAAATAGGTTATGTTATGGTTTACATATATTGAAAGCAAAGTAACCTAAAAGATACGGATAATATGGGCCATACATAAATGGATTTTTCCTCTGTGATTCAACAAATCGTACTTATAAATAGCCTTTAAAGACTGACTCTACTAGATTTAAAGATGGATTCTGACATGGAGTCCCTGCCTACTATATGAACTGATTTAGTGATGCACAGATTCATATTTTTCAGTCCCTTAAGACCAATAAATTAAAACAAAATGTGTGATGGATCTGTTATTTATCTCTCAAGTTACAACAGAACAACTTTGTATAAATACAAGTTCAATTATAAGAGTACATTACATCCAATACCAGGATCAGCTTGGTACATCCCTGAACTGATAAACATTGATAACATAGATCATCATAGATTAACACAGATCAAGACAATGGAGATATTTATTTAATCTACTTTATTGTTAACAACACAGCATTTCCATCCTATTCTTGAAAGCTAAACATATAAAAGTCTATAAGAGATGCTGACAGGACACATAAGACAAATATGATTGGATATTCTACGGTTTGTTTTGACATGTGTCTGTCTTTATCTATCAAGAGCTCTTGAATGATTCATACCTGCTTTTATGCTATTTTCTTCAATCTAACAATATCTAGGTTCCTTTAGAAAACAAAGTAAAATTTGTTTCTACCATACAACATTATACATATGGAGATGTGGTCCAGTTATTCAACACTTTTGACCTTAACACTAGAGGGAACATTGAAATATAATATCAAAATTCAATCAGAAACATTTAGGCCTTTTTGGCACTTTGCAATCTGTTAGAAACTACATAGGAATTATAGTTTCCAGGCAACAAGTCTCAGCTGTCAAAGAGGTTTGGATTTAAATTAAAGTTATATTGAGCACTCCTTCATCTTCCTGTAGCATTGCATTTGATGTTAACATGAAAAGGTTATAACAGATATGTGATTGTTTTAAATTAAGGTCAAATTCTTCACATATTTCACTCTTCGCTGTGACCGGTTAAAGGTGCACTCTGTAACTTTTCAGGTGGAGGGCTACCTTCTCGTCTCCATGGAGATGTTGCTTTGTCCAGAATGCTCCACAGTATTGCATTAAATGTATCTATCTACATGGGGACAAAAAAGTGACACCACCAAACCAAGTTATATGCATCGACTGTATAAAGATGTGGACTACACAAGCATAGCATTCAGCTTCAGTCAAATAAAGCTTTAGTGGTTACCAATGGCACTAGCCTGATTCATCAGTCGGTTTCACTTTGTAGAAATTTGTAGAGATTTGTTCGCTCGACGGCACGCTGGTACTTTTTTATGTAACCAATCACTGCTATTTGGTCTTGACCTATGTAATGTGCTGCTAACGGGGCTAAGTGGCTTTTCCCAAATCTCATAGGAAGAAGGGTAAAATTCACCAAACATTCTCTTTGTTCCGGCTTTAAATCCTCGATCTTGGGAATCGTTGCCAACACAGAATGTATGGCTCTTCGCTGATCGGCTGGTGCCCGAACTCGCACTTCCGGGGTTTTTACGAACCATCTACTGTATTCCGATTCCTGACCTAGTCGCTGTAGAGCAATGCAATTGAGCGAATATTTGCACAATGCACCTTTAAATCCACCTGTCACTCACTCAGAGCATCCAGTGAATAGTTAGAGTATTTTTTTATTACCCAGCCTTAGCTAAAATAACCAATATTAATCCTCTAAAAATGACAAGCTTTCACCACACTAAGCACAGTTTCATGTTTACTGAAGTT